GTTATTTGACGTATGGAAACAATACAGGTTATGGGTGGAAAAAACACAATTAAGGCTTCTAACTTAAGATAGATCGGTAGCGGTTGATGGATATACGGAAATAGTTATTATTATCAAACTCCAACATACCACCAATGTATTCACATCACTCCCACTCATTAGATTACGTGGCTCACGGTGTTGATTGCTTGGAAGATGTGGTAGCCAGGGCTAATGAGATGAAGATGGAGCTGTTTTGCTTAACCGAGCACATGCCCCGGATAGACGCCAAGTATTTGTATCCGGAAGAAACATCGGATTCTGCGGAAGATGACTTGAAGACCCTACAAGGAAAATTCGACAAATTTCTTGAGCATGCATCAGAAGTCAAAGCTCGAAACTTGCCAACCAAGATCATTATTGGGGTAGAAGTTGAAGGCTGTGATACCAATCACATTGCATATGCGAAAGGATTGATGGAAAAGAATGCAAACGTCCTGCAGTTTTGCGTGGGATCGCAACACCACATCAATGGAATTCCAATTGACTTCGACCAAGGAGAATGGAATCGTGCATTGGCTTATTCGCATAATAATTTGAGATTGCTAGCTCGAGATTATTTCGAGCAACAATATAAACTCATCTGCGAGCTTAAGCCACTAGTTTTAGGGCATTTCGATCTTTTTAGGTTGTTTTGTTCAAAAGATATTTTTTTCGACTCTGAGAACGGCCAGCTGGTGAGCAAATCCGCCCCGAACGCAGTATCGGCCGCGTCCGTATCGTTCACAAAGAAATGGGATGACATCAGGTTGCTCGCGGAAAGAAATATCAGGACAGTGGCCTCATATGGTGGCCTGATGGAAATCAACACGTCTGGTCTACGGAAGAAGCTGGAAGATCCATATCCTGGCCGGGAGTTTGCACTCTTGGCCAAAAATATACCAGGAACGAGGTTTGTTCTCAGTGACGACGCCCATGGCGTATCCCATGTAGGAGTTTGTTATGATCAAGCCTTGAAATACATGGACGAGATACTCCAGTTAGATGAGCTACACTTTCTAGTAGACAATGCTGGTACCCTGGAAGTGGATTCAATAAAGCTTGCGGATTTGAAATCTTCACCTTTCTGGCAACAATATGGTTGATCGTTTCATCCTATTTTACATGAGTTCTAGTGGTATGCAAGTTATTATTATACTAGCCCTCTATAGAAAATGCCGCTACTGAAAAGGACTTAGTACGAACGACCGAACATGGTATAGTACAATGCTTTCCTCTGACATCTAACACAGTTCTGACCCTTCTTTAGCTCAGGCTGCTTGAATGGAATACATAGCGACTTAGCACCCATGCTTGGAGCTTTTTCGTCAGCCTCGAACTCTTCCCCGTCGTCTTTCTTGGCAGAAGAGTCTTTAATGTCTTCTTCACATTCCATGACACCACACCATGGAGCCAAAATGATGTTTTTCTTGTTCAAGGCAGGAACGAAATCCTTCCACTCGTCAACAATCACTCTGTGAGAGTCGAAAAGTTCCTTTGCTCTAGTGTATAGGTCATTTTGCATTTCTTCCAAGATTTGAGGGATGCGAGTCGTCAGGTCATCTAGTTTGACAGTGTATTTCCTGTTGTCGTTTCTGCGAACAACCGAAATCTGTTCGTTGATCATATCTTTTGGACCAAATTCTAAACGTAGGGGGATACCCTTCAACTCATACTGCGCAAATTTCCAACCAGGGGTGTAATTATCATTGTAGTCTCCGAAAACTCTTACGTTGGCAGAGCGGAGCTGCTGCTCAATGTCTTTGGCCTTCTGGTGAATAGCGGCTCTTTCTTCGTCAGAAGTCTTTGCATTGATACCAACAGGTAGTACAACACACTGTTTCTGAGCAACCCTTGGAGGTAGCACCAAACCCTTGTTATCCGAGTGAATCATGACCATGACACCAATCACACGAGTACTTAAACCCCAAGAGTTTTGAAAGGCGTACACCTTTGGGTGTTCTGGGCCCAAAGGATTTTCAACACTGATGTTGAACATTTTCGAGAAGTTTTGACCCAAGTGATGAGAAGTGGCACCTTGGATACCACGGCCTGTCTGAGGAATGTAACCTTCGCAAGTAGTGGTGAAGTCACCACCCGCAAACTTTTCTTTCTCGGTTTTTCTACCTTTGATGACAGGAACAGCTAGCAATTCTTCATAAACACCGGCGTAGAAATCCAAAATTTGCAAGACCTCTTCTTCAGCGTCCTCTTTAGTCAAGTGGGCCGTGTGGCCTTCCTGCCACAGAAATTCTCTAGTTCTCAAGAAAGGTTGTGGATGTTTGAACTCCCATCTAACGACAGAGTTCCACTGGTTAAGCTTGATGGGCAAGTCTCTGTAAGACTGGATCCATTTAGCGTAGTATGGGTACATCACTGTTTCAGAAGTTGGCCTGATAGCAATGGGTTCTTCCAGCTCGGAAGAGCCCGCTCTTGTCACCCAGGCGACCTCAGGAGCGAAACCTTCGACATGATCTTTCTCCTTCTCCAAAACACGCGCTGACACAAACATAGGAAAGTAAGCATTCTCAACACCGATAGCCTTAATTTTTTCGTCAAACCATTTTTGTATAACCTCCCAGATAGCGTAAGAAGGTGGTCTCAAAATGTAACAGCCCGAAACGTCGTAGTAGTCTAGCATCTCACCTTTTGTGAGAACTTGTTGGTACCAGCCAGAGAAGTCCATCTTCTTGTCGACAGTGATACCAATTAACTTAGCATCCTCTAGAGCGGCGGACTTGCCTTGGCCAGTGGCAACGGCTTTGCCTGTTGGCTTCTTGGAGTCATCCTTCTTTGGCGCTTCCTGGGAGAAGTCGATGGTCTGAGGAGCGAATTGCTCCAAAAATCCAAAGAGCTCTGATTTGACGATGAATTTGTCTTCGGTCAATTGAAGAGTCTGGGAACTCTCTACTTCAGTCAAAGCGCTATCGACTAGCAGCTTGAATTCAGAGGAAGCATTCAACAAATGGCCCAAGTGGAAATCTTTACCGGACGCGCACTGGAAATGAGAAGCGAAGAGATCATCACGGGCTAAACGGGGCTCTTTGGTACCGCTAGCACTCGCAATCAGTGCAGATGCAGTAGATGTGCTCTGTAGAGCGACTACAACGACAGGTACCGGGGTTGCAGACTTTGCGGTTTTTGGCTTGAAGACAAGCGATTTGACAGCCAAGGCATCTGGCTGAGCATTGATAAACATCTTGGAGAACTTATCTTCCAGAGACATGTTGTTGCTTTGATTTTTGGCAAATCTGGTTTACACTGTTCTATGCATCGAGAAAGAGATGACAATTTATCTGAAATTCGTTATACTTGAAAATTTTTATATTATCAGTATGCTCATGAAAATGACTGACTTGATATTTAACCTCGATACTTTAGAAAGCGCCAGATAACTGGAGATAAATTTGAAATTAACTGCCGTAGAGCGAATTTCATTATAGGTAAAACCCAGTTGATTCAATTCTCTTTTATAAGGTTCATTCAGTTTGGCTTATCAACGGTGAGTCTTAGAAACAGCATTAAACTTTGAGTTGCTGAAAGGTTGTACATACATTTTATAATGCCTTTTTACATCGACGAATCTGTTGGTGTTGATGACGTGAGTGTCTCTGGTTCTGAACAACAACCATTTAAAAGCGCTGCATATGCATTGTTCACGGCCCGTGAATCAAGCGAAGAACCAAAGCTTTTGGTATTCAAGCGGGACCCTGAAAATGGCGACGGATTTGTGGAAATCTCGGCAAGCGCGCTAAAGAAAGCCCGCAAAGGTAGCGAGGGTCTAGTGAAAAAGCAGGCTAAGCAGATTGAGCAAGAGAGAAGAAAGCAGGAACAGGAGGAGAAAGAGGCTGCAAGGAAACTTGAAGCCTTGAACATCCGCATAGAGCAAGATACTTCCCTACCAGAAGCGAGAAAATACAAAGTCGCAAAGACCTACGAGGCCGCCGGTGAAAGAGTAAAAGTTTCTGGTTGGATCCACAGGCTGCGTTCGGGCAAAAACCACGTTTTTGTTGTGTTGAGAGATGGTAGCGGTTACCTACAAGCCGTCCTCACTGGTGATTTGGCCCTTGCCCACCAGACTTCTACCTTGACTTTAGAATCGACTGTTACACTGTATGGTACGATCAGTAAGCTCCCCGAGGGGAAAGTTGCCCCTGGCGGCGTCGAACTACTCGTCGATTTCTACGAGATCGTCGCCTTGGCACCATCGGGTGAAGATGCCTTCACCAACAAAATTGCCGAGGGAGCCGATCCATCTTTACTCTTGGACCAACGTCATCTTGCTCTTCGAGGCGAAACCCTGTCTGGCGTTATGAAGGTACGGGCTGCATTTCTCCGTTCCATACGTCGGTTCTATGATGAAGAAGCCATTCTTGAAGTCACACCACCTTGCATGGTTCAAACTCAAGTGGAAGGTGGCTCTACTCTTTTCAAGCTTGGCTACTACGGTGAAGAAGCGTTCCTAACACAATCTTCTCAACTATACTTGGAGACTTGTTTGGCCAGCCTTGGTGATGTTTACTGCATTCAAGAATCTTTCAGGGCTGAGAAATCTCATACCAGAAGACATTTGTCAGAATACACTCACATTGAGGCCGAGCTTTGTTTCTTGAACTTTGACGACTTGTTAGGTCATCTCGAAAGACTCATTACCAAGACCATCAAATACGTTTTGGAAGATCCTGTTGCTGGACCACTTGTGAAGCAGTTGAACCCTTCATTTGAAGCACCCACAATGCCATTCATGAGATTGGAATATAAAGATGCCATCACTTGGTTAAATGAACACGATATCAAGAACGAGGAGGGTGAGACGTTCAAATTCGGAGATGACATTGCAGAAGCTGCGGAAAGAAAAATGACCGACACCATCGGCCTTCCAATTTTCTTGACAAAGTTCCCTGTTGAGATAAAATCCTTTTACATGAAACGTTGTCCTGATGACGAGCGTGTCACAGAGTCGGTCGACGTCCTGATGCCAAACGTTGGTGAAATTACTGGTGGTTCGATGAGAATTGAATCCACTGAAGAGCTAATGGCAGGTTTCGCTCGTGAGGGAATCAGCGCAGACCCTTACTACTGGTTTGTCGACCAAAGAAAGTATGGTTCATGTCCTCATGGCGGTTACGGTATTGGTACTGAACGTATCTTAGCATGGCTCTGTGATAGATACACCGTCAGAGACTGCTCTCTGTATCCCCGTTTCACCGGCAGATGCAAGCCTTGATGCACCAATGCCCGATGACAAAATTATTAGTATTTACAGTTAAATTTTTGCTTAATAGCTGCCCAGCTTGTGGACAGAGTTAGTTAGCATTTCGGGAAATACTTGATGCGGAAAACAACCAAAACGTATCGATAACTTTCGGCCTTCGGCGGGCATGTCATTAATACTCATGCACTAACGATGATTGCCCGTGTCGTTTGTACCTCCACTTGATGCGGGGAGTACTTGTTAAAAGTACTTCAAAAGCGGGAAAGGAATCCAACCACCGAAATAGAAGCCTAATCTACTCCATTTTCCATAAAACCGTTGGTTGCCGCAGACCATTTCCCAAAATCGGAACCACGGGCTAGATTGTGAAACTATGAGATCGTATAGCGGGCCAAGTAATGAGTTTGCAATATTGGACCCACTCGCGGGCAGATGTTTGTAGTTACTTGAGCTACCTGCGATTTTGAGTACGCCTAGATGGCATAAGTATATGCTTGATTTCGGGTACTCGAAAGTGAGTGCCTTGTAAAACGAATCCATCAACCCAGCTATAAAAACTTCTGGAGAATGAAGCGGAATGTGGTAATTCAAAGGCAATGATGGTGTCAACAGCAGCAATTGCGGACAGCGACTCAATTGAGGCAAAAACTTTGCTAGACCTCTCATATGGACGAACACATTCTGTTCAAGCTCCGATTGAACGACGTTTGAAGATAGGGTCGTGAAAGCCCCCGATGGATTGTAAGCAGAATTAGGGACCACCAAAATTGAGGATAAAACGGTCGAAGTCTCACGCAGATAGTCAATGACCTTACGAAGATCATGTGGTGTGACGTGGAACAGGCCTTGATCGTCATTTTTAGTGGCGCCTTGTTCTGAGCAGACGAAAATTACAAACCCGCGCCGATACAAGTCCATAACAATCTGACGTGTGATGGGATCCCGCATGTGGCCGAAAACTAATACGCATCTTTTATCGTCTTGTCGAAGATGTTGTGCAGGCCGGGGAACAATGGCATCGGCATATTGCCACATCAATATGGCTATTGCACTCAATCCCAAAAAAGAGACCGCTTTACCAATTGGGCGACTCCAAACTCCACGTATGATGTTGGCCTGCGATGACCCTTCATTAAAGGGAATGGCTTTATGGTTTGGGGTAGTGGTCCCAAGGTCAATCACCTTTTCTATTAGATGTTTATTTAGGGATTCAGCCTTTTTAAACCAGTAGAAACCGGTGTCAAAGATGTGGTCAACAACTTGACTTGACATGGGAGAAAGGTGCCTTACCGCCTGTGTGGGTAAGCCATTGATACTCAGCGTTTCTTGAATAAATGTTATTTAGGTCAATATCTTTTCAAGCAGCATCTTATACGATTGCTTCCTAGCGAAATAGACACAACGTTGTCTTTCTTCAGTGACAGGACCATTTGGGGGTGCTCATTCAGATAGTTTCGGATTCGTGGACTGTAATTGACTTTGCTAGTTGTGGTCTGTGCCACCGACAAGCACTACCTTACTCCGGTCTTCGTTGAAGTGTGACACCTCCAGTGAGTGAAAGGAAGATGGTACTGGTCAGGCGTATCTCTGTCATAAAAGAGGGTATGCTGGTGAATTAGGGACAGCTGCTATTTCACCGCCTGGATGCTCGTTGTGTTTAATGAACTGTTGCTGAAACCTGGCTCAAATTTGAAACGACACAAATTACCTGCTAATTGATATAGCAGGGCTATCCTTGATGCTCTCCGCCGAAGTAAGCTTAAGACTATATTGACCACACCTTCGTCGCCACTTGACATTGTCGATAAATTATGGTTATTTGTTTGAACGAGATTTTGAGGACCCATAATCCGCATTAAAATGCTGAAGGTAGTATAGCTGGCTTGCGGACGTCTAATATGCTGATCCGTATCCCAAAAGAACCATGGCTACTTGATATGAGTGTTTATGTGTTGTCATGAAAGGTTGTTTTGGGTCCTCGGGTGGATTCCGTAGGCTGAAAGATGGATCAAGAAGGGATTGCATCAGATAATGAGATGAGAGGAATGCAGCATCACATCCTACATTCGAATCGAAGAATAGAATTGTCAGATTATCCTCTTGTATCTAACAAATTGTGAAGCCGATCTAGAACCTTTCCGGCTTCTCTGCCCAATGGCCTACGAGAGCCAGATAGTATTACCGATTTCTAATGTACGCCTACAAATGGTCCCATTTGCCGTCATATCACCTCTTTCCAAGCAGAATTTTGTCACTTCTGTCGATGGTGGAATAATCCCCAGAATTTTTGTTTTCGTAACAAGACTTACATCAAAATGCTTTTAATAGTGCTCGAACTGAAGCACAGCCGTCGTGTCGTCTTCTTCCAACGAGAATTCGTCCGATTTAGAAAGTTCCACAAATGACTTATCTGCCCTATTCAAACAAGCCATTGCTTGTTTCTTATTGAAAACACCAAATGCGGTAAAGCGATCTCTCAGAACCATGAGGTGCTTGATATGTGCACTGCCCGAGTGACTCTTCTTTTTTCGAACGAGCTTTTCACAGGTGGAGAAAGTTCTCTCAATCCCGCAAGTGCTGAACTTCGTGTACAGCATCGATAAGGCCAAAGGAAACAAATTAGGGTAGATTGCGCGTCTAGAATACCACCATCGCACAGCATCTGTTGTGGAATCTGACGAGAGCTGACTTTCGGCCTTATAGCTTTCCCACTCTTCAAACGCCTTGATTCCCTCCAACACATACGTCCTGGTAGATTGTTTCTGACGCCTATTGGGCCTAAGAAGTTTGTTTACTTGGAAATTCTTCATTCGCGTGGTTGCAGTATTAATACAAGGTCCAGGTTTAGAGCTCTTGAATCGACATTGAGCAAGGTAATGCTTGATGTACGTCTCCACTCTCAGAGCATGGTACTCTCCTTCTTTCCCACCTATAAGCTCATTGAAACAGTCAAATTTTAAGCTTGGGTCCAAGAAGGCGCCAACAAAGTAAATGTCATTCCGGGAAAAATCTTCGAAGTATTCCTCAAACTTTGGCTTTCCAGAAAGTACAGCTTTGAGTACGATAGCTTTGGTATTCTCAGGCACGCCCTGTGCTCCATTGATGAATGTATAGTCGAAGTAACCTTCTGCTGCTGTCTCGATCGTCTCAACTTCGGCAACCTTGCAAAGCTCAAAGTATCCCTTAATCGTGTAGTAGAATGTCACCGCATTCGGAAGGTTACTCAAGCTATCGTTTTGCAGGGTATCTTCGAGATGTTGAAAGATCGAGCAACAACTGACAAAATACGCTAACAGATGCTTTGTTGCATCGGGAAGGTCTATTAAGGTTTTAAGATTTTTGTGGAAACGTTGGTGTGCTGCGGATGCCTGCAAGGTACGGCACCAGAGCACATATTTGTCATAATTCTCAACAAACACCGCAATTTGATTCCAGACCAAAAATGAATGCTTCTCTGTTTCTAGAGGGATCAACGACAAGCCAGCATCTGCCAGCGAAGATCTCAAGGTTGGAGTATGCTCGATCGTTGCTGCGAGCGAACGTATATGCTCCAAACCCGAATTAAAAGTTTCATCATTTTGTAACTCTGTCACGATGTCTTGGAACAGAGTGTTGATTGTGTGGCTAGCGCAATGAATGTGGTGAAAGTCATTGGTCTTCAAGAAGGCTTTTGGCTTCACAGGTTTCAAAAGGTCATGGAGAGGATACGAGTTTGCTGACGTGTTCCGTGCGGCGTTTCCAGAAGTAATGGAGCTCACTTTGTCGGTGATTTTATACTTTTTAAGCACCTTCGCCACGTTCTTCAGTAAATGTTTATCTTTGTGGGAAGAATCTGTGATTTCGACACATTCCAAAAGATGGCTATTGGAAGGCATTTGAAAGCTATTAAGTAGGGCTTGTTGCCCTTGCTCTTTCAAAAGCTTTTCGTTCAAAAGGTTGGGAACAAATGATGCAGCTATACCAAGATAAGAACGGCCGTTTCTATTGGACCAAATATCGAGCTCTAGGTTAATGAAATCTGTATGCTCCATAGCCGCGATGAGCGCGTCATCAAACCAAGATGTGTACAGTTCCACTTTCTCGTTCACTGTTTCTCGGGAGTTAATCAAGGCCGTTTCCGGCTGTGTAGCATTAATCCAGTTCCAGACTGGATTTTCGACAAGCCGGAGGGACAACTGATTGACCGTTAAAAGGCCAATTGTCCAGACAGAGCCAGGGTTTCGTTCACACTCTCCAATAAAACTTTTGGGCCATGGCAGTGAGCGAGTTTCCGAATCTGGAGTATCAATCACAAGCTGCTCTGGATCTAACGGCATTTTGAGACATCAATTGGACAGCTTGCAGGTTGTAAACGCGTTTTGGTAGGTTTCTCGGAAATATTGAACTGGAGTTACAGCTGTTCTTAATTTTAAATGTCGCGTTTATTTTAACCAGCTCACGCGTTACATACGGGTCAACCCGTTAATTAGGTCATACAGAATCGGATATGTTTCGGGTACACAATAATTTGAAAACGGGTTGCTAAAAGATTCATGGGTTTAAAACACCGGGTACTTTAACGGATCTAAAGTCATCACATCCTACGTGAAAATCATGCTAACAACACAAACAACAGAGATAAAATAGTATTACAAGACGAGCCAAGAAGATCTGAGAACTAATTATTCCATTGAGTGAGTAACACGCCATCATGATGATTGAAATTTAACGCGTCATACTACGTTTGTTATTTCCAGTGACACCAGTTTATCTATGGTTTTTATATCGTCAAGTCACGTGAACGATCTCTTAATTGTTTCGGATCCTCTTTACCTACTGCAAACTATAAGCTTCGATACATTCGTTTTATATGCGTGAGCGTAGCCTCGGCGTCTTATGTCCATCAGCTACACGTTCTATACCGGAACTATCAGCGCGAACGCGATGCAGGTGAAATTCAAAAACTGCAAATCTGAAAAACGAATCCAGTCACGAAACGCGGACAATTCCTTTCCACTAGAACAATTTTCTTCTCGTAACTAAATTATCAGGTTTAAGCCTCGATGCGTCGGATGCTTTAAAGTCTGTCATACATAGTTTATATCGCTACCTTGCGATTATAGTGAAAATTGTCCGAAGTTTAAATTTTTCTATATAGAGGTATATAATTGCGGGAGACGTTAATGAAAATCGATAATTAAAAAAGCCCGCTTAAATTAAAGGGGAATAGAGCAGTATTTGTCACTGCCACTATCATCAACCAAAAGTCAAAAATCAAAAGCCAAGAACAATAAAACTTTGACAAGAAGACATGGGCATCAACAATCCAATTCCACGTTCGCTTAAATCAGAAAGCAAGTATGTGTCTGGTTGGTGAAATAACCTCTTTTTTTTTATTTTCCTGTTAGATGGGTGGTTTATTGTATGCAATTCACTATCACTCACTAGGGGTTGGCAAGTTTAGTCAGACACTAACTTAGAAATATTTTGTTTTGGTAAAGAAAAGCAGCAAAAGTACTGGCAAGCTTCGTCAAGCCCAATCAAATTCTAGGCGCTGACACGATGATCCCACCGGAAATCCTGAGACGAGCCAAAGGTCTGGCCGTTATAACGGTTCTGAAAGCAGGATTTCTTTTCAGCGGGAGAGCAGGATCTGGGGTCATCGTGGCACGGCTGAGGGATGGTTCCTGGTCAGCACCTTCTGCAGTTGCTCTAGCAGGTGCAGGAGCCGGAGGGCTAATTGGAGTGGAGCTAACGGATTTCGTGTTTATCTTAAACACAGAAGATGCAGTCAAATCTTTTTCGGAGTTTGGTACCATCACGCTCGGGGGTAACATGTCCATGGCAGCAGGTCCTCTGGGTCGCAATGCAGAAGTTGCTGCATCTGCTTCGCTGGGCGGTGTGGCTGCAGTTTTTTCTTACTCCAAAACCAAGGGTATATTTGCGGGTGTCTCAGTTGAAGGCTCCGTGATCGTCGAAAGAAGAGAAGCGAACAGAAAGATTTACGGCGATAATTGTAAAGCAAAAATGATCCTCAGTGGACGTGTAAGAGCCCCAGCAGCAGCAGATCCTCTCTTCAGAGTTCTCGAGTCTCGCGCCTTCAACGGCAGAGACAGATCTAGGGACCCTGACTCTGACAGCGGCTTTTACGACGACATTCCCTCATCGTTTGATTCAACCGACATGGATTCTAATCGGCCGAATACAAGATCGACCCGCAGAAGAGGTGATTCCGTTCAATCTTCGAGATCCTACCGTGATGATTATGATGACGATTTCGACGAAGAAGATCCAAATGACGTCAGCGGGTATTACTCGAGGGCAAGAGGCCAAAGATCTTCGAGTCGTTGGGAAGACGATGTGTATGATAGAGATTTGGATGACGGTGCGCAAAGGCATAATAATTATTCCAAATCTTCAAGTGCGCCTTTGAGACCTCGGACTGAAAAGCCTGATTTTGGCATCTCTTCACCATCAGGAGGCTCAAGGAGCGCAAGAGATGCATCATTTGGATTGCCAAAAGCTGTCGCTCTCTTCACATTCAAGGGAGAGCAGTCGGGAGACTTGCAGTTCCGCAAGGGCGACGTCATCTCAATATTAAAAAAGTCAGATTCACAAAACGACTGGTGGACGGGGCGTAACAACGGCCAGGAGGGTATTTTCCCAGCTAATTACGTAGAGTTGGTCTAAATGAAATACGCCGACGAAAATTATTTTATAAAGAATAAGGCAGCAAATCTTGCAAGATGTCATTTTCATCTCCGCTTGTTTGGCATATTATGTTCAATACGTAGGCCCAAAAGTTACCGATACGCATAAGCATAAACGCTAAGCCAAATTATGAAGCTAGAACAGAATTCTCTAAAGGTCAGGCGTCGCTGAGTTATGATCTATCTCTGAAAGCCAAGAAAATTGATCGCTTCTTGAACCTGCTTCTGTAAACTTCTCCCGTGCTGAGGCCTCGTGTTCATTAGAAGTATGAATTTAGTCAAACTTTCAACATCGGAGCGCCAGTAGACATCAAAAATATATTCGGCTATGCATTTCAGGTTCTCATCGCGAGACGCATTAGGATATGATATAAAATCCATAGCCGTTTTTATTTCTTTCCTCAGCACATCTAGAAGCTGTCTCTTCGCGCAAATATGAGCATCTTGTGAAAATTTCATGGACCGTGGAGCGTACGCTGCGGGGGGTGGATTGTTGCGAAGGTACGGTTCGGAAATACCTTTGTGATCCTCAAAGCCATCGGAGCTATTCTGAGTTTGTTCGTCGCTTTTTTTCAGCTTTCTACTACCGATTGAAATATGGTTTTGCGTCAATAGTGGTCTCCACGAGACTTTGATATCGCAATCACCAATCAGCTTATTATTCAGTGAAGTGAAAAGCCTGTTGGCATCGGGGCGCGAGCTGCACAAAACTTGCCCAGCAAATGTCAAAGTGTCCTTATCGTAGTGATCAATAACAATGTGCTTGTAGCCAATTTTTTCAGTGGAGCACAGCTGCTCCAAAAATTCCTCGTTACAGATGGAGCTCAGGTTACTCAAATACAAAGTTTGTCTGTATCCATTGGAGAGCAAGATCGAAATGGAATCCTGATGCGATGTATCCTTTGCGGGCCTTACCACCCTCGTGGCCTCATCAGCGCGAATACCCTTGGTAATTGACAATTTCTTGCCCATGAAAAGCATGCCATCTAAGGTCTTCAATGCGTTCTGCGTGTCGTTTCCTTTTTTATAAGTAACGAATCCCCAACATGTTCTTTTGTGCATTTTATTCGTGGCCGTAAAGATCGATTTGACTGGCCCTACTTTGCTGAAGAAATCAAGAAGCTTTTCGTTGTCTGCCTCTATCGGCAAATTCTTGACATGAACCGAATTGGGATGCGGGCCACCAGAGCTTTCACCGTATTCGATTTCAGTTTGATCATCAGTAACCAAACATTCCTTGGTCAACCCATCCAACTTTGCCTTCCGTTTTTCAAACTCCGGGGATTTTCTGACGTCTTTGTCAAAATGGAGACCGCATGAAATCTTGTTGCCGAAAAACTCGGCATCATTGAATTCATCAATCACCTTTTTAGCGACAGCGTCACTTTCAAAATATACGAAACCAATATTTTTACGTCTTTCCAATTTGCACGAAAGAACCCTCCCAAAACATATGAAAGTCTCATAGAACGCGCGTGTCGTTAGATTCGGATTTTCTAGGGGGAGGTTGGCGAAAAACACATTAGTTCCAATATTTTTCCTGAAGTATGTGTTTCTCATGGAGGGCATTATTCTTACTTCCCTTCCAAAGAGACTCACGTAGCTGAAATCTCGGATCGCCTTCTGTGCATCCTCCGTTTCCGCAAAGTTCAGATACCCGTAGCCTAGCGACTTCTTCGTCTCTGCGTCTAGACATATTTTGACGGACTGTAGTGACGGAAATACCCCAAAAACATCCTTCAGCATTCTTTCCGTGACGTTTTGATTGAGATCTCCGATGAAAAGTGCTGTTGTTTTGAAACTGGATATGCAAGTATCTTTAGAGTCGTTTAGCTGCACAACTGCATCGGACTCAGTACCATCTGAATTCTGAGACGACACACTTGAGTGCAATTTATTTTCTCCGGTTATTGAGGACGCTTTGAAACTGCTGTCCACTGTCTGGTTTGCTCTAGGGACTTTACCAAATCCAACGTTTTGCGACTTATTCTCTTTAAATCTATTCACATTGGGGGAAATTGTGTTCAAAACATTTCCCGTGTCGGCCTTGAAGCCTCCCCGGACTCCTTTGGGCATGGTGTGGCTCAAATGTTCTTCAAGTTAAAGTTGGATCGATTCTTCACACAATTCACGGAAATATTGACGTTCTTAAAACCAAGTCGAGCAGAAAGTGTAACTTTTAGTAAGTTTAAGCTGAACTCTATGGTATATTGCACCTCGGTTATTAATCTGGGTCAGCGAGATGGTGTCCTCAGTCTTTGAGAATCAAAACTCTAGTTTTTATAAGACATCACACTACCGCGTTTGTGACACAATGACTGGTACAAAGGCGGCAAACCGATCTCAGAATTGAAAGGTAAACACTTCGTTAATAGCGATGGAGTCGGTAGGAATATCAAATCGCGTGATTGGAAGCTTAAGCTTTGGCTACACTTCGAATTCAAGCTTTGTAGTTCCATTTGATTCAAGAATGTGAAATCGTTGGAATGGCTGTATGCCATCTCTTTTTTTTCTATATGACGTATCGTAATCCACCTCCTATTTCTGATTCAAACAGTCAAAATGTCTCTCCCAAAGAAGCCTCTCTTGAGCCAATCCATGAAAAGAAGAACTCTTGTGCGTAAGGAGACGGTTTGAGCGAAGTAGATACCTCTCCACAAATACATGGCTATTAGTCCACCAACGAAGGAGTATCCAGGAATGTCAAACACTGCAGAGTTACCAATGTAGGCCAACGAGCCGAGATGAACGTATTTGAAGGCTTTGTAGACAGATTCATCTGCAATCAATTGAGGAGTTTCGTTCACACGTGTGGTGTCTGAGCTCCTTGAAACCTTGGTGAGCTTTTTGCCAATATACTTACCCTGCTGATGAGCTCTTTGCGCTGTGGCTGGCATGGACGTAGCCTTGCTCTCGACGTCTTTCAAAAGCTCTGTAATCTGATTCATATTCAAGGCACCACAGCTGGTGGCGTCGTATTTGGGTAGAATTTCTTCTACATTGTACAGAAACTCCCTGGTTTGAGGGTGTCTTCTAACCAGTTCTCTCGCCAGATCCTGAATCTCATCATAGGAGATCGAAAGATGTTTTATGTCGTCATCTGTAATAATGTTGCTTCTGGTAGGATGTAAGTGCTTGTTCACGATAAACTGTCTCACAAATTCGACAGCGTGTTCTGCAAGGTCGGTTCTGACGGTAGCGCAATCACCAATGGCGTATACTTCACCCGAGGGAGCGCCGAGAACCCGCAAATGAGAATCTGTCTCAATTGCTCTTCTATTTCTTTGAAAAGTGGAAAGGTCTTGAACAACTTGCTTCGCCAAAGGGTTTTGGGCGACTCCAGTAGACCACAGACACAACCCGAAAGGAAGCTCTTTAAGCTCGTTCTCGCCAGTCTCCTTGTTTTTCTGAGTGAAAATCACACGGTCTGGCAGAATCTTGTGCACCCTGGAATTGGTCAAGACGTCTATATCATCTTTTTTAAACCTTTGCATTGCATACTCGGAAATAGTTTCGTCATACGTGTTTAGGATGTTCGAACGGGATTGGATAATGTGGACAGATACCTGTTGCCTCAAGATTCTTGGATAGATCTTGGGCAAATCCTCATTCATCAAATCGAAAACCTCAGCAGCAAACTCAACACCCGTTGGTCCACCCCCACAGACAACGAAGCTCAGAATATTTCTGCGTTCCTCGTCTGTGGTGGTGGGCAAACAAGCAATTTCCAAGTTGTCTTTGATTTTTCTTCTCAGCGCGATCGCATCCTCAGCGGTCTTCAGTCTGGAGCAGTTTTCCAAACCTTCCACACCGTGCGTGTTAGCAGTGGAACCCACAGCAATAACCAATTTATCGTAAGGGACATAGAAGTTGCGCTTTTCTCCGGTTTGAGCATTAAATTGAGATACCTTCACAAGTTTTTCGGCGAATTCCACCTTTTCGGCTTTGGCTTCTAAGTAGTGGCCACTCACGGTGTTCACCAGCTTTCTGATTGAGGCCATAAGAGATTTGAGTTCTAGTGTTCCAGTCGCAGCTGAAGGTAACAGGGGAGTGAACAGAAAGTAGTTTTGGGGGGACACGACTGTTACGTCATATTCTCCAGGCGCCAGGGCTTTCAACACACCAACGGACGCCCACCCAGATCCCAACACCACCAATCTTGGTCTATAAGATAGTTTTTCTTTAGTTTCTGAATCGTAGGCATCCAAATTGTCTCTCAATATTGGCAAGTTCTCGGGTCCACCGATTTCTGGTGTGAGGGCCAATTGCGGTACTTCGATGTAATCTGGAAGCTCGCTATTCTTGTACGTGGTAGCGTCATAGAGGAAAAATGCCACCAGCGAAATTCCAATCGACGAAACTAAAACGCCGCTGGTAAAGATAGAAAATCGGACGACTCTCCCGAGCCTATCACTTAAAAATGACTTTTTAGGACCTTTTTCGATCTCTTGCCTCAGCATTGCACTGCTGTGGATAGATCTGACATTTAAAGCCCTAGCATGCCGACATCTTAGGGCTTTCATGCCAGAATGACTCGCATACCTTGAAAGTAGCGAGCCTTGTGACAGACAAGTTCTACCCAAGCGATTGAGCATCTGTTCTCAGGATCTGGTTACTTGTTACTGGTCAAAGTGTCAAAGACAGTTATAAAAGGTAAAGCAAACTTCTATTTTTTTAGCTAAACTAATTCACACAGCAACTTAAATTTAAAAGGACCCAGAAAAATATTGAGCGATCTACGCATAATTCGCGTCAAAAGTGAGTTCAAATAAGACAGGATAGCAAGGCTTCGGCGTCGCATGAGGTCTCCATTCGCGTACCAAAGACTAGATAAACAATTATGTAAACTTTTCTTGACCAAGAATCCAAGCTTTAAGACGTAGCATGGCAAATGGAATGGCCAGTAGTTGCCGGGATTAAAATGATATGCACTTAAATACCAAACTGATCTATTTCGCGCAAGACAGATAACTTTGTTACAATGGGTGCACCCGCAGCTGTCAGTGGATTCTGCTCGAGTGTAGAAAAGCCCTCATAGATAAAACACGACCATCTTATTAAGTCTTTACGACGACAAAAGTCTCATATATTGATTCGATTTGTACCCACAACACACCATCTTTTGTTCATTTTCTCATATTTCGCAGCGAGGAAAGGGATGTGATTCGCTACACTGGCCTAACTTCACCTTTCAAGCCATTTAATGGAGCGCGTGTTATGCCGGCAAAGGTATTGCATGGCCTCGCGACCCAGTAGTGATTACACTACAGTAAAAGTACCGGCAACCGGATTAAAATTGACACGTACATCTTACTCGAACACGCGGGCCGTGCAGGTTTGCGCACGCCCTGAAATAAACGATGGTGCCTCCAACTTCGACATCATATGTGTATACAATGCGTGGTCTCTATAAGCCAGTATTCTTGCCAACCCAACCCCCACAAATAGTCAAAAATCCAGTGACTCTTGTAAACAGTCGAGTAGATATACCTCTATCCTGGAATTTTTATCCCGTTAAATATCATTACTTCTTTTCCTTTCTAGACATGAGACTTTTAAGGTTCATGAGTGACCCGTTTCGACTTAGAGAAGTTGTCCCCGACGCGGGCTCTGAGTCATGTAAGGAAAATTGAGCGTGCCCGGTGCTTTCTTTCTTACCGCCAAGAGGTGTCATGTTGAAACCAAAATGCTTCGATGCTGTTCCTCCTTTGCTCCCGCTGCCCACATTTACTGAAACATTTGATCCACCTGTATTACTTCTTGAAAGCGAAAATCTGGGCAGAGAGGAAGAAGAACTGTTGTTGCTCCGAGACAAGGCTGCGTGTGATAGACGAGTGCCGCTATTGGTCCTTTGCATTTCAGCCGATCTCTGGTGTGCTAATTCGGGTCTCTCCAAATCCAAGGTGGAGCTTTCGTTGTTCTCTCTGGGGTACGCTGGAGGTAAATCAATTGGAATGTTGTCACCTCTCATTGCATTTTCATACGAAGGCACCCTGCTCATCGCATTCAACTTCCAATCACCTTTGGCTGACGGCCCAAATGGACCGAAAGAGTTTGCACGAGATATGTGATCGAGACCTGGTGAACCCATAGGACCAGGTGATCGTAGACCAGTATTATTCATCGCAATCATACTCTGTACGTGTCGTGGCGTGGGTACTGAAAAGTAATCGGTTGGTCCAGAAGTACGTGATCCCAAATCAGGCTGGGAACTGGGTTCGGGGGTTGTAGGTAGACTAAAAGCCTCGTTCGATCCGTTTTCGCGTTGATTTGGCCGCTCCTGCTCGACGTGTAGTTTCTGAAGTCCATGTTGCAGAGCGTTCATCTCATTGGGGCTATTAAGGAATGAGCCTTCCGATGGCGCTACTGGAGATTGTCTGCCAGAATTGGTAGGTGTATTTTCCACAGAAATGCCACTCCAGAGCCTGTCGTATATGTGACTTTCATAGTTAGGTGGCGCTAGAATAGCAGATGTCAAGTTTGTGGTGCTGCTACTATCTTGAGTTGATGCATTTAGTCCCGCCAAATTTAACTCTGATACTGTGTTCGAGAAGATCATGTCGTCGTCATCATCATTGTCGTCACCGCCTTCTGCATCCGTGCTGTTTGCTGAGATGTTGGCGCTGCTATCTAGGGAGTCGGTACATTTGACGCCCAGAGCCACAAAAGGTGAAATAAAAAGTTGGATCGGTAAGGAAGCGCGAAGTTCAGAAACATGACCATCGGGGTTAACGAGGGATATCACGAATTTGAGCTTGTGGCGCACCTTTATATTCGACAGGATGCTACAGTCTTGTGTGCACTTCGAAAGACTTGGGGGGATGCTAAAAACAGCCTCGACCTCCCATTTATCCTGGTACTCAGACCCTTCGGTCTCAGTGACTGAGTGATTCAGAGGATCCGAAAGCTTAAGCTTCGAGACCACACGCTCCTGGTTATTTCCCGCGCCGTAAGGCGCACAAAAGGATGAGTACTCGACCAATTGTACCTTTATTGGTCCTAATTTTAAGCCCTTAAGCAAGGGGACCATAAGAATGTGAATTTTCGTAGCTGATCCAATCGCGATTGCCTTGCCTGGAACAGAAATGGAATAATCTACCTTGTTTGGCCAGGTGTTATCAACAGACATCGTTTCACTAAGTTCAACGGCATCAGGCGTAAGTGTACGAATCACTCTGAGATGCTTTTTACTTATCAAATCTGTGGCGAACTTACTTCTCTCAATGGTAGCTTGAAGTTTGTAAATGACCGATGCATTGGGCAATCCTTCAACACTTTCGGTAAGGGTACCCGGCAACACTGCACTGAACGGAAATTCATAATTACCCTTGACTAGTAGGTGGCTATTGCTGCCCGAACCTGAGGTCAAAGACCTCAAGGAAGTCGTCGATTTAGCCTTGCTGTGCAAATTGTGCAAATTGCTAAATGAGCCACTTTTACTTGCTATGGATCTCTGGGACCCATAGTTGTCGTATAGGTTGTGGAAGTAGTCTTCAATGTTGATGTTATCCCAAACGTGCTCGAAGAATCTTTTATCATATTTGAAGCTTCTTTCAGTGGGCCCTTTCGGTCCACGATACGTGGCCGTCAAATTCAGCCGCAACATTCCGTATAATCTCAATGTCAACTTCTTAATTTGCATAGGCTCAGAAACCGAGAGAACGACAGTTCCCGCAAGCAATACGGACGATGCGTCGTGGGGGGCACCTTTGACCACTATAACATCGTGCTCTGCAGACTTGATTCGAATCTCGAAGAGTGCAGGTGCTTTACTGCTCTTAGCACTCGTAAAACCCATTACAGACTTGATTCTTCGTGCTAGTGCAAGCTATTCGAAACCCGAATACGTTGGTCAGGAGCAGAACGAGGCTGGTGAACAAGCCGAGCTACCACGAAAGGACGATACTTGAGAACCTACTTCTCACAAAAATATTATAGATTAGAGTAACCTCTATGAGAAACAGACGTTTGCGTTGAAGAAACTGCACAAGTACAAGCTCCTATTTCAATACTTTTAAGTTTTATATATGTGCTATTGATTGCTTGCATTGGCTGTATACTAAACTATAGTCGATCGAAGATTTGCCGGGTAAAAAATAAGATTCCAATATGTTTGCTATACTAAAGCTTCTAGACTACAAGGAGACTCGGTCAAGCTTGGATACCAGGAGCTGATTGGCGTATCATAGCGTGAAAGGGCGATTTGAATGCGAATGCCGGTGCTTGTGACCAGCAGTTGAGTGAACCTTTCAAGCTCGTAGATTGATCGCATAGCATCCTAGACGTATACCTGTACAATCAATACATCAACAAAGAAAACTGGCTGAGTAGCAAGCAGTCACCACCACGCTCGGGATCTAACACGTAGTTGTACATGTAGCCGTCGGAAGAAATAACCCGGATCGGTATCATTTTCGTCAAACCTGAACTGCTCTCGCTGGCAACAGACCCCCAGAGGCCATTCTCAAATAGCTCCGGGTACTCCGCAGTATCGATATCAACGGGCTGGCCGATTGCAGTGATAGACTTTATTGTAGCCCCACTCTCAATCGGGAGCTTTAAACTCGCAAAGTGTCGTGAAGGCTCCAAGATAGAGGTCACTTTGATGGGGAAATAGGCACCCAAAGTTTTCGCTGCCTTTCTGGAGAGCTTTTGGGACGAATTTCGTATCATTCTTCCAACTGTCCTTCTGGATGCATCGACTACCGGCTCCTTCGATGTCGCGTCAGGATGTGATGAATCATAGCTAGCTGAGGAGGTTTGTCCCAAAGATGCGGTTTCTTCGGGCTCTCCTTCCTCAGCCTCATCTATAGAGTAAGTATCAGCATCCTGATCCTCTAAATCGCTGTTATTTTGGGCGTCAGCGCTTGTAGTAACGTATGCACCCTTGCCTAGCTTGAAAATATGAACAGTCTTGCTTGACGAACTGGCTGCCAAGAACTGATTATCGTCGCTGAAGCACATTGAGTAAATTTTGGTTGGATACGTACCCCTCCTGAACTGGTAAACTTTAGCACCTGTTTCTACCAAAAAAACTCTTACGATAGTTCCCTTTTCGGATGCTGTGGCAAGGAGGGTTCCATCTCTACTCAAAGTGAGGGCTGCAATTTCGCCCTTGTGAGCTTCTATCACCATTGTTGGTTGAAGTGTCTGCATGTTGAACAAGATAACATCACCGTTTTTCAAAATGCTATTGGCAGTTTTGGTATTCCCCGCATTGTTGTCCGAAGAAGTTGCATTATTGTCCACAACCTCTAGTGAGGAGTTTCCCGCAGTAACACCCTCTCCGGGCGGTGAGAGTTGGTCTCCTTGGGCTCCTTGTGAAAAAAATGTCTCACTGGGGCCATTGTGATTGGATGCTGTGGTCGTATCATTGGAGGAAAGACTAATGTTATTGGTGGTGGCATGTCCCTTGATCTCTGATTTGATCACTTTGGGGGGAGAAGGATAGGCGAGATAGTTGCTATCCAGTGATGGAGAGACCGCAATCAGTCCTCGGAGATTCGTGGCGGTTTCTATTGTGTGCAGCAGCCGCATGTTGCTGATGTCATAAATGTATATCTGATCTTGTAAAAGCACGATTAGCCGAGCTTTATTCATTTTGACCGCTAAGATAGTCGATGGGAAAGTGACTTCGCATATTACTGAATGCCGCTTAGTGTTTATAATGCGTAGTCTTCTTGGAGACATCGCCGGCTGGTCCCCCACCCCGACAACTGCCAGCAGCGACGTCGAGAATAGCATCTCCACTATCCCATATCCCCCACTTTCATCTGAGTAGAATTTTCCAAATGGGTCACAGTTAAAGATCTCAAATCCTTCCGAGGTTCCCATTGATATGCATGATCCCGTCTGGTTGAAGTTTAAGAAGTTTATGCCACGAGGAGATGACATTATGGTTTCATAGACTGAGTCCCGGATGACACTCTGTGAAGTGGTGGTTCTGAGAGCTGGTGCAAGTATCTCTTTAGCGAGCTTTGAATACTCTTCTTCACTATATTGCGAAGATATTGTATTCTAATTCTACAGACGAGTTCACTGTTTCCTTTTCTGATTGTCAGATTCAATATAGTGTATATGCCACACAATATATACTATACATATATAATATATATTCGTAATAGGATTCGGAATCAAAATCGTCTGGTTATCATCCATACGTTTTCTACGCCAAAGACCGATTGATTGATTCTCAACAAACAATGGTGAGTTCTTCTCAAAATCCTAGTGCCCAGGGACTCTCAGGACGGAAAATTGTATATGATGAAGATGGGAAACCGTATGACAAAAGTTGCCAGTGTTATTGTATTTCATGCAATATACTAACAAATGCCAGATGCCGATCTTGTAACACCTTGTTGGATTTCCAGCTTGCAACGGGGAAAATTGGTAGCACCAGTAGTAAAAACGCCGGACCTAAAAATGATAAAACTGAAGTTTACGCGAAAGTGGACCCTCCTGACGTTGAGACGCTGGGCAATTCGAGCTGGACGCTGCTGCATGCAATCACAGCATCTTATCCAAAACAACCGAACGATACGCAAAAAGGAGAAATGAAACAGTTCATGACAATTTTCTCGCATGTTTATCCATGCTGGTGGTGCGCTAAAGACTTCGAAAACTTTATGCGGAATAATGCACCAAAGGTCGAATCTAGAGAGGAACTCGGCAGGTGGATGTGTGCCGCTCACAACGATGTCAACAAAAAACTAGGAAAGCCAATTTTTGACTGCAATTTGTGGGAAAAGCGCTGGGTTGACGGTTGGGATCAAAAATAAGACTTTCTCGGCGCTACATATATCTCCGTTTTGTGAATTAGACTGTGCTGTTGAAAGAGCAGCCCCCTGATTAAGATTCTTGAGTGCGCGAGATAACTGGAACTTGGAGGCCTATACCAAATACTCTGTCTTACTCTCAGGCCTAGATTTGTTCCCCATGCAATTTGTAAAACGAGATAAGGATAATTTCTTCATTGAGTCTAGCTCACAGTTCCCTGATGCACTACAGTATGATCAAAACATGATTCAACTGAGCATAAGTCTGTGGTTTAAAGAACATTGAGCAACCCAGTATATACTGGCCATAGAACGCTTCGCATCCTACAACCCTCCTCTTGAGATCAAAGTTTCATATGTTGTCAGCGACATACGTTTTATCAATCAAACTTTCCACTTCCAGTCAGTCCCCAATATGGGCATGTTGTACAGCTCAAAATTTCTTCTGACGCAGCGACACTCGTTTCAATGAAAACCCATCATCTCTCCACCTCAACTTTTCAGAATAAAGATACTGCACACTTCTAGATATGCTTTGTCACTAGCCATTTCGCTGTAAGCTTCTGTGCGTCTCGCCAAGGCAATTGACGTCTCTAAAATCAAGTCTTGATTAAGTGATCATTCTGAACCTACCACATACTGATGTACTGGCATACGTCCGAATGCAACATTATTGCGGAAGGTTTATATTACCCAATTTCCTAAGCTTTCGCATCTGCCAATTGATCCTCATGTTGTGTTCCGGTTATGGTAGCGGCACGGGTTTCGAGTATGAGCCACGCAAAAGCTACCTCTAGTGCCAGCGTAGCAGCCTTCCTCGAATTACGACGCTCCCTCGACATATGCGTGGCCAGATTAATTCTCGTAATACCCTTGACCTGTTTGATCATGTTTCTCAGCTCGAATTTGTCGTCAATGGCATCACAATCACTATGAACCTCACCCGTAGTTCACAACAAAAGTCAAGAAGTTAACTTTTCATCCCGCAGCAGATTTTATATGGTCCGTAGTACTCTTTTCAAGATGACGTCTTTAGGTTGAGCTCTCAGAAGCAGTAGCAGCGATTTTTGGAGAGTTAACGCCAATATCTCAAGTAGTAAGAGCACTTAATATGCTGCTTCTGTTAACCTCCAACCTCCCTTCGCTGTTCATATTCTTTCATTCATGAGCTTGAGCGCATTGGCTTCTCTTTGCTACTTAATGCTACACTTTCTGTATGTCGTTGCTGGTTTACTGTCAAAGTTAGAGACCTTTAGCGAAATACTGATTTCAAGTATATACTGACTGGCATTACTAAATGTCTGGTCGATGAAGATGAATAACGAAAAGACAGACCAAGACTCAAGAAACCAGAAATGACATATAGCCGATGGTCTTGGGAACAGACAAACTAACTGCAGCATAGGCAGAAGGATACCAAGCTAGGTACGGAAAAAAAAAGCAGGGAGTTACAGGATTAGAGATCTATAGATTTTTGTATTTGGTGAAAATTACACCTGACAGTTTTTCTTGGTGTACAACTGTGATGAATCAACAGATACCACAGCCTTCAATTCTCAAGATCCTGCGAATACACTTCAAACTTCAGGACAAATTTATCTACGATGATTTATTTCTTTTTGCTTAAGGGCCCTTTCCATTGCATGTTTTTGGTTCCCCATGTTTTTAGTGAGGCAATAATGGTGTTAGGCGTCCTCAAATGAAACCGGATAAAGTAACGACATAAACTTGCATGACACGACAATAAAAAATGTCAAAGACCGATGATACAGTATTTGGAAAGAACACCTGATGAGACAACATAAAAAAGGAAGAGCACACCGTGAATCCTAAGAAGCGTAAGGTATAAAATACGAGCATATAGTGCTCCGGCTACGGTTAATCTTATATTTTGAAGAGATAAGGTAGAGCATCATAAGTAAACATTGAACAAGTGTTTGAATCGTTATTATACCTGTTTGAATCGTTATTATACCTGCTTGAGCATAATAGAAGCTTTCGCCAAGTGTCGTGCTCAACTATCACGAACTACAAGAATCTATAAAAGGTCTTTAATCCTGTTGAATACGTCGTTCTTAGTCCTATATCTCGCCCCCCTTCCTTCTGTCTATGTTATACTACTTTGCCCGTTCCTAAGGCCCTCTTTTATATGTTATTCTTGGTTCATTGTGAGGTTCATTATGAACCTCTGTTANTTCATTGTGAGGTTCATTATGAACCTCTGTTATTGGTTTCTTGTTGAGGTTCCGCTCCTTACGTAGATCGTTAAATCCTCATCTCGACCTCTCCGTACCTAGGTTAGGTTCATCGTGTGGTTCCTTCGGTTTCGGTCGGTCCTTTCTTCATTCGTCTTTAGTCATTCCATGACACCAAGTTATCTTTACTTTGCATTCATTATGTAAGACCGTAGCACAACAATGTTAAGATACGTCCCAGTGGCCGAGTGGTTAAGGCGATGCCCTGCTATTCGACATATCGAAAGCGAGTTAGGCATTGGGTTTTACCTGCGCAGGTTCGAATCCTGTCTGTGACGTTTTTTTTGGAGATATTATTTTATTTTGGTCTAAGGGCCGCTGTTAATGACCCACATTGACCGAAATGAACAATGAAGGCTTTTCGAGATATAAGATTCATTCCAGTGAGGATTCTTCCCTTCCATCTTGCTGATGTCAATGTTATTATATTGATTTCACAATTGAGGCGCCTTTGTTTTTATGATTTAGTCCCATTTATAACTTTCAGTTTATAGAGAACTTTTAATTGCATCTAACGGGATGCGTCACACTAACAGTGTCCTTGAAAACCCATGACTTGAAACACTCGAAAATAAACTTTGAGGTATTACTTGTTTAGAGAAATCATAACTATGACGAGACCCTTGCCATTTTTCATTTTTCTACTCGTGGCTGTCTTGGAACCAAGGATCGGGAACCATCAGAATATATCTTTCCATCGCAACCCTAAACCTGGTTTTATACTGCCTTGGCGTCACAACAGTCGGCTCCTTGGTGCTGCCCCCTACAAAACCTCTTTCCTTGACCCAGCTTTCGAGTTTCTTGTCCCAGGTAAATGTGCGTATAAAATCAATGATCCCTACTGTCAGAGTGTGATCCTCGTTGTTGACCCCAACTACAAGAGAATAATCCATGACATTCATTTTAGCCAGAAAAAGAGTGTCATTCCACAGTGAAGCACGCAAAAGCTTTTTGTCGTATTCTCTGACAAATATGGGAGACTCGTAAATGTACTCTACCATATTCTCATCCAGTAGAACCTCGTTCTCCTTGCCTGTCTGTTTCACATGTCGGTTCCTCATCGAGCCCTTCAGGTCAAAAATTCTTGAGGTTTTCTTGTTGTAGAACAGATTTTCCATAATGAGGACGTCCATCTGAAAACTTTTACCACTCTCTGAGTTCTTGGTTTGAATCTGATAGAATCCGAAAACTTTAGCCATGGCGGTCGGAAGATCGTGAAACATTGCTTGTGCCATATATTCAAAATAACTGGGTGCAAACTTTATGAATGAATCCAGTTCTGTATGTGAAAGCTCTTTGATCACAAATCTGTTATCCAAAGTCTTCAAAAAGGCACTACCACTCTTACCGCCGTTTGAATCCCATTTCACGCACCTTGAAAGGCTTTGAATAAAGTTTTCTTCACAGCCACAAGTTTTACGAAATGCATCAAATTGTTCAGCGAAGAAGATTTTACAAGACATGATTGAATTGCCATCTTGGAATTGGTAGCGCAAATGCATAGCTGTCTTCTTGGTCATAATCTGTTCTAAACTCGGCTGTTCATTTTCAACATTAGTATCATGAGTTCTTTGCGAGGTCGCACTTTCGACGCGCGGCTCCTCTCGTGTCTGAGCTTCTTTGACACTGGAACTTATCAGGTTTTGTTTGTATTGCTCGTGATCGCGTAAAGTAAAATGGTCATCTTCTGTCTGAGGGTTTGAAGACTGACTGACGGAGACTGCGTCATCTCCATCTTGATCTGACGTGATTAGTTCTGAATCTGAGACAGCCGTTTTCGTTGAATTTGGCGAAGCCATTTTCTGCAGGTAGTCTGTGGAACTTAAACAGAAGGCAATCAAAGATGAAGGTTCATCTTCGCGGATAATGACAGGACTATCAACGAAGATGTGCTCGGTTGACGCCGTTGGGTATTCCAAAGACTTCCATAAGGTTGCTGATCGATCTTCCCAGAAGTTCGCCAGCATTTTCATCAACGATGATCTTTCGGGCTGGGAAGTACTGGGAATTTCTTGAATTTTCGTCTCAGCTGTAGTAGATTGTTCTTTGGAGCTATTGTTGCCATCTATAATGGCGGGCCCAATGTCCATCAATCTGTCGTTTTTACTTCTGTTTTCTTCATCCCCGCGCAATATTTGCTCACCCCACTGATGGATTGAGTGCTCTAACTTGTTCCCAAGCTCATTGCTTGGATTCAAAGTTCCTCCGGCACCATGCCAATCACGTCGTGATCCTTTGTTCGCGGCATTCCCTGCATTTCTATTGTCGGTGTGCAAAGGACCATCAACTGCATCTTTGACATTCTGATAGATCTCAACAATGGGCTTGGATGGCTCTATCCTTACTGCCTTATATTTGTTCTTGTTCAAGTGTAATCTTTCAAGCTCTCTTTGTAATTCAAACTCCCTGGATAACGCATCAAAGTGGATTTGATCAAAAAAGTTCGCTAGTTGGCCCACTTTACTTTCGGAATGCTGGTCCTTAGCATGATGGCTACTACCACTCTGCACGCTCCCATTACTGTGGCTTCTTAGCAGTGCAGTACTAACGGGAACTGAATTCGATACTGCTGCCGAAGATGCTCCGCTCGAAGCTTTTCTGTTCCCGTTATTTGATGTCAGATGAGACTCGTTTATTTCACTTCCATCAACAAACGTGTCGTCTTTGGAGAGCGGAAGAGATCTACGACCGACACTTTTTTTGAATGTCGGTGTAGTCCTTTGACGAATCATTGGTGGACGAACGGTGGGATTTTGCTCTCTGTGAACAGATTTCGCATCCTCTGACAAATTTTCAAGTATCGGCGTCTTGTAGGATCTAAGGATATCGATTTCGTCCGAAAGAGAGTTATTCGATTGATTCGTCGCAGAGTGCTGATCCCGAGATAGAGACAGGTCCCGCTGTTCGTCGGCTGCAATTGAATTTTTGGCCGCTGGCCTGTAGTCACGTTCATTCTTCACAGAGTCTCTAAAAAGCTTTTTCAGCTGTACAGCAGTTATTCTAGCCACGTCTCTCTCCGATGGTAAAAAAGTTTTCTCAAAATCAATGAACTTCAAATCCCATCCGGCAGCATTGTCATGAACTGATTTTATGACAGTGTTCAGAATAAGATGCTCATTACCCAATGAATTTCTGTAGATAGAGTCAGTTCGTTCGGTCAGAAAATCTTTTTCCCTGCACGAGTCTCCTTTGAGTTCCACAATTTTCTTCTCTCCCGCTGAAACCTGCTCACTCGGTATGCTGTCAAGTTTTATTCGTTCCAATCTGTCGTTGACGCTTGCGTAAAAGTTGTTGATTTTATCCAAAATTTGATAGTAGAGTTCGACCTTAAGTTTAATGTCTATGTTTGGCTTCCATGTAATTTTGGAGCGTGGAGTGATTAATTCGTGGACTTCGATCTCAGAATAATCCATTCTTACCATCCAATCATTCAGACTGAAATATTTGACGTGATCCTTAGCAAAGTCGTGGCTGCAATTACCGACGATTTCGATTCCTTGGTTTCTGCTCCAAAACATCAACTCCAAATACTTCCCGAAAGAATAATTTCTGGTTTTCTCGCTCATCTGGAGAATAGGAGTTGAGCTGTTGCACTTTTTACAGTAGCTCCAGGTAACTAGAATATTTTTGAGGGATGGCAGTCTACTTTGAAATTGTTCAACCGAAACGTCAACTTTCCCCACGCCATGAACGTAACTTCTATAGTGATCTAAAAGTAAGCTACCGCAGCCATGCGCACAGGGAAAATTGGCCATCTGAACAATGTTTTCAACGAATTGCCCAATTGAAATGTCCGTCTCCCAAAAAAAGTCTATGCCTACAAGCTGTGGCCCAATACAGGGCGTTGCCGTTTTTTTGGAAATCATTGAGTAAAGCACATTGATACTTTGATGAGTTCCGGTGCCAAGCATATTCTTGGAAAGCGCATATGAAAGTTCCCATTGCCGACTTCGCCATTTAAATTGTGCTGTTAGATTTTCGACCTCTTTTTCGTGAATGAACTTCACAAGGGTCTTGAGATCTTGATTAGTGAGAGCTGGCTCCAATCCGAGTTCGTGAATGGTTTTGCTCACATAAGTAGTGTGAAACTCAGGGTTTGATAAGAGAAGGTTGCCTTCTGTTTCCTTCTCGACCAGTTCGTACTCCAAAGCACGAGCCTTCTCAAGCAAGAAAGGCAAAGGAAATTCAACAGTTGGTGACACCGATAGTATTCTCTGATGGAACTTGTCAATGAAGTCAGTAAAGTAACCTGGCTGTGATGATAACTCTCGGCCTAAAGCCAGTTCCTTGTAGAATTCAACCGATAGCTGTAATAAGTTGTCACTGAAAAAAGAGCTCTCGAGCTTCAAAGAAAATACAGTATAAACCATGAACTCTGTGATATCCTTTATTTTTCTCAACGTAACAGAGTTGGCCCCACGTAAAAGTATGCACCCGCCTTCCAAAAGTTTGCAGTCATTCAAGAACGTGAACGACTTGACCACATTGCCGTAGCGGTAGGTTTTTATCTCGAACGAGCCGCAAGTTCCTAACCTTAAGTTAGTTGCAAGCTTGTCTACGGTGATAGCAATACTTGCATCCGTCAGTTTTGAAATTCGCTCGATTACCTGAGGTTTCATATTGAATTGAATAGCTATGCCACCCTCATTGAGTAGCTCCAAGGCATAACCACTTACGTTTGCGCCTACTAAAATGAGATCAGGATTGAGTGCTGTAAGTCTCGACACTAGCTTCTTCAGATATTCCCTCTCCTGAGCCATGACGGAATCGATACTCATGAAATGAGTTTCACTTTTCTGATATTCCAGCGGAAACATGATCAGTAATATTCGAGGAGATCTCAGTACGCGAGGCATTGTCTTAAGAGGTAGATTTTTTGAGTAGATTACGCCATTCATGAACTTCGAATCCATAATATCTCCACCATCAATGCGCTTGATTTTCACGTAGTGCTGTTTGAAATCAAGTCCACTCATCTTCCTGGCATCTAATCGGATATTTTGTAGTGCCTGCAAGATCGGCCTCAAGGCCTCAATCCATCTATTAACGTTATCAACGTCTTGATCATTCAGTACTTGCTTTAACAAGGCATTCATGTGAATTTGTGAGACGGAATTAAGTTCTGTTTTGTTCTCCTGCGACTTCATACGTAGGACTGAAGCAGTAGAAATTATCCGTTTCATGTCTCTAGAAGACGAGCTGGCCTCACTACGTGGTTTAAGTCGATCGGCGCTTACGACAGAATTCATCGCTACCTCCGATTTCCTCTCCGGCTGATCATCTTTGTCATCTGCTATTTTGAGATTGGGACTGCTGTGGGTTAGAAATTCAAAGGGCTTCAAGTTGAGACTTGATTTCAGGTAACCGCGACCTCGACTCTTTCGACGAGAGTTCATTCTTCGAAGAGACGCCTGCGCTCTTTGAAGTGACTTTGTATTGCTTCTGGTTGGTCTCACGAGATATGAGTCCTGGTGCGAGTCGTTGAGCGCAGCATATAAAGACATAGATCTCTCGTCTTCTGATCCCTCGTCACTGTGTCTCGAATCACTATCTAAAGGTGTCCCGCCCTGGAAGCCTGCCAATGTAGGCGACGACTCTGTACGCCTACTTGGTTTACGCTCCGCAGCGTGAGACAACTGAGGATGAGGAGAATCCAAAAAGCCTTGAAAGTTATTCATTCCGTAATTGAATTCGAACTTAAAGTCGTTTCGTGAAAGGTTTTCAATCACAGAGTTTGCGGAGGGTTCAGTTGATCCTTGGTCGTCCGCATTTGTTGCACTGCTAATATAGTTCGAAATAGAATGCTTGAAGTTTGAAATGTGAGGGAAACTTCCCTGTCCTAGTGGTTGTTGCGGACGATTAGACCCTATCGAAGTGCCACTTTCCTCTTTCCTATAAGGTTGCAAAATATCAACGTCTCTGATTGTATAACGATCCTTCATACTAGGTCGATACCTCGAAGCATTTTCTGCTTTGAAAGAGTTCGTCAAGTTTGGAACTGAAATTTCCAGAGAGCCTCCCTGTCGGGTGGCTGGAATGGCCATTTTTGGAAGCGGTGGGGGAGTTGAACGAAACAAATTGGCTCCATCACCGGTTGTTAAAATACTTTGAACCTCATCATCTTTCAACAACAAAACATCGGAACCTGGTATCGCCTTATCTGGAGAATTGTCGGGAGTAGCTTGTGTACCCTGTGCAGTTTCATCGATCGATGACTCATCACTAGAATTGTTGAAAGTATCGAAGTGTGTATGACAGTTTCGGCACACTCGCATCCGTCCTGCATGTTGGTATTTTCCGCCATCGATCAAGAAACTACAACTTCCACAAAAAATCTGACCGCAGATGCGGCAGTGGTGCTTCCGTCTGAATGTAGTGAAAGGCTTCGCACATGAAAAGCACTCTTTAGCGCTTTCATCTTTCATCCAATATTCCCTGGAAAGAACGTTTTGAGACGGTTTTTCACCGTTTCTATAACCACGATAGAACCCAGACAGAAAGTTCTTTGAAAATGATGCTGTTAACGAAGAAGATATGCTTTTCACGGATTTCCTATCGTCCATCTCTAAATAAGCTGAGCGAGAGGTGCGACTAGGCCCTCTCATCAGTATGGGCCCGCTTGGCTTCCCTTGGTAGATGCTTGAGCGCTTTGTGCGCGCACTGCTTTGCAGTGGCATCAGATGCGAACGCATAGAAAATGGACCGCTTTCATGACTTGGGTCTAAAGAATCTGGACAGCTAGGTGAATGTTCCGACTGTGGACTCTTATGACGACCTATTGTGTTGTTATCATTATGCACTTGTACACCTGCGGATATCAATGGTTCTGGAGGTGAGATATAACCCAAACTCCCGTCAGTATTGCGCACGAGGCTGCTCTTGGTGTTCCCTTCTATGTCTTGGTCAGCTTGCGATAGTTCAAGGGTCATTGGTAGTGAGATGTCGCTCAGCACCGGATTGGTATCCAAATCTGTTGTGCTTTTGGGAAGCAACGCCTTTTGACTTAAAAAGTCGGGCGCATCCGATACCCCGGACCAGGTAGCGGAACCGAATGAGATGATACTACTTTTCGTCGTTGCATTCATCTCTGGAGCTTCAGTTAGAAACTCGCTTCGTGTGTTCTACTACTGGTTTAAAAATTGATATATCAAAAAGTAAGAACGCTAGGAACTTCAAATACATTGTGAAAACAATGAGATCATTAATTAGGCTTTTACATATCTCCACTTTATTACATGTCATAGAAGCCGTACTTGTGGGTCAGGATTTTTATGCAAGAACCCTAGACTCCAGACTGAGCCTTCGAAATATCGATTCTCGAAATCTGCTTCTTCCTTTCAATGTCACAAGGACCCCTGGAAGCTCGGGATCTTTCGAAGTCCGAAAGTTCATGGAAAATCATTTCGAGAATCTCAGTACACACTGGTCATTCGAATCAGATTGTTTCACAGCTAAGGGCCTTGAATTCTGCAATTTAGTTTTCACTTTGGGACAAAATGCCAGCAACTACTTGGTTTTGGCCGCTCATTATGACTCGAAGATTAAGCCAGAGGGCTTCATTGGAGCCATAGATAGCGCTATATCCTGCTCTGTTTTACTTTATGTTTCTGAGTTTTTGAGCAACTTTCTTGATTACTCTGTCGACCAATGGTGGTCGGATAAGAGAAAGCAGTCCCTCGAGGCGTTTGATGGAGTAAAAATAGTTTTTTTTGATGGTGAAGAAGCGCTTGACACCTGGACTGAAGATGATTCGATACACGGTGCTAAACATCTTGCTGCTGGTTGGAGTTCTAGCGAAAACATTAACAATATTGGGCTGCTCATTTTGCTTGATTTACTTGGAAGCAAGGAACATCTCAGGGTACCTAGTTTCTACTTAAAGTCGAATGAAGAATACAAGGCTTTACTGTCCATTGAAGCTCTAAATCAGAAGGAATTGCCGCATAAAGAAACCCTATTTGATGACAGCATTCTCGGATACCTGGAAACGAATCGTGTCATAGTCGAAGATGACCACATTCCATTTTTGAGTCGCGGCGTCCCTGTTTTGCATTTGATCCCCTTGCCATTTCCTTCGTACTGGCACACAATAGAAGATACCTTTGATAGAGTTGATGATACAAAAGTCCAGAATTGGGCGATTCTTCTTTGCGAATATGTGGCCTCTCGGGTTGCTCCGACAGTATGGTAAAATCTCCTGCATAAAACTTTTTAACGAGCCTAAAATGGGTCAAAAGCGCTTCATTCAAAACCTAAATGAAAGCAGGGTCCGTGGTACGAGTTGCAACGGCCCACTTTTCTACGTTACGAATACAGAACTAGGAGCGAAGGATTGTTACTTGATGTGGTTCTTAAGCTCATTTTCCACTAGCCGGGGGTCGAAAGCATTTTTCAAACAAATAGTATACCTTTATTCATCAAATTTGAGTGACAAAGACGTGCCTATGAAAATGGCTTCAGTAAGTTCGAAGTGTACTACGGGTATGCTGTCGCAAGCCGTACTAGACTTGCTACTGATCTGGAAACACATGACATCTTCGTGCAGGGTTATTTAGTCAGGGGATTTTAATATTAAATAAAATGCAGGGTGCCCTTTCCGCGTTGACAATTCCAAGAGAACAACACGGTTCACAACCTACCTCTTTTCTGGCGCGGGCTTGAACTATGTTCATTTTGAATGTTCGAAGACAGCTTAATGTGCTGAGTATGTTGCTTGCTCTCTTGGCAGTTCTGTCGAGCATGGCATTAGCTCTCAGCGAGCAACCTTTCGCAGAGTCCAGCATGGATTTGTGGGAACTGGCAAGAACACCGGACGATGGGGGTCAATGTCCTCCCTGTTTTAACTGCATGCTACCGGTTTTTGAGTGCAAACAGTTTTCCCGCTGTAATTCAAATACTGGTAGATGTGAGTGTCTAGACGGCTTTGGTGGGGACGATTGTTCGAAGCCTTTGTGCGGTGCGCTATCTGATGGTAACGATGGCAGACCTCCAAGAGATAACGATACTGAGAGCTGTCAATGTGAAGACGGCTGGGGTGGAATCAATTGTAATATATGCGAAAACGACGACGTTTGCGATGCTTTTATGCCAGAAGGGCTAAAGGGAACATGCTACAAGAACGGAATGATTGTCAAGAAATTTCATCAAGGTTGCGATGTCACAAATGCTAAAATTATACAAATATTGAATGGCAAAAAACCCCAGGTCACCTTTTCTTGCGACAAAGCTTCTGGGGAGTGTAATTTCCAGTTTTGGATTCAAGAGGTCGAGAGCTTCTATTGTGGGCTATCGTCTTGCGAATTCAAGCACGATCTTAGAACTAATTCGTCCAACTATCACTGCGAATCTGTACAGTGCAAGTGCGTGCCGGGAGAAATGCTTTGTGGGCAGAGTGGTTCGATCGACATCTCAGACTTCCTGACCGAGACTATCAAAGGACCAGGAGATTTCGGTTGCGACCTGAACACGAAAAAATGCAAATTCAGTGAGCCTAGTATGAACGACCTTATAACTACGATTTTTGGTGATCCTTATATCACACTCAAATGTGAGTCGGGAGAATGCATGCACTACAGTGAAATTCCAGGTTACGAGCAGCCATCCAAAGACAGTCTTTCCATGTTTCAGATCTTAGTGCTTTCTGCTACTTCGTTCCTTTTCCTTTCTCTCACAGTAATTGCCATTATCTTCGTCTCAAGGAGCCCATTCTTCAGTAGCCAACCTGTTCAATTGAGTGACGATAGCGACGGGGACGATGACTCCTTAAAATCTAGCTTGAGATCGACACTGACTTTCGAAGACATCTGTTATACTGTTTTGACGGATAAGGGAGAAACAAAGCTGCTGAATGGCGTAAGTGGATCTGTGAAGCCTGGCGAGATTTTGGCTCTGATGGGAGGGTCTGGGGCAGGAAAAACCACGTTGTTGGATATTTTGGCCATGAAAGACAAGACTGGTAAAGTAACAGGCTCCGTTAAAGTAAATGGATGCGAGCTTTCGAAACAGAAACTTTCCAAGATTATTGGTTTTGTTGACCAAGATGATTATCTGTTGCCTACATTAACAGTATATGAGACTGTTTTGAACAGTGCTTTGTTGCGTTTACCAAGGAAGATGAGCTTCTTGACGAAGCAAAAAAGGGTGTATCAGGTTCTCGAAGAACTTCGCATTTTTGATATAAAGGATCGGATAATAGGGGACGATTTCGAACGAGGAATAAGTGGCGGTGAGAAAAGAAGAGTATCAATTGCCTGTGAGCTTGTCACGTCTCCTTCCATCTTATTTTTAGACGAACCCACGTCAGGCCTGGATTCCAATAACGCAAACAACGTAATTGAGTGCTTGGTGCGTTTGGCCCTACATTACAACAGAACTCTTGTTCTGTCGATCCATCAACCTCGATCCAATATTTACAATTCATTCGACAAACTAATTTTGCTGAGTCAGGGTGAACTTGTCTACTCTGGTGTCGCGAGAGAAGTGAGCGACTTCTTGCGCAATAACGGGTACGAATGTCCATCAGACTATAATATTGCTGACTTTTTGATCGACATTACTTTTGAGGCGAAGAAGACATACACGAGAATCCTGGCTACGCCAGATGATATTGAATCCAACTTGCATGGTGAACATGCACATGACTTACCGGCTATTCAAGACAACAGGAAGGACTCTGCAACGGCAACTCAGGGTGAATGGGAACACTACGCTGCTCACAGAGACGAGCTGCGGTCTCTGTTGGATCGATCTGATGATGATCAAGGTCTAGGCGTGCTGAATACAAAGCTTTTACACTCTAAGTTCAAGGAGAGTCAGCAATTTGCAGGGCTAATGCAAGATATTGAAGCTATCAAGGATTCATCAACAGAAGACGCTGTAGAGGCTCTCAGTAGCGCGAAACCAGCGTCTTTCGAAGAGCAGCTTATGATTCTCTGCTCGCGATCCTTCAAGAACATTTACAGAAACCCCAAATTACTATTGGGAAATTATCTCGTTACTCTGCTGTTGGGTTGTTTTTTGGGCTTACTATACTATGATGTCGAGAACAACATCAGTGGATTTCAAAACCGCTTGGGTCTTTTTTTCTTTATTTTGACTTACTTTGGTTTCTTGACCTTCACCGGTTTGACATCGTTTTCATTAGAAAGGCTCATTTTTCTAAAAGAGCGCTCAAACAATTACTACAGTCCAATGGCTTATTACATCAGCAAAATTTTGAGCGACGTTTTACCATTGAGAGTCTTGCCACCAGTGATTTTGGCACTGGTCGTATATCCCACGGTTGGATTGAACATGGTGGATTCGGCGTTTTTTAAATTTGTCGGCATTTTGATCTTGTTCAACCTTGGTATTTCATTGGAGATTCTCACCGTTGGAATTTTTGTCGAGGACCTCAACAACTCCATTGTTATAAGTGTCTTGATATTGCTCGCTTCGTTGCTATTCAGCGGTCTCTTCATCAACACCAAAGACATCAGCAACATTGCCTTCAGATACCTAAAGAACCTATCGATCTTTTATTACGCTTACGAGTCTCTAATCATAAACGAGGTTAAGACGCTAATTCTGAAAGAGACCAAATATGGTCTTAACATCGAAGTTCCTGGAGCTACAATTTTGAGTACGTTTGGCTTTCTTGTCAAAAATTTCCTGTTTGACGTTAAGCTGCTTATTGTTTTCAACATGCTCTTCCTGGTTCTAGGTTACGTGGGCCTCGAATTGATTGTAGTAGAGAAGAAATGATTCCAGCATTAGGCGCGCTTTCACGTCTCAAACGTACCAAACTACGCGTCACGTGAACTTGTTAATGGAACCGAAAATCGAAAAATTTCGTATTTAATAAAAGTTAGTATATTTATTAGTATCTCGTCTCAGGAAATTTCCTAAACAACGCTTCTGTGGGAGGCCAGCATCAACCATGGAGGGCATTTTACTAGGCGGTCAGAGTCTATCTGACCGGGCTCAAACTTTGCATGGCAGCATGACTGCCAGAGGGGTGGGTGCCCTTTTTACACAGCTTGAATTAAAGGATTTAATAAATACATCGTCTCTTACTGATCTTATGTCCATAGTTCAGGAACTTTTAGACAAAAATCTGCTAAAGTTGGTCAAGCAAAATAATGAGCTTAAGTTTCAGGCGGTTGATATTGCAGAAGCTAAAAAAAAAGCTGCTATGACAGCTGACGAAGCTCTAGTCTATTCCTATATCGAAGCAAGTGGACGGGAAGGTATATGGACCAAAACCATCAAGGCGAGAACAAACCTGCACACACATGTAGTACTGAAATGTCTGAAGTCTCTCGAATCTCAGCGCTACGTGAAAAGCGTCAAAAGCGTCAAGTTCCCAACGCGTAAGATCTATATGTTGTACAATTTACAACCCTCTATTGAGGTTACAGGTGGTCCGTGGTTTACTGATAGTGAACTTGACGTAGAGTTCATCAACAGCTTGCTAACGATCGTGTGGCGGTTCGTTGCCGAAAAAACATATCCTAACGGATTCAATAACTTCACAGGCGCCAAGGAAGTTCTTTATGCATCACACGTCAATAACTTCGCATCCACTAACGATATTTTGAATTTCATAATCAGCGCCAAGGTTGCTAATGTCGAACTTTCAACTGCAGACATACGATCTCTGTGTCAAGTCCTAGTATATGACGACAAGCTCGAGAAAGTTTCTTTTGACTGTTACCGCATCTCCTTATTGAGCATCTTGGAAATGACGCAACCCGAAAAACAGTCCACCGAAGTCGCTGATAGTTCTTTCTCCATATTCAGGTGCCGTAATGCCATAGCTCCCTCATCGAACGACGAAGAAGCTATTTACATTGACGAATGGACGCTATGACACCATACTTTCAGGCACATATTCGCATTTCATAGTAGAACAAAGAAAACTTCGAGAGACCTTCGATTTGACTTATAGAAACTCTTCCAGCGTACCCAAGAGAAAATAGTACTGATCAGCTTTTACTCTCCCTACCGATACAAACCAACCCTCCTCCGAGTTGCTGGAAAACAAGATGTATTACAGGAATAAAGCAGTTTCGAAAATCAAAATTCAGTAGGGAACTTTGAATAAAACCTCCCGTTACTTCAGAAATGGGTCAGGGAGACATCCGGGATAAAGGCTTCCATGCGGCTCTACGACTTCTGTCGCAGTTTTTCGCTCGAGCCGCATAATCATTTTGGAAGAGGAAACGAATCTTTAGTTGAACAGTGATGCCAGCTGAAGAATAAAGCTGTCTGTGCGCTTTTCGCTGTACAATGGCAATGGTGGCCGGAGACATCACCTACTTTTTCGCACGCACAACTAGGTATCCACATCTGTGTACCTGGTTAAAGCCAAGCTGTAGACCCTCATGGCATCCTGCCCTATCTTGTACCCCTCTCTTTCACAGTGTATGACCAATTATTTTCGTGACTTAATGGTAATTTTCACACCCCATGGGCCGAACTCATCGTATATTCTCGAAGGATTGTCTCAGATAAGATCTCAAGTTGAAGCTTGATGGCTGTTCATCGATATCATTTTGTACTAAAGCGCCTCTAACTTTTTCTTAAAACATAATCTACACATTTAATACGTTTTTTTTGAAAGGGACATAGTATTGAGAACTCCATCGGGAGCCTCGAAACGCTAAAAGAGATTTGAAGTTCAAAGCAAAGAAGGGCTCACCGAAATGAGTTGGGGCGGGTTCAAAAAGGCTATTAACCGAGCAGGTAACAGTGTACTTATCAAGAATGTCGACAAGACTGTGGATAAAGAGTACGATATTGAAGAGCGTCGTTACAAGACCCTCGAGAGGGCAGGAAAGGAGCTGCAAAAGGAAGCTAAAGGTTACCTGGACTCTCTACGTGCAGTAACAGCATCTCAAGTGACTATCGCGGAAGTCATTTCAAGTCTTTACGACGACTCCAAGTCTGTGAGCGGTGGTGGCTATAATGTCGGAAACTATTACCTACAGTGCGTTCAGGACTTTGATTCAGAGACGGTAAAGCAGCTTGATGGACCTTTCAGAGAAACTGTACTGGATCCGATTACCAAATTCTCAACATACTTCAACGAGATTGCTGACGCAATTAAGAAGAGAGATCACAAGAAACAGGACTATGACGCAGCGAAAGCTAAAGTGCGTCGACTTATCGACAAGCCTGCCAAAGATGCCTCGAAACTTCCCAGGTCAGAAAAGGAACTTTCGATGGCAAAAGATATATTCGACAATTTGAATGATCAGCTCAAGACTGAATTACCCCAATTGGTATCTCTAAGAGTGCCCTATTATGACCCGAGCTTCGAAGCTCTTGTCAAAATACAGCTGCGATTTTGTACTGAGGGCTACACACGGCTTGCCCAAATCCAGCAGTACCTCGACCAACAATCGAGAGACGATTATGCTAATGGTCAGCTCGACGAAAAAATTGCGCAACTTTTGCAACAAATGAACAGTCTCAACATTTGTGCATTAGGCTTCAAGTGAAGGCTCCCAGCTTGCTCCAATCTAACTGAACATCCACCAAGGTGATATAAACTTTGGATGGCCGGCAATCTTATGTATGCTTCCGGGTTCTATGTTGTATTCACTAATCAGCCAGGTGCTTGTGTAGTCAATCACTAATTTACATGCTTCGAACCTCAATCGCCTTCCACCAGCTCAATTGAGAGGATGTGAGCTGGGTGGCAGTAAAGTAGCTGATTGCAGAAACATTTAGGAAATAGCAAAAAAATTGGACGAGACCGGAGTCGAACCGATGACCTCTCCCATGCTAAGGGAGCGCGCTACCAACTACGCCACACGCCCGAGAAGTTACTATTGTGTAAAATTAACTCTGCTAATAATGTGAAATGATGTCAGGAACTAAACCATAGAAAGCCCAAGATTGTAACGGATTGTTCAGAGAACATATTATCAAGAGAAAAAAAGGTGTTTCAATCTCATAAAAAGATCAGGCGCTGCAAATAAAACATGACAATGTGCTAAGATCTCTAGGATAGGATTGCCATCTTTATGAGATCGAACATCGATGTACAGAACGTAAAAATACAAGAAAAGGGTTTTTTGTGCTCAGTAAAATGTTTTCGTTCATGCGAAAGAGGTCAAGTAAAGTACCATGTGTAAATCTTGACCAAATGTTTAAATTGCTGAATATTTTATCCGGTCTGATGAAAGGGAAGTTATCGCTAAGTTCCACCTCTAATTTTAATCAATTAATTGGAACCTAAGCATAATTGAGGTACAGCGATTTTGTGAACAATAAAGTATGTCCAAAGTACGCGGGGTGTACTTCTGTGGAGGTCGTGTCGAAGTATGCCATTGATCACTTTCTTGGATGGCCGCCTCAAATTTCCATGTTCCATACAGAGACAGCGCTATATTCCTTTGAGAAGTGTACTTCCAGCCCCGAGTGTGGCTCTCCCTCAGTTTTCGTGAAACATAGTATAACGGTTACTTGATCTTGAACTAATGCGACAGTTGACAACATACATCCTGAAGTGCTGCGATAATGCACTTTCTAGTGATGCATTTTAAGCAATTGATGAGCGAATCATGTAGCATACAAGGAAAACATTTGACAATAGGTCTTCAACTCTGATGAATGAGGTTGAATATCGACATCGTATAGTTTCTTGTGGTTATCTAGCAGTATAACACACCAGATTAGTGCTGCCGTACGAGAATGAATTAAGCGATTGAATTCACGTAGAGGTCAATGCAAAAGTCAAAGCTTCCTGGAGTAAATATCAGGTACTGCAAAGGTTCCTTTTAGGAATGATGTGTTACGCCGCATGTTAGCTCAAGAAGACGATGAGAACCTCTGTCTTCCAAGAGCAATCACGTGGTAGTAACTGGTTTCGAATTTCTTCAGATAAAGGCACAAGATTTGTGCACATTATGAGGATGATCTACATGCCCTACTAAACACACGCCCTCCAACAAAAGCGACGAGAAAACTAGGAATCTTTTTCAATTTCTTGTCTTAAGCTTTCGTCTTTGCCCTCACTTCGATGTTCAGCTCTACGGCATATGGGAGTCACGTGTCAGAAAATACTGTCATAGTTGAAAAAGACGATCAATGTGCATGAAAATGATCAACGTTCCTTTATCTCAAAATATGTGCGCGGCCAATCCTCAACCCTAGCTCAGGTGCGCGGTGTGCTAATCTAAATGAATTTTGTTGGTTATCTGCTCACAAATCTCTTTCAAATTTCTATCATTATCTATTGAACAATGGTAGTCTCACGAGCGAACATCACACATCAATGGCTGTACCAGCTCTCCCTATGGGCGGTGCGACGTCCGTTATCCGCAATACTTATCCCTTTCGTCACAATCTTCATCATTGCGTATTCTACGCTAACAAAGCTGCCGCACGACAATGTTTTCATGGACCACTATTTGAGCAAGATTGAATTGGCGGTGGATGTCAGTGGGCTCTCGCCGAACTATTCGATGGCCCAGTTATGGATATCACGAGGAAATGATGGCAACATATTAAGAAAGGGGGCATTGATGGAGACCTTGGCTGTCCAAAACAAGCTTCTCGAGGATGTGCTCGAAACTTGTGAGGTGACCTGCGTGGAAACGCCCTACCAGTTATGGAACAGCTCCCTCGAGCTTCTGAGCAGAGACCCATATCCGCTTAGAACTTTGAACTCTAAAATTGACGAAATTCCACATAATTCTTTGAGAAATGCTTTGAAAGTTAACGGGTACTTTACCTCTGCACAAACTGTTGTCGTGAACGTCTTGACTCCGGCCGATAATCAGATTTTTTTGAGAAACTCATTGAACGATAATGTTGCTAAGCTATCCAAACTTTCTAACTCAACGGGGTATCAATTTTTCCACTCTTCAGCAAATACTGGCGATAATTTTGAGACCCTGTTGAAAGTCGATGTAGAATCCGCTACACGTCAAGATTTATTATGGGCAATGCTTATCGGTTTATTCTCTGCTCTACAGTTTTGGAAACACTTCAACAGGGTGACTATGGTGAACTCCAAATTAGGTGTTTGTGCGGCTCTTGCCGCGCAAATAGTACTTAGTGTTGCTGCCTCGAATACACTGACAATATTCTTCTTCGGCAAAAGAGGTGATGCCATTCCGTTCCCTCTGAGATGGTTCCCTATATTGATGATATCTTCGTGTGGCCTGCTTGAGAGGCTATCAAATACATCAGGTAGTGCTTTTGCTGACGGGCCACTTTTGCCAGATTCTAATACTGGCTCGGACTCTGACAATGCGTCAACTCCGAGTTATATTGATGCCTCTGTTCATTCTAGCTTTTCACTTTGCAGAACAGTAATGATTTCCCTGCTGTCGAGCGTAATTTTATTTCCTTTCAACAGGCGAACGAGCATTTATCTAGCCTTTGCATTTGTGAGCTGCATAGTCGTTCAAGCACTTGCTTTTACAGCAATATTGAGCTCGGATTACAATCGTCTGAAAAAACCTGAGCGGCCTTTCGAAAGCACCAATGGTGAAGCCAATGATACGTCCCTGGACGACGAACGCGCACATACTAGTAAGTTCAGTTTGACGGCTTATCTTTGGTCTATTCTGAATGGCAATACGACAATATACTCTCACTGTATCAGCGTTGTGATGTTCTCCCAGTACCTTACTAATCTGAGGTATCACTTGGTCAGGTCTTCATCGTCTCTGGTAGACATTTTGTTGCATTGGCGATTTTCGAAACTGGCTCTTTTTAAAACGTCTAGCTCTGTGTCGCTTGTTGAAGGAGACTCTATTCTTCAGCTAGTTCTAGCACATCATAAAACTGGAACGTATTACATTTCATGGTCAGCCGATGATAGAATACTTGCCCTAAAAAATGGCTTAAGTTCATTTAGAAATGGTCAGCAAGGTCTGATTGATGCCTTTCAGATGCCCCTCGTTTCATCTTACAAGTTCGACCTATATTTCTTCCTGGAGATCACCGTGATACTGGTGCTCGTCTCGTCTGTCGCGCTACTAGTCGTTCAGACGCTCTTTGACAAATTGCAGGCCTGGCCCCAACTAAAAGAACGCAGTACTAAGCAACGAGAAGCCAATTTTTCCCATGGGAGCTCTTCGCACTTGAATCCCCATAACAGCCCTTCTTTTCATGCCAAGGAGCTATCTCGAGGTGGACATACTTTAGATATTATGGGAATTTACACATCAGAGTCGCCCTTCATTATGTCGGTCGGACTTGATCGGAGGCTTTTGATATGGTCCCCTTTATCTAATCCGGTACCACTGCCGACAGAAATTCCTCTAAACAGACAGTTGTGGCCTGTGCTAACGGCCGTTACAAGTTCTAACGGCAATTTCACTGCGGTCTTTGGCAAGTCTGGTCGGATATCATGCTGGTCTAGGGAAAGCCTCAAATTTATTTGGTCAATGAAGCTTGATTTGTCGAATGTACATGTTCTTGAGTCTTTTTTCCGCACGAAAACGAGACCGGCTTTCATGAAAAAGCAAGCCAGATCTGCTCTCAAGCACCAGGCACGACAGGACGTACCTGCAAATGCCTTAAAAAGGCGGGGAAGCAACGCCTCGATATCTTCGACGAAATCGGCATCTTCTGCAACTCCTGCGTTTGCCTCCAAATATGAAGATAAGACATCACTTCTTGATACTGGAGACACAGAAGACATTGAACTGGTTCTCATCACTACTGATGGTGATATTCATGCAGTGGATATTAAGGGAGATGTGAAGAGTTCAAAAGTCACAAATTCTGCTTTTCCACTGGTATCCTGCAAGCGATTGGTTACACCGAGAGTAAACGATCGGCTCATCATTTGCGACACCGAAGGCGAGGTCTTTATATCCACTGTTGTGAACAATAAATGGAGACCCAGAAGGCTTGTTTTAGTAAGGAATTCTTTCAACAGGGGCCAGAAACTGATGACCCCAGCCACTTTGATGCATCATACAAATCAGGAACAAGAAGGAAAAATTGGAAGCTCAAGTTCATCTACTAATGGTATAATATCAACACTTCTGATACCGTTTGTGGGGATGCTTTTGCTCGTCAAGTCGAACGAGGCTGATCTAGTAGATGCTCAGACGGGAACCGTGATCAAGACGTTCAAACTTGCGAATTATATGCCAGGATCGCTTCGCATCTTTCATGACCAGCCTACGCATTGTAAGTTCTGCGGTAGCGCGTCCGTTTCAACTTTCTCAATTGCTTACACTGAGCGATATACGTCGACATTGGTTTTGAGCACATTCAAGCTTGAGAGTAGAACTAAGACAAGTATATGTCTGCGTGTAGAAAGAGATCCAAGAGAAATAAGATGCCTCGGGCTCGAGTCAGTGGTCGAGAAGAAGTACTGGCTTCCAGATATTGATAAATGGGATTCGACAGACAACAACGTAATAATTGGAATCAAAAAAAAGGAGAAGGACTTTGCGACCATATCTGGTTCGAAATCCATGATGAGAAGTGCGTCTGAAGGCATAAAGGCTGGCGAACTGAGATTGAGGGGAAGGCTCGAAAGCCGCAGTATGAAGCCCTCAAAATCGGTCGAATACAATATTCATGACATATGGGAAGGCTGGACAATGACAGCGAATGGACTGGTAACCTATTACAAGATTCCGGCGGGCATCAATGGTTTATTAACGAATAGAATTGGATCCTTTGAAAAGTTTGGCGCTAAAGCCATGGTTGCAGCTTTTGGCAATGTGATGAAACTGTTCTACTTGGGTCATGAGGAGCTCATCATGGCACCAGATGGTATCAGCCCTAATGAAGAGGAATCTGGACTGAAGTTTGTAAACAAAAGGCGACAGCGACTCAGTGATAAAAAGGTATCCATTAATTATGAACAATTTTGATGAGATGATACTTCAAGATGTACTAAAATTCAATTTCTATCAACAAGTTTGTTTAAGTACTCGAAGAAGCGCCCGCGCTTCTTTGGGGTAACTACCGTCACCATCTTCAACATTGAGGAGCTATTGTGAACCGCCTTGGTGTCCTTTAAATAATTCATGGTTCAAAAGCTTAGCAATCTTAAGGGTTTCGTGGTTGCAGGGTATAATACATAAAGGTAGATACAATAATATCACCAAAGTCCAAAAATATTTTGGAATGCATGCAATTGTGTGTGTAAGGCAATGACAACTATCATTCCTTGAGAGGCTGGCCCTCATGGCAACAATTGATTTCTCGTCCCCACTCACTATTCAAAATCTGTTTTCCACTTATTCTTCTGCTGGGAACTGGATCAAGAATGGAATAAATAACATTTCGGCAACGCGCCCTCTTTAATTTTTCGATTGGCTCGTAGCCAGCCTCGTCTTTCCTGCCGGTGAGGTACTTCATGAAAAACTCATCCTCTTTTTGAGCTGTGCTCCACAGCTGACGACCGCTCCTCATTGCCATGTATATTACTCCACACGCCCAGATATCCACTGGGCGTGGATCAAATTCGTCATGAGTATACTCCTCTGGCGCGATATAAGGACTCGATCCGCATACACCACCACTTAGATGGATGTCTCGTTCCCACGCCATACGGAAACATTCACTGTTCCCAAAGTCAGTAATCTTCAAAACGCCGTTTGATGTCAATAAAAGATTTTCAGGTTTCAGATCGCGATGACATACGCCCATGTCGTGCATATAAACCACACCTCTAATTAGCTGCTTGAAAAAGCAGTCTGCTTCCATGTATTCCAATCTACCAGCAGCGATGATCAAAGTAAACAAATCACCGCCGTGGCAATACTCCATGACCTGACAATAATCGCCTTTTGCGTCCTGAAACAAGTCGAGAGGCATGATGATATTGGTGTGCTTTAGAGAAGAAGAAATGCAAAATTCAGATGTCAGTCTTCGGGAGTATTTGTCGGGCGACTCTGTAGGCCTTCTCTTGAATTCTTTGACTGCGTAGAGCTTCTCGCCGTGAATCTCCTCAGGTGCCTTCTTGTGACAAATCCTAACAACGCCGAAAGCTCCTTTCCCGACAACTTCCTGACACCGCCCATATTTTTCAGCGAAGCAAGCTGAGTTTTCCTTTAATGTACGAATTGGGTCAGTTGCAGGACCTTTAATTTCGGAAGAGCGGTCTTGTTGCTTCTTATAAAATTTCTTAGGAGTCTGAGAAGCCCCACTGTAGATTTGATCCTGTTCGAAAGACGTAGCTTGTCGTACAAATCCAGAGAAGAGAGACGGTGGGTCATCAGGAATGCTTCGTGGGTTCTTTTTGTTCATCAAGATATCAGGAACTGCGGACTTTGCTTCGCCTCGCAGTTTCTGAGCGCCAAGAATATTTTTAATCATGCTGCTGAGCTTTTCTTGGCGTTTCGCATTCTTTAAATGGTGCTCGTGCATGTTGTTCTTCAACACAACAAACCGCCCAGAACCGGCAGAGGCCATAGCGGCTATGTTGAGAGAACTCACCGTGGGTTGCTCCACGTTCTCGGACCTTGACTTGTAAGTGGCAAGCGTGCTCTCGTCTTGAGAGCCATTTTGAGATCCACGTCCGCTGAGAGACGTTGCTGGAGAGCTGGGACTTGACGGTTCCGAACCATGGAGGGCTTTGTTGTGGGTGCTTTCTAGCGACAGTGACGAGTTGGTTGGGGAAGGGATCTGCGCATGTTTGACAGAAGACGAGACTTCACCAGACCCGAGACCCGTAGCAGGGGCGCTTTTCCCAGCTCCAAAGATTTTGCCAATTTTCGATGACAGGCCATTTTTGCGGCTTTTGATCGGCGCTGCTTCTATTGAAGAGGCAGTCATCTTTTGTAATGCAAAGGGATGTGGTGTATTTGATCTTTTCCTGTGACGTGGGGACCTGAACGTATGCTCTCTGGTTTTTGTTGCAAGGCCGGATGAGATAGTCGAACCTAATGGGGGAGTCGAAATGGCCCTGAAAAAGCAGCGTTCACCAAACAGCAGAACGAACGCTCAAACAGACACCCTAATTTCTGGTTTCGCGGTGTTTCCCTATGAACGAGTAGCTTTTCCTAAGCCTTTTGAAGGAAAAAGTTTCGCTTTAAATTCTGTGTGCCTCTCTGCTGCGATTCGCCCTCTTAATAATGTACTATGAGGCTTGCTTTGAACTGTCTTGTCCTACTCTAAGATTCGGTTAAAAAAGAACGCCACCTACTATAAGTTTCTTGATATACTTTGGTATTGTCACTCTCAAATTTACTTGAAACTTTGACCTCTGATTATAAAAAGAGTTCTCCCCGTCACTTGATGCGTTCTGACTTGCCCCATCGCCGCTGTTCTTGAATATTCCAAATTTCCTCTTTTTTTCTGCGGATTAATTTTCAAGAAATTTTGTGAGGGCACGCAGCTGACATGGCGCGTCGTGCTGGGCACGGTGAACAAAGCGATGAAAGCGGGAAAACTATCCAAAAAAAGAATTAGAAAAACAAGTGGGACTCACCAGAAAAAAAATAAAGGTAGTGGTAGCTCTGGGTTTAGATAGCACGATTGTTTCACCGCCGGGGAACGGCGAAAAAAACGTCGGATTTACAATCGTTATGGTTGTTTTTTTTTCAAGAGTTGCCTGACTGAGACAATTCACTCGTCATCAGATGCACGTTACTAAAGTCGAAGCGACGTATGCAATTCTACGAGCCATACGTGAGAGAGCGAGAAACTTTGACTCAACGTCCGTGCATGTGCAAAGGAGAAACTTGGGTTATGCGACTGTTAAGAAATGGGAAAATGCCAACAGTATGGAACTGAAATCGACAGTGGGCATTCGCTGACGGACTGGACTTACCCACGTACTTGAAAACGAAAACCAAGGAACAAAACTGGAAACAACAGTAGGCCGAACCAAAATAAAACAAAACAGGAATACCTACTCCGGGACATCAAGAATTTTTGACTGTCGAGAAAACCCGCGACAATTTCAAACAAACGGTAAAAGACTCAGTTTCTTGGCCCTCGAAACTATCATGGAGCATCCCGTGGCCGTTTGTTTTCTTAGTGATGCAATCTTAGGGCCTCGTCTTCCATCCAAATTTACAGGGCGTGTGGTCTAGAGGTATGATTTCCGCTTAGGGTGCGGGAGGTCCCGGGTTCGAGTCCCGGCTCGCCCCATAATACTTTTTTTTCCATTCGCTTTTGCATATGATTGTTTCATTCCAGTTTTCTTCGCTATGTTTGCACACAAGAAGTCTTAACGTTACGTCTCCGTTTCCTATCTGTTCAGGTACTGCTGTGTCTCTCCTCTATCTTGCGCCTCCAATCCTGAACCGTTTTCCGCTATTATGTCTCTCTACGAATGATAACTGTCCAAGGTCACGCCCAATTTCGATATCGGAGCCTGAACAAAAAATGCCCATACAGCGTGACAGCAATGATTCCCGCGCAGTCGCGGTTAAGTAAGCGAAACTGTGACCTTGTGGAGCCGAGCACGGACAAAAACTATATAAGCAAGACAGTGGTGAAAATATTCGTCTTACCATCAATCATCGAAAGACGGTACGTTTGGGATCAACTACGTGCATTTATTTATTATTACGCTCGTGAAGTCTTAAAAGTAGAGTTTGCATTAATTGTGGTAAACTTCAATCAACAACTTGGTCTTAACAATTACCCTAAATTTTCACAGTAGAGCATGTCCCTTTTGGTATCATACAGAAACACACTAGCACGCGGTCTGCTGCAGAAGCCTTTGACAGCTGCTGTTGCTGGCTTGAGTGCCACACGCTACTACAGCAATGGCGAAAAAACACTAAAGGAGCGTTTCGCAGAGCTTTTCCCCGCTAAAGCTGAAGAAATCAAACAACTCCGCAAAGAACACGGAAAAACAGTGATCGGAGAAGTGCTGCTGGAACAAGCGTACGGTGGTATGCGTGGTATTAAGGGTCTGGTGTGGGAAGGTTCCGTATTGGACCCAGAAGAGGGTATTCGTTTCAGAAATCGCACCATTCCAGATATCCAAAAAGAGCTTCCAAAGGGTGCTGGTGGCTCTGAGCCGCTTCCAGAAGCTCTTTTCTGGCTGCTGCTGACGGGTGAGGCCCCAACTGAATCCCAGGTTAAGGCTCTTTCCGCAGATTTGGCCTCGAGATCCGAACTTCCAGAGCACGTTTCCCAGCTTCTGGACTCGTTGCCTAAGGACTTGCACCCAATGGCTCAATTTTCGATCGCAGTGACTGCTTTAGAGAGCGAATCCAAGTTTGCCAAAGCCTACGCCCAAGGTGTCTCCAAGAAGGATTACTGGAACTACACATTCGAGGACTCTTTGGACTTAATCGGTAAACTGCCAGTGATTGCATCAAAGATTTACCGCAACGTTTTCAAGGATGGCAAGCTACCAAGTGTCGACCCTAACGCCGATTTCGGTAAGAACTTGGCTCAGCTTCTTGGTTTCCAGAACGAAGAATTTGTTGAGCTCATGAGATTGTACCTAACTATCCACGCCGACCACGAAGGTGGTAACGTCTCCGCTCACACCACCCATTTGGTTGGTTCGGCTCTATCGTCTCCATACTTATCCTTTTCTGCTGGTTTGGGCGGCCTTGCTGGCCCATTGCACGGGCGTGCCAACCAAGAAGTTTTGGAATGGTTGTTCAAGCTCAGAGAGGAAGTCAAGGGTGACTACTCCAAGAGCACTATCGAGAACTACCTATGGGAAACGTTGAACGCTGGTAGAGTTGTTCCAGGCTATGGTCACGCCGTTTTGCGTAAGACGGATCCTCGCTACACCGCTCAACGTGAATTCGCCCTAAGACATTTCCCAGACTACGACCTATTCAAACTTGTCTCTACCATTTACGAGGTCGCTCCTGAGGTGTTGAGTAAGCATGGTAAAACCAAGAACCCATGGCCAAATGTGGACTCACACTCCGGTATTCTGTTGCAGTACTACGGCTTAACTGAGGCTTCTTTCTACACTGTATTGTTTGGTGTATCTAGAGCTTTGGGTGTTCTTGCCCAACTGATCATCGACAGAGCCGTTGGCCAACCTATCGAGAGGCCAAAGTCATTCTCTACTGAGAAATACATCCAACTCGTCAACGCGATCAACGCCAAGAAGTGAAGTTTTCTTTTCCCATGAGTCGTGATCACCAATCTATTATTTGTACACTACATATAAAAACTTAAGGGTATAAACTTGAATGAATTTGCAATACCGAAACCTGAAATACATGTCGAGAAATCGCAAAGCTAATGTTACTTATTTATTTACCCCACTTTCGAATCCCACATTTCACAATTTTATCTTGTCAAGCATTACTGTCAATTCTATAATTACAAGCAACTCTTATCGCGCCTTCAATAAGGTATATAATAGCGACTGTCAGTTTACATTTACGCGTCTTATTAAGGGTTTTCAAGCAATTACTAAAAGAGTACTAATATTACTTCCCGGATTAATATTTCATTTTTAGGTTGCTCGAAAAATCAATAGTAATATATATAATATTGAAGGTAGGTCCCTATTTACCAGAAAATTATAAAAACAACACACTACCCGTCTATCGGTTCTTAAAAACATCAACGAGGAAGAACAACCCATTGACAATCAAAACCATGGTCAAAATCGCTATCATCACTTACTCAATGTACGGCCACATAGATACCGTGGCCAAGTCCCTCGTCAAAGGAATTGAAGCAGCAGGAGGAAAAGCGGACCTTTTTAGGGTCGAGGAAACTTTGCCCGATGAAGTGTTAACCAAAATGCACGCTTCTGAGAAGCCTGACATCCCAGTCGCAACTGCTCAGACGCTAGTAGAGTACGACGCTTTTTTGTTTGGAATTCCCACCAGATATGGAAATGTTCCAGCTCAATGGTCAGCTTTCTGGGACCGGACCGGCGGCTTGTGGGTGAAGGGATCCTTGCAGGGTAAGCCAGCTGGTATCTTTGTGTCAACTGCTTCCTACGGCGGTGGACAGGAAACCACCATCAAAACCGCATTGACGTACTTGGTCCACCATGGGATGATTTACATTCCTGTAGGTTACAAGAACACCTTTGCGGAGCTCTCTAACGTGGAGGAGATCCACGGTGGCTCGGCTTGGGGTGCTGGCACTCTGGCCAGTAGTGATGGCTCGCGCACACCAAGTGAGCTTGAATTGAGAGTGGCGGTTGCCCAGGGTAAGGCGTTCTACGAGATTGCCCAACATTTCCCTTTGGCAACCACGAAGCAAACCACTGCCAAGCCAGCTACGTCTGACGAGAAAAAGGCGACCTCTCAAAGAGTAACTCAAACTACTGCCACCTCTGAAAAAAAAGACGCTGACAAGAAGCAAAATGGCTGTTGCGTAGTCATGTAATAAGTTTCTACTAAGAGCTAACTTATTTGGACTAGAAGGAAAAAAGAATCAAATCATGGCGTCCCTTTGTCGGGTGTAATTCTATAATTGTAACGAAAATTTGTGTAGCGATGTTTTTTGTTCTCTTACGCGGTTATTCAAGTGCGAAACCAAAACTAAAGCCTGAGCTTGAATCTGACGCTAGGTTGTTCCAAATTTCCGATGCTTTAAGAGCCTGAACGGCGGCCACTTGCTTTTCTTTTGCAGCTTGCAGGCTCAAGTTACTACATTCTTTCAGTGCGCGAGGTAAGCTAACCCCAAATTTTGAAGCTCTTAGGAGCTCCACAAAAAACTCGTAGATTGGCAATTCTGAGTTTCCATCAGAGAGACCACAATCTCCATTATCCAGATCAATATCAGCACATGCGGCTTTGAAATTCTCAAGCTTTTCAAAATTGAGGACCGAGTCCTCGTCCGCCGCCCTTTCATGCGAACATAAAAAATGCTCGATCGCAAGCAAAGTATCTTTCAAATGAAATCCTGAAATCTGGGACCTTTTAAAACTGAAAAAATGGAGAGCTTTAGAGAGGACTGGGCTGGGTACGAAGTTTTCCGTTATTGCGACAGAATCAGTTAGGTTTATCACAGTGTGCCACCATCCTGAAGGGACATATATGCAATCTCCTGGAAAAGTGACCGTTATGATGCACTTTCTATCCTCTGCTAGTCTCACAGCGTCATTGTAGAAGCCTGACAAGACCCATTCTGCAACACCTACGGGCGATGTCACCTCCTCTTCTTCCTCGTCAGTTGACACACCCGGTGGCCTTACATTAGGAGGCAGCATAACCCATAACTTTTTCCCAGACAAAACGGTATTCCACGCGCTTGTATAATTGGGGTCCTTATGAAATGTTGAACCACTTCCTCGAGGTCCAGCGATCAGCCATCGATGATCGGGCCTGCACTGAATATCGTTGTTTTGGAATACCTTGAATAGGTCATTTTGAAAAACCTTTGGGGCTTCATACTCTTTCTGTATTTGGCGGATAGCTTCGCTGTTGCAATCAAAAAGGTACAATGGAGACTCGTCACAGTTTTTTCGAAAATAATCCGCGTAAAATGATAGCGACCACTTTACGGCCTCTTGCCGAAATTTCGTCGAGCCAAACTGATTCAGAAGACTTTTTAATGTCCAATTTGGCCATCTGCCCCGCGCGTTCTTGCTCTGTAAAATAAACGGCTTATCAACATGATATTTTTCGAAATCGCTCAACACAAAATGTTCTTCATTGATTCTCTCAATGCCATGGCCGGAGCTTTGATCGATGTTTTTATCTCTAGTTACCTGCTCAGCCTGTATGACTTTTCGAAATAGGTGCTCGAAATCTATTTGGGAACATTGGTACGGTCTGTACAAGTGATCTGAGAACACTAGATCATGCACATGAATCAAAGCCTCTTCATCTGATCGTAAAACTGTTTTTCTCCAGCTTCCTCTCCATTTCTTACAACCAAATGGGTAGATGCCCGCGTTTGGTTTTTCAAGACTTTCTTCCAAAACGATGAATTTGTCGACGTAAAGCTTTCTCCACAGTTCTTCGCTGTAGGTGTATGCGTATAAAATTCTGGATGCGTGTCCCAAATGAAGCAAGTCAAGTGGGGACTCCAAAAGTGATATGATATATATCAACACCTCCTCATCCAGACAGCTGAGGCTTCCGAGCAACTCGCTTCTCTTTCTCTTCTCTACCGCTCCACTTTTTCCTAGCAATGCGTTCCCCGATGGCTTGACTCCTAAAGGATGGCTAGGAGCAAAAGTCTGTGCATTCACGCGGTAGCCGTTCATGATAAAGTTTCTATTTGAACTTCGCGCGACGACTCATAGACGTTACCGCTGAAATTTTGCAATGTCAGTTTTTCTTGACAGTAAATATCGTTTCTACAAACATGAGATCAGCGAAGAAGAAAAATTGAACAGCGTTCCGCTTCTGAGTACGCAGAACTTGTTCTATACAAAGTACAGGACGAAGCTCGTGTGGTTGTCATGAATTCGAATTTCAAATATATATACAGGCACTCCTACATTTCGCAAATGAATGGAAAGGATTCGGTGATTTAGGCTATCGCTATCCTTAACGACTTAATGTTTCACAGGAAGACTCCGCATGCGACGTTCCAAATAACTGTCCCTGTCTTTGAGCTTTTTCATATATTCAGTATCCTTCTTCCCGGGATATATGATTCTTCGGTCCAGGTCGGACAAATTTACTTCCTGTTGTGGTTCTGGAGTTTCCTTGGCTGTGTGAGTTTTCCAAATGTGACGGATCTCACCCACACAATGCATGCAAAGGGTGTTAGCCCTCTTAAAATGACCGCATGAAGGACAACGATTGAGGTGATGTAACATGTCTAATTGCTTCCTCCCTGGTCCGTATAACTTCTGCCTTTTCTTTTGATGCGACACCTTTTTCTTCGGGACAGCTAGCAGAGTACCATTCATATATGTTTCGTTGATGCTCTTAGGTGCATCATCAGAGCCCTCCCCAAGGAGCTCGAGCAGCGTACGAGGAAGAACTAACGGGGGCAAGGCAACTCGGAGAGCAGCTGGCAAGCTGAGTAGTGACGACACCCAGACTGTAGCATTTTTATTGAATATCGAGATAACAGACATGATAATTCTCCCTCGCTGCCTCGAATTCGCAATCTCACAGAGAGCTCTTATTAGCGGTAGAATGCATTTCGCTTGGAAATTGGCACACTTCTTGATTCTAAAATTTTCAGATCGCTAGAGACGGGTGTAGATCTGAATCTGAAGGCGTTCATGTTTGTTATTTAATTCATCACATAGGAGTATTCTCCTCAGTTCAGCACGCGTGAAAAGGTCAGCAAGAATAGCCTTAAAACTTTCGTGATGTCCGCCAATTCATCAGTTGAGGTTTCTCATGTTACACCAAGAGGTTATGTGGGTTTTGACACCATTACAAGCCAAATTGAGCATCGTCTGTTGAAAAGAGGCTTCCAATTCAACGTTATGGTTGTCGGCCATTCAGGGCTGGGGAAAAGTACTTTGATAAATACCCTTTTTGCCTCGCATTTGATTGATCCCGCGACTGGTCGCGATATCTCCAAGGACCCAATTACAAAAACTACCGAGATCAAAGTTTCAGCGCATTCTTTGGTGGAAGACAGGGTCCGCTTAAATATCAATATCATTGACACCCCAGGATTTGGAGACCAGATAAACAACGAAAGAGTTTGTGAACCAATTGTAAAGTACATTAAGGAGCAGCACTCTCAATATTTACGCCGGGAACTGACCGCTCAACGCGAAAAGCTAATCCCTGACACAAGAGTTCATGCTGTTTTGTACTTTATCCAGCCAAATGGCACGGGTCTCACTCAACTTGATGTGTTCGCGCTCAAGAGACTCACCGAGATCGCCAATGTCATTCCTGTCATCGCCAAAGCCGATGCAATGACTATGGATGAGAGAACTACTTTCCGAGAAAGTATACAGCAGCAGTTCGAGCACTACGGCTTCAAGATTTACCCATACCAATCAGATGATTTGACTGAAGAGGAAATTGAGTTGAATGAAAGCATAAGATCAATCATTCCTTTTGCTGTTGTCGGCTCTGAAAAAGAGATTTCCATCAATGGAGAGCTCGTTAGAGGCAGGAAAACCCGGTGGGGAGCCATCGCAGTAGAAGACATTAATCAGTGCGAGTTCGTCTTTCTAAGAGAGTTCTTGATCAGGACTCACCTTCAAGATCTGATTGAAACAACTGCCCTTGTTCACTACGAAGGCTTCCGGTCGCGGCAATTGATAGCTCTCAAGGAAAATGCATCCAGTCGTGCCTCAGCAGCTCATATGTCCCAAACATCTTCTACCATGCTCCAGCAGCGATAGAAAAAAAACCACTCGCTATGCCCAGATTATGGGCCTACCGTCAGCAGCATGACATTTAATGGAAGACAACATAACTCCACGTGATTACGAAATGAAAGAGAACACTCGAATTTGAGAGTGCACGTGTTTAGATAAAGATAGTTCACTTCACACTAGTGCTATTCCAATAGCATGCTGCTGCTGCAATGATATGTGTATGGTATAAACCTGTATCAACCGTTTCTCAGGGAACCAAAAATCTTTGGGATTATTTTTCCGCCCTACTAATTTTTTGCTTGCGTGCACGGGGTGACGACTTGATCCTCCTCCTACAGTTCTCATGTTTCGATTTTTACTGCATACCTGTTAATTTTCCACGTTCTACGTACGTAAGCATCGTGATTGATTTGTGGTCCAAACAAAATTTATTTCTCGTAAGCAATTGTATCTTTTGATAAGCTATAATACCTTTTCGGAAACTGAACACAACTACAATAATTGATATTTTTTTATAATTAACAAAGTTAAAGTAAAAACAGCAAACAATAAATACTTTTTTAAAAAACAGTACAAAATCTTGTCACATGCGCTAAAAATAAATATTTTAATAATTTTTTTGGCGTTATTTTTGTATTGGTTGAAAGCAGCAGCACTACACGTTTGAAGCATACGAAAAGCTCGGTGTTATGAAGTCGCTTACAATTCTTGTATATCACTCACTCGACGCTAAATAATATGTAATTACCATTCGGCCCTCTCCTATGTATGATGTGTCGCAATGGTTTAATCATCATCCGACTCTATATCATCGTCCAGATCGGGAATTGGAAACTTCAGGATACAGGCAAGGCCGGTGAGTTTCTCTAACTCCTCACCCGAGCTATGTAAAGAGCTGAAAACGTAAACGGTCCCACCAGCTTTTTCCACCGCTTGGGTAAGATCCACGCTGCTTTTCCTTACTTTGATGTCGTTCGCGCGTAGCAACCCGTCAGTGATAAGTAGTGTATCAATCGCACCCATTTCGGAAGCTTTCGCCACCTCTGCCTGACCATACCACGCCTTGAAATCATCATTGTTAAGGTGTTGTAGGAACTCATCCATGATTAGCGCTTCCTTTGAGTTCCTGGCGTCTTGAAGCCTGGAAACATATGCTGGGTTTTTCAAGACTTCACTTATCCCCTGCAGATAACCTGTAGAACAGTGAGCTACCAAAAATCTTGGCCTAGCGTTCAGTATTATTTTATTATTATCTTCCTGTGCGTACTGCATCACTTTATCGAAAAGATTTTTGGCATAAAAACCTGGCGAGCATAAAATGATAACTTTGAGTTTCTCAAACTCGAAATGTCTTTTCATAGATTCGTACGTCCCTTTGTAGAATTTCTCGATTTTTTCATCGAATTTTGCAGCATCAGTGCTTCTCTTTTTCTTCGGTAGGCTGTACTCGATTTTGTTCTTCAATATCGTACTGAAAGAACTCAATAAACATATGTGAGAAATCCCCTCCTGCAAGCAAACAGCAGCAATATCCGAACGACTTTCTGGGGTACAAGCATCCTTCAGTTGCTTGGCCACAAAAGTATTATAATCCTCCTTAATCAAAGTGAAAGGATATTTATAGTTTATTGTAAAACTGAAGAATTTGCCAGTTGGAACATCGATGTTGGCTTTGCCGGTGTCATCTTCCGTGGTGACTCCTTTGTATCTTAAAAATTCATGTTGAGGTTCAAACTCAGAAGAAACAACTTTTAAGCGTAATCTAACGAGATCAGTGTTTTTTTTCTTTCCTGAGCTATCAACCTTGTCTGTCACAAGCTTTTTAAAGATCAATTCGTCGTCCGTATTTATGACGTTATAAAGACTGAACAAATCTTCTTTATCCTGAGGAAGAAGAGTGATTTGCTCAGAGTTATTACCATTTCCTTTCACTTGCTTGATGAGTTTCATAGCAGACTTCGTTGGATTTGTTCATGGCTAACTTAATACTGGATGAACGCACTTGTTTTGCTCATAATAAATAAAAGTAGTAGGCTTTAGTATTCGAAAAATGGGTTCAAACGATCTTCGTGAACGAAATATCGCGATCGAGTCAACCAAAATACAGGTAATGAATGCAACACCCGTCTTCATTTGTGGAGTAGTTACCGTTATATAATGATAGTGGAAGTGTAGAGACGGCATGCACTTTTACGGTTCACACAGTCGCAACCCAAAAATCTTGCTTCGTCTATACACTTTGACCTCAGTCCCGGGGAGTGTATCTTTTCTTCCCGATGTCGAGCGGAATGTACTTGTACTTTATCATGTGCTGAATTTGTCTCCGCATAGTCAATGCGAATAAGAGGATGAAGTACATAACGAGAATTGGCCAGAAGACTGGTATGTCAAAGATACGGAAAAGAGTCAGAATTGAGCACAAAACTAGGGCTCGAAATGAGTTATACCAAAACTTAAACTCTGGCAGTCTTCTTATAAAAGGTCTGAATTCGTCCACTCTCTCGCCAGATTCGAGCTCGTTATTTTCTTCATCCTGCTGTAGTGAAACATCAAATTTCGGTGTCAAAAAACTCAAAAACTGGTTGAGCAGGTAGATCGCCAGTCCGTAACAAACCACGTACCACCCCTCTCCATAAGCAACTCGCAGGAAGAAGGCGATCAAACCAAATCCTAGCGCGCCCCATCTGTACTTTACATGGGGGGTCAAGCGATCCATATACATTTGATACGTAGCCTTGTATTTGTTGACCATGGCCAGCGTTTGTTCACGCCTATCTACCTCACTCATTGCTACTGTTGCTTCCTTGAATTTCTGATAGTTGTAGAAGGGTTTGTATTTTAAAGACTTGAAGAACAAATTAATTTATTTTTCTTGTCTATTTTGCAAATCCAAATAAATAGTGAAGGTTGTCCATTTGTCGAACTGAGAATGTCAACCATTGTTTCTATTCCGCTTGTTTTCAACGTATGTTTATGCTGTCCATGAATTTTGTGGAATTTTTGAACTAACCCTCTCAGTGTGGCGCTGCCCTTTATCAAAGACGTTATAACCGACTACATAAATCAATTAGTGGACTGTCATACGATTTCTACGTGCTCAGTTTCACTTCTTATTTCCTGAGCGTGTACAGTGGACTGAACTATTTTTTTTCAACGCTACTGCACAAACAGCTTTTCCGGCGCTTCCCTATATTCTTCGAACGAAACGCAAAAGAGATCCCTGTATCTGCGACTATTCTCCTGACTGACATTGCCAACCTAATATGTACGAGTGCCGTGCTCAAACAGCTTTTTGATTATAGATCAACTAGACGCGAAACTCAAAATGTTTCGCTTATTTGCACCATCATAGTAGCCGCATGCGCCGTCTTTACTGTTGTCACATATGAATGCGCAACCTGGTATTTACCGGACGGAAACAGCGGAAGATTCGGCGTGTTTTATCTGGACCATGTCAATTATTCCTGGATACTAGCCACTCTTCTCTCAAGTTTTCGACTGTTGCCCCAGTTGACTGTAAACTTTATGGAAAGAAGTACGCAAGGGATCTCCTCCAAGTTCGTGGTTTTGAGCACCTTATCTGCGGCATCTCAGCTCATCGTAGAGATCTGTTTTAGACGAAAGTCGCACCCGTACATGCCACTTAATGGTAAACCGCTCTTTGAATCTCTACTAAACTTGCTTCTTCTGCTAGCGGTAAATTACCAAGTTCACCATGTATACTGGAACCAAGGTCATAGCCTTGTGAAGCGCACAGTGTCAAGGATGTCATAAACGACATATTAACTATTCGAAAGATATATTTTGTATGTACATGAGATGCTTAGTTATGCGGTCATAAAAATCACAATCGCTTTCCTATTATTTTGGTTGCAACACGAACACCGAAACCTACTTGACGATCAAGCTCGTCTTCAAAGTTTTGGGTTGTGATTTCTCTAGTATTGGCAATAAGACGGTCGACTTCTGCTTGCATGGCATCCTTCAAGTCAGAGTCTCTTGTCACTATCGCTACATTCGACTCCAAGTCAACCGAATATGCTCTTCTAGTATAGTTGGATGAGCCGATGATTGTCACTGCTGGTCTAAGATCTGTTGAGTCATTTTCGGAAAGCCAAATACCCTTTGCGTGGTAGGACCAACCATTCGGCGTGTTAACCACTCCCTTTTGCCACTCTTTTAAAAGAATCTGCGACTCTTTGCCGCTGGCTCTCACGTCTTGAAGAAACTTGTGAGACAAGTGTAAATATGCTCCTGGCAGATGTCTTGAAACGCCCTTTGACTGATAAAACCCGTTTGCTTGTGGAGAAGCAGTTATCACGTTCCCTCTTTCAGAGGGAGAAAGAAGCAATAGTTTTTTAATTTCTGGTAGCATGTTAAAATATCCAGCTGTGAACGTCCAATTTACTGATTTATCAGTGATGCACGAGAGGATTTTGAGAATAGTGGGCTTCTCTGTAGAATAATCCACTCCCTTTTTGAAGATCGGTGTGAATTGGGAAATTGGGTAAACAGCAGTTTGATATTCATCATCATTAGAAATCGGAAGTTGGGACGGTACTTGTGAGTTTCCAGCAAGAAAATTGCGCAAGGCTTCGGAGCACGTTTTGAGGAATTCGTTTCGATTGAGAAGAGGCTCAACTGTCAAATTATTCTTGGGCCAAACCATTTTGAATCTCTGAAGTGATTCAGAGTAATGCACTTGATAGCTCATACTACTTATGAGCCTATGGAGGTCGAAGTAGTAATTTGAAAAGCCCCTAGACTTGAACAAGTAGTATCTATCTTGTCGGTTGGTAAAATAGTCACTTGACAGGTTAGCACCCGATAAGATTACCTCATCATCAATACCGTATATTTTCATATGTTGTAGCCCTATGCCTTCATTGAACCGCTTAGGTATCAATGCATTTTTAATTTTGGTGAGTTCTGGCGTTCGATATAAGCGAATGTCAACTCTCCCTTGGTGTTCCTTTACCAGCTTAGACAGAAGGGAGGCAGAGCAGGCATTAGGAGCTTCTCTAGTGCCTCGCAGCCCATCGACGAGGAAGTAAACTCGCAGATTATCGTTGTGATCGAGAGCCTTCGAGATACAAGCTATCAGTTCCTCTTGCGATGTCCCAATGTAGAGAGATGCTATAAAAATTCTGCGCTTTGCTGAACAAATTTTATCTTTTAAAGTCTCGTAGAACGATGCAGGAGTTGGCAGGATTTCGATCTCGCCCTTTTTGAAGTAGAAGCACGTATTAAGGCTGGACAACTGTTCTCTGACCACTGTTGTGAAGGGTCGCGCTTCGGCAAGAGGGGGATTATTAGCAAGCATCCTAGCTCCTGATGATACCATACAGGAACAACTGAAGAGGCGCAGACCTGTTAGTGATAGTCGTTGCCTGTTGATCATCTGCCGAGCGGATTCATCCACGCCAGTCCTACCCTACTGATGTGAGAAATAGATTGGTATAAACAACCTCAGATATCTATTCAAGAGCATTTGACAATCTGCTGCCCTAAATAAAGCGCGTAGACCTTCAATTTTAACAAATGCTTGCGTGGCGTAATGGCAACGCGTCTGACTTCTAATCAGAAGATTGTGGGTTCGACCCCCACCGTGAGTGCTTTTTTTTATAATTTCAATAAGCCGACACTCGGATATTCTTGACGGTCTTGGTACATAGGGTTGTCACGAAAGATAACAGAGTGCTGCAATTTGCAATGCTGATTATTTGAAATTATGTACTAATGAGGATCGTGGTTCATATGCCTTCTTTTATCCCTCCATTACGATTTTAATGATTCACTGGCTTGAGGTGGGTATAATTATGCTGTTCCAAGCCCGATGCATACAAGGAGCGGTGGTACGTTGAACCACGAGCAGTGGTCTCCGTTTTTAGCGTATCTGGAAGCTCCTCGTGTGGGTCCCACATGTTTGAGGACATAGATGCAGTATCATCGTCGAGTTCGTTGCTCATTTCTGAGAGCCGCGACGAATCACCTTTAGAGTTTCCAGGTCGCAACGGGGTCCTTGGTACTTTCATTTGGAAAAAGTCATGAGGAAGTTTGGAAGCAAGGTTAGAGGAGCTTCCACGAGAGGACCGTGAAACTTTTCGCTGAGGTTGGTTGACTCGAGTTCCAGGGCTGGCATTGGTAGAAGGAGAATATGCTTGTGTATACTGCCATGAATTCGGTGTGCTCTTGATCTGCTCTTCTTCCCTTATTACGAAACGGCGTATGCGGTTCGTCAGACTTCCGAATATGTCCACTCTTTTGTCAGGTATACGGATCATTCTATGCAAAATGCCCAATATAATGCCGAACCATATACCGAAACTAATCCCAATGAAGATCATTGTGATCAGGTATTGCAAGCAGAGGGTGATAGTTACGTATGTCAAATGCAGGTTCATTTCAGTAATGTCACTAATTGACGTATTGTAAAACAGAAAGAGCGGGACATTGGTTGGTAATAGTGCTAAGTTCGTCAAATTTCGGACCAGTATTTTTGCTGGAGACCAAAAAAAGGTTCTAAATAGTTGAATGAAAGGCCTTACCGACAACAGATATATTAAATTTGCAATAGCGCTGCATACTTTCAGGCCATATTTAATTGCGCCCCAAACTGGTGAGGTGAGCAACTGCAGTTGGTTCAGTATCCAAGTTTTCGAAGGAGCTTCATCGACATAAGACATCTAAGTTGGCACAAATGACGCTGTTCAATACTAGCTTCTCTGTTCCTTCACGGTTAAATGCCCTGACTGTCGTTAAGTTTCAAAAGCTATATTGTTGTTGTTACCCTCTCTTTTTACGGACACTTGATAATTCCGGTATATAATAAGACTAGATTGTTTTCACATCAAAAGTGAGTCCTATTCATAAGGTCCTTACTGGAATTGATGCTGTCTAGCCAACTCGTTGCCGCTCAAGGGGTCTTATAAGTCTATATGCTCTTTTGAATGCCGAGTTGTGCTTTAGCTAGTCAAATTCTTGCGTACCCTCCTATTTCTGCCCCGTCTTCCTTAACTTTTGAGTGGATTAACGGGTTCTATTAACGGAGAAGATAAAGCTTGGGAACGGGTGAACCACACTTTTGATACAACCGTGATTCTCCTGTTCGCAGGATCGTGAAGGCTCATCGGACGAGTTTCGAGCAATGATTTCATTCTTTCGAAACACTCGATGTCCCGCTACAATTTTTTTCATGTAGAATGAGTCCATTACTTCAGCGCAGACTCAGAACTTCGTAGTACTCTTCCCTTTGTACCGTAGAAAGCGAAGGTGTTTCTTCAATTCTTGCACCACAAGCGTCGATGCCTAAAGACCCTCGCAGTGTATGCTCCGCATCTGGACATATCCTCTCCATTGGAGGGTTTAAAAGTAGAGTTAGTCTTCACACCGCAATATGCAAGAAAACCGGCCTGATTCTCTTAGATTTAGCAGTGCCATCCTGTCAACAATAGCTGCCTAACATAAGACCACAAATGACTGCTTGTCCGTCATTCTGTTGTTCTAGGGTATCGCGCAAAATGTCACATTTCCGTTTGTTTAGGAAGCTTGGTCTTACCTCGTTAAAAGGTGTCAAATATATTTTCTGAACCTCAATGTCGGTAGATGAAATCAAAACATGAAACCAAACCGGAAAGATGCTACAAGCCGCAACTAATGCGTAAATTGAGAATGCAATGATTTAATCGTACCTCGACACGTCTTTAGCTTCGCAGAAACGTTAGCATCTATTATTTTCTTTCCGGACCTTTTCTCTTTTTATTGTTGGTCAAAAAAAGGTTGTTGCAGCTTAAATTGTTTTAAAAGTACATTGTAGCATAGGCACTGTCTATAAGAGAGACTAATTGAGGACCATACTATTCAGCTCAATGGAATAAGAAGGGGCTTACATGTAGACAAAACTTTTTACGGCTCGTCAATTACCGCCAAGGTTTCGAAGTTGTCAAGAATTGCGAATTCGAGCTTGGAAATGCTTTGCTTTATTTACCAGCTTTGAGCGGGTTACATCTGAATGTGCAAGAGAGATGTGAGTCAATGTGCTTTGTCTTATTCAATACATTCAAACTCATTTAATTGAGTCAGAATCTAAAAATTTTTTAAATATGATTATAGAAATCAGGATAGGTTTAAGTTTATGATAATTTGAAAACCAGCATTTTCACCTGACGTTGATACCAATTCAATCATTCACATCCATTGCAATGATTAAGGCATTTGTCAGGACAAGAGCTGCCGAAAAACTACTTGTTCGTCACAGTTCGTCGTCAACCTCAGCTTTGGCTTACAAGCAATTGCATAAAAACAAAATAAGTCCAGCCTTGCCCACCTTGGAAACACCCTCTTGGAGTGCCAAATCCGCTGTGTCCTCGATAATTTACGAAACACCCACGCTAACTCGCACGTCACGGAAACAGCATGTTTTAAACTGCTTGGTCCAAAATGAGCCTGGTGTTCTCTCCAGAATCAGTGGTACTCTTGCAGCCAGAGGCTTCAACATCGATTCTCTTGTGGTGTGCAATACCGAAGTCAAGGATCTGAGCAGAATGACAATTGTTTTGCAGGGCCAAGATGGCGTCATCGAACAAGCAAGACGCCAAATTGAAGATCTTGTACCTGTCTATGCTGTTTTGGACTATTCCAATGCTGACATTATCAAGCGAGAGCTATTAATGGCTCGTGTTTCTTTACTTGGGGCCGAATATTTCGAAGACCTTATCCAGCACCATGAAAAAACCGGTTCGGAGGGTCAAAGTGGTTCGAATGACGTCGTATCCCAGATCAGGAGCAAGCAGTTCCATCCATCTAATTTGCCATTGAGCGAAAACCTCAGAATGAAACACGAACATCTTAGAAGCTTAACTACCCTTGCTGAGAACTTTGGAGGCCGTGTTGTGGACATCAGTGAAACAAATTGTATTATCGAACTGAGTGCGAAGCCCTCGCGTGTTTCTGCATTTTTGAAACTGGTCGAGCCTTTTGGAGTGCTTGAAGTTGCCAGAAGTGGTATGATGGCTTTGCCAAGAACTCCTTTAGAATCTAAAGACGATGAGGACCTTGAGAATCAGATCAGCGATATCGTTGACCTTTCACAGCTACCTCCTGGTTAGAAAGGAACGATGAACAAGTCAAGTAAGAAGTTTTAATCTCTACCCTAACTTATTTTCATGGTGTGTAATGCTAAACGCTGAGCTGGTTTGCGGTTGATATTTACAGATGTGTATGTGTAGGGCGGTTTTTTACTTCAAAGCTTGCTCAAAAATGCAGTTTTAGCTCTAGGTATGGAGTCAATGGTTCTTCTGCTATGATTGAATCTCTTTTGCACGTTAAAGTTCTTGTCAGTATTAGCAACCGTAGCTTCAGTCTCCGGCAGGACAGGTTTCAAAAACCGTCTTCTTATAAGGACCTCTTCAGATCTTGTCAAAAAATCAGCGGCAGAATGGAAGAGTTTCTCCATCTCTCTTTTCTCCTTTAACGTGGTGACTTTCATCTCTGACAGTCTTTTGAGAAGTTCAGCTTTGCGCTCACCACGCTCAGATTGCGAAATGTGCTTTATTAATTCAAGTCTGTTGTTGAAAGAGGTAGAATGGTCAATTTTAGTTGTCATTCCGTGAAGCTCGCGCAACTTGGTAGAAAGGACTTCGTCTGTCCAGCTTTCACGCTTCGCCTGCAACTCCAATTCTTGCTCCAAGTAATGGCGAGCGTAGAATTGAGCATCTGCCAGATTGAATCCATTTTTGAGGCTTGAACGTAGGCGGATGAGATAGGCGACAGCAGAACCTGCGACATTGTTGTCGAAACCCAAATCAAGGGTATCGCTGATAACTTTTGAAAACTGTAGGGAGATGGCTTGTCTACTGCTTTCACGCTTTTCAATACCATCAGCAATCGAGTCCCGGGCCAAGTATTGTTTTCTGGAGAGCGAATTGCTTTCCTTCTGTGCCATCTCAGGATTCTCTATAAGCTGGCGTCCGAAGCGTCTTACACGGGGAGCAAAGTGCGGGGTAGGGAGTTTGGATTTCTCCTTAAGTGCTACACCCACGAACTTTCGCTTAGGATGAAAGGGATCCAAATAAAAACGCACAAATCCGGGCTCCAGCGCGAAGATAGTGTGATCTTTACCAATTCCGACATTTTCGCCGGGGAAAAATTTAGTTCCACGCTGCCTCATAAGAATTTCTCCAGGATTAACCGCTTGTCCTTCGTTCTTTTTGGGTCCCAAACGACGACCTGCTGAGTCTTTCATAGACGTTCTGGATCCTGCAGCTTTTTTTGTAGCGGTTCTTACATGTTGCAAGACGTTGACCACATAACTTAGACGTGCTTTCGTTAGCCCGAGCAAACTCGTACTACTCCAAAGCGTCATTGTGAGTTTACTGGATAAGTTTGGCGCTTTTTGTCACTTTCTTGACGAAAACTACTAACTCTTTCTACTTTAAGTTCGATCGTTAAATTAAATTTTTAATTATCAAAAAAGCGTTGTCGAATATTGACGGGAATATATCGCGAAAATAAGAATTATCAGCGGTTAAAAGCTGAATAGTATGGACGACCAGTGGGATGCGGTTGTCTCAACACTCCAAGAGCTCTATAAGAAGCATGAAGTTCAAAGTTTCGACGACATGGTTAACGAGAAAAGGCTAAATTTTCAAAACTTGGCGCTGGATCAACTGCGATCACAGCTCGATGTGTTTTCGACGCATTCGCAAAATGTGGAGAGTGCTTTAGGACTGATTCGTGTGATATCCTCAAATCTGGGAGGAATAATCAAGCAGTGGGAGGAAGAGGCAGAAAAAACGGACGAGAGAGATGTTGTTTACGCGGAGTCGTTTCAGGGTCGGTCGTTTTGGACAAGTCCTTTTAACCCCAGCGAGCCTATCGTTCTGGAGTCAGAAGTTGCATACAAGCCAAAAAGAGGTGGAGACGGTGAATGGTTTCAATGTCAGGTTATCAAGATTTCAAACGACGGCACAAAGTTTGAAGTCCGTGATCCTGAGCCCGACGAATTGGGAAACCCAGGTCAAATATACAAATGCAGCTGGAAGGATATCATCTTGCTACCTGCAGTGAGCGCTCCAAAATACCAAACTCCGAACTACCCCGGGGGAACAAAAGTGCTAGCGCGTTATCCTGAGACAACCACTTTTTATCCAGCAGTCGTCATTGGGCACAAACGGGACGGAACCTGCAAATTGAGATTTGACGGCGAGGAGGAGGTTGACAAAGAAACAGAGGTAGCAAGGAGACTAGTTTTGCCATATCCGGCACGTCGGTAAATTATAACTGGTGTCAAAATGAAGGAGAGACTAGGTCAATTGGAGAAAAATTAATCAGAATTGGACCATTGGTGCTGCTGGCTTTTGACGTGCACAAGATGTTCTCCCGTCACAGTTAAAAAAGGAGCTCAAACGTAATGGTCATAAACGAATTATGTTATTTGTCCTTGCCGTCAGCAGAACCACTAGGAAAGAGCAAAAAAAAGGGCTCTGCAGAAAATCATGCAAGCGTTGGAAGAGTGAGACTAGTCCACCAGCGTTTTGTAAATAATGATCTTTACTGTTCTTAGGCGCTTTATGATCAGAATGCGTCAGTAATCGAAATCTGATCACGTTCATCAAATTTCAAGATTGAGATAAAAAATATTATGAGCCTGTCGGCGACACACACGATAAAAACCGTGAACTGAAGCAGTCCATCGAACCTGACAGCAAGATCTGTAACTGAGATACAATGAGCAACGAATATGTATGTTTAATCGCAAAAGAGATTTCATTGAAATCCAATTAAATGTGGTCGTCAAGATTGAGGACCTCAGTCTGCCTTAATAAGCTTAGGACATGAGGCAATAGCTAAGATCTATCCAGCATCTACGAAGCAGACTAGAAAAAGGTAGACTTAGACTTTATTTTGCATCATTTCGAATTTTGAGACTAATTGAATTAACTGCAGTACGACCAAAGGACTCGGTCCAGATCTCCAGAAAGTCGGAACGCACCGGTCAGCGACTACCGCTCTGAAGCACCTCGTCGAAGCAGATATAACAATGGTAATACTGAATCATACGGAGAGAGTATGGGAAATTTTAGTAGGCGGGGTGGAAGACCAAGAGGAGGGCGTCGTGGGTTTAGAGGTGGCCGTGGCGGCTATGACGATTTCCCACCACGCAACAGAGGACGGAGAGAATTTAGAGAGCATGGCCCAAAGATGTCTGAGGATACCGACTCTGAACAAAGCAATAGGCTTGACAGAAACTACGAGAACAGCGTATTTGTGGGAAACCTAACTTACGATTGTCAGGGCTCCGACCTAACAGAGTTGTTCGAAGAGGTTGGAAGCGTTGTTCGGTCTGACATTATAACCTCGCGTGGCCACCACAGAGGTATGGGTACGGTGGAGTTCACCAACCCGCATGACGTAAGTGAAGCTATTCGAAAATTCAATGGCCACTCATTTCTGGGAAGGGAGATTTTTGTACGTGAAGATAATCCTCCACCTGCGAGCAAAAGGGGCGATGAAAGACGGGAAGCACAAATATCGCTTACGGATAGGTTCCATCCAGGATACGAGGTATTCATTGCCAACCTGCCGTTCTCCATTTCGTGGCAGTCTTTGAAGGATGTATTCAAAGAGTGCGGCGTTCCAACGAGGGCAGACGTCAAGTTGGACCGTAACGGCAGGTCGAGAGGTTTTGGAACCGTGATTTACGAAACTCGAAACGAGGCTCAAGCGGCTTTGGACAGATTTCACGGATTTGAGCTCGAGGGCAGAATTCTCGAACTTAAGCGAGGACATGGACCATGGGGCGATGAATCACCAGAACCACAATTTGAGGCAGACGACGTCCCATCTACTAATGACAGTGTCAACTCTGAATTGACCGAGAACGCCGTAGGTCAGGGAGAGAAGTCGAACAAAGTGTATGTCGAAAATTTGCCATACGCTACTGCTCAAAGTGACTTGTACGATCTTTTTGAGATCATAGGTCCTGTTGAAAAGGCAGAGTTGAGACTGGACTCTACAGGTGGGCCAACCGGGGTCGCAGTAGTGCAGTATAACGATGAGGAACATGCCGATCTTTGCATCAGCAGACTTGATAACTATTCTTACGGAGGAAATGAACTCGCCATTTCTTACGTGAGCTATCACTAAGCTTTTGTGAGGTGCTGATCAATCCTATAGTGCAATACTCATCCACTACCGGGAAAAAGTTCCAGAGTAAGCATCTCTTTAACAAACTAGGCGGTGTCGAAGCCATGTGACTCTTTTCTCAGTGAAGATCGAACAATGTTGAAATTAAACATTAGGAAGGGCGTTCGATGCTCAACTCCGTCAAACTCCAGAACATCAAGTAAATATTCAGCGCAGCTGAACTGTATATACATTCGCCTCGCTTAACTCTCAAAAAGGGCGCCTTGTATCAATAGGATCAGTTTAGTGTCAAACGGAAAAGTGGCCACCTGAACTCGAGAAGCCGTTGATAACAGGGTTCCTTTGATCAAATGATCTTCAATGGTGTGAGCCTAGTTTTCGTCGCTCTACTTTGTTGTGCAGTTCTGGCATTCATACGGCGTGAGCAGATTAGAAGTATGTTGTAGTTCTCGAGCAGTCCAATTTCGTTTTACTTACCTTAAATGTTTTCAGACAATCGTGTTACGTGGGCAGGACTTAGAGGTTTCCTCATTAGAGATCCTCAAATTAGCCAAGGGTTTACTGAAGATATAGAATCTGGCCTTTCATCGAGTGAATTCGACCTATGGACGCATAATTTAGACGACCAAAGAGACGGTCTCGATGATATGGCCAAAAATCAAATCAAAGATATCATGAAAGAAGACCGAGTAGATTTTAATCAGGCAAGACTAATTTACTTACGGCGTCAATTTAGTCACAATGATATTGCTGAAGATGGGATGCCTTTGGATCCCAAAACCGTAGCTTTCGGCAGGTAAATTACTCTACAACTACCTCCTGTCCATCTTTATAGCTAAATATGCAAATGATTAATGAATGTTACTTGTAAAATGTTAGACGTGTCGGTTCAGAGTCTTCTGCGTCATCCTCATCATCGGTATGTACCAAGAGTCCCCGTAAATATGCATATGAAGAATCTGGTAAAAGCGCTTGTTCTTGCGGCGAGTCGATGGGGTTCGGATTGCGCCGTTTCTCCTCAATGTATCTTCTTTTTGTCTTAAGACTTATCTGAGCGAAAACTGATTCAGGCTGTTTACTCAGGTCAAACATGTCGAGCTTGCTGGGTGAAATCCACATTGCGTCATCGAGATCCTCGCTTTCTGAAAATTTATGGGCATTTTGAATAAAACCGCCTTTGCCCGTGGTACCATCGGTACATGTGAAGAAGGTATCAGTAGATCTTTCAATCGCAGGCAAGCGGTAGAAAATAGGCGCAGTATCTACCGGAGGCTGTTCAAGTATAGTGCGTGGACCCATCGTAGATGGCTGATCATATCGGGATGAGTCGAAGGTTTCGTCATTTCCGCTGAAGCTCATATGAAAAGAACTAAAGTCAGGATCGTTCAGAAGTTGTCCGGTAGTAGCATTTCTGCCTGTAGGACTTTGTTCGCGCTCAGATGGAGTGTAACTTATAAGGGCCATCCTTGCTTCTCCGAGGCCATCCTTGCGGTCAATACTGCTGCTTGATTGACTATTTGCTTGTCTTCTAGACCCATCGGCAACTTCTCCATTCGAAAAACTGTCGAGTGACATGTTCTGGCACCCGTCTCCTGGCGTTGTTGCCATTATCGAGTTTTTGCCGTGCCTCTCTACCGGTTGCCATTCCTTTCTTTCTGGCGAAGTGGTGGTAGAGTTTGGATTGAAGCTGATGAGTTTAGGAGATGTGTGATGTACAACCTTAAACCCGGATTTGCCCTTAAGACTTGGCGATGGCGGCTCTGGTGCCGACTCCGTAACATTTATGATCCGACTTGCGCTGCTTTGTATTCCCAGAGGCTCATTTACCTGAAAGTTCGAAGGACCAACATAATCAGGTGCTTCTAATGTTGTAGCTGGCGGCACGTCCGCACTTTTCTGCGGAAATTGTGATAGCGATGCTTCCGCAGCAGTCGCTCGTCTGTTGAAAGGTACAAACCTGCTGAAAGCATGTGATGCTGCCCCATCTTTGATAGCGTTTTGCTTAGATTTCGGCGACATTTCACTCGGCAGCGTCTTCCAGTTTGATGACTCGTCGCTTTCATCCAATACAAGTCTCATGTTTTCAAAAAACTCCGTGAACGAAGGAGATCTTACGAATTGACTACTCCCAATGCCTAATTTCTTAATTTCAGGAAATATGTCTTTGCGGCGTACGTCTTCGTGATTGATGTTAGCGCCTGCATCTGTAGCCTCTCTTGAAGACTTAAACTCTTCGTGGTCTTTCCTGTCGTTAGGGCTAGCCCGACTAGTTTTTAGGAGTTCGCTGGCACCAGGTTTCACTGAGGGAGGCTGCGCTATCCGCGTAAGTCTTTCTGAAGGTGAAGGCATTCGCTGTACAGAACTATTGTCGCTTCGGCTTTTAGCGACCATCAATTGGTCCTCATTTTCAGCCCCCATGTAAGCATCTCCGTAGAGGTCTTGATTGAAAAGTTTACTTTCACGCTCTTCTTGATTTACTCCGTAAAATCTTCGGTTCTGAGAAGGAGACATTCTATCATCGTCTAGATGCTTTTCTGAAGCTGAAAGTGGTGTGCCATCCTTGCTAGATACCTTATCGCTTAGAGAATGAGGTTCGTGAAAGCCGCGAGATCGTTTCACAGAGGTTTCAGTGGTAGATATGCTCGCCTTTTCGTCGATGCTGTTCGTTGACAAAGGAACATGTATGATGGAGCTCATGCGCTGTACAACGGTGTGTGAGCTGTTTGACCCTTTCGTACCGCCTTCAACATTGGCTGCTGCTGTTATCCTGCGTGCACCTCTTGTGCTGTCGGAAATGACTTTCTTCGACTTGAGGTCCTTCTTTTTAGTGAACAGACCTGAAATCCTGCCAATTATGCTTCTTCTCTTCTGTTTAGATGTCAATAGCAGTGTCTCGCTATTTTTTCTAATGACTTGGTGCTTCTGATCTAGCTCCTTACCTTCGGCGCGCTTCTTTTTACTTTGCTGGGTCCGCTCTTCCGAAGGTTTGATTTCATGACTCAAGTCATCCTTCGCACTTTTGAGAGTAGCTGTGATTGGAAGGGACTCAGGTCTCGATATTAACAGCGGAAAAGTCCCAGCGGGAGAGTTGTCTTCGGCTAAAGTTGGTGCAAGCTTAGCATCTTCGCTAAAATGATGTCCGACTCTTTTGACTAATTGACTATTGATCTCCAACAGTTCACTTAAAAAAGGAGACCGAGCCGTGGAATAAAACTGACTGTAAAGCGTCGTGAATTCTGACACTAGGGTTCGTACCAAGTTCTGCAGCTCCACAGTAAAGTGCTTTTCTCTTCCATCACAAGTCAATTCTGTCAGGGCGACAGTGCCATCTGGCTCCAGCGAGGCGAAAAACGCGACGACTAGGTTGTAGTCTTTTAGCACCTTCTGGTTTTGATTCATGTTTAAAAATAGAGAAAACCTCGATCTTATCCTCTCCATGGCGTAAGCATTGACTTCATGCGCAGTGGAAAAAACTTGAAGATCCTCGTCTGTGTAGCGAAAAAGGTGGAATGCAGTCTCTTTTTCTAAAATCTTTGCTTTAGCTATCAAATTAACGACCTCTGAACCTGTTAGCGACGATGAGATAATCTTGGCAGCAACTGCAGTGACATTGTTTGAGTTCAGATGATCGATTCGAATCATATCAGTCCCGAAGGTTGACGCTGCGACATCATTGACGTAAAAGTAATTAGCAACTCGTAACTCAGGAACTTTTGGTGGAAGAGGAACTTCATTAATGAGCGAGTTCATCAAAACGTCAGAAAGAAGTGGCTTTTTGCCTGCATAGCTGTCGTAATAAGAGCTGGTGTCGATGACGTTAAGAATTACGATGTAGTCACTGAAAATAACAAGAATATTCCTCTGCGTATTATCATTTGAATCCATGACATCGAAAACACCTACGACTCTTCTTTTCAGCCAGTTATATTGTAGTTCTGTGGGCCAGCCCCTAGCTAGCTCAGTTAAAAGCTTTCCAGATGGAGTGAAAACCCTCGTGTTGTAGGATTTCAATGGCTTCTCATCAGCTCCAAAAGAGTCGATGATGTCACAAATTTTCAAATAATGAGCTTCTGCCAAGTGTGCATTGCCTAAGGCCCATTTTTTGGTTGACCAAAGCCTATCAATGATTAGTTTTATCTTCAAAATGGTTTCTTGAGGACTTTTAATAATAGCATCAATTTTCATTTGCGTATAAAACTCGCGGCCAGGTAGTGCATCATGAAATTTAGCCAAGAACTCTTTGAGTTGCTTTGAAAAGTCTTTGGTGGCCGCGTCATGTCTTGTGTAAGCTTTGTAAAAGTATGGTATGGTAACGCTGCATGCCTTCAGCAACTCTTGTGAGCCGTAAGAGTGGGATGCCTTTAATGCATCTAAGAAGATACAATTAATTCTAGTCACCTCATCAATCGTCGGAGGGAATAAACGATTTAGTTTTGGTATGGAAAGACCTGCAATTTCTTCATTTGCGACCTCTATTCGGAGGGGGATTAAGAATTTTTGAAGAAACTCTACTAGTGTGAGGGTGAAATTGGTTTGTACCTGTAGCATTTCATTGCATATCATTGATACGATAGTATCGTCCTTTTCCACAAGCGTGTTACCCTCTGGTGACTTGTATATGATTTCTGTTTGTTCTGGTGAGTATTCTGTCAATGGGTCGAATAATTGTTCTAATTGATCCCCAAGGTGGAAAACAAGCTCATTGTTGGCCTCGATGGCGGATTCTTTGTGCTCATAAACAACGTCGAGAAGTAAGGATCCAGAATAACGAGGCCTTAGGAGGCCCAGGCAGTCCAAACTTTTGCCTATATCTCCAGGGGGGCAGAACCCTATCAACTGACAGTTGTTAGCAAGGTCACCAGCTGCTGTAGGATCATAATCGTATTTCATTTGCGGCTGAAGCTTAGGCACCAAGATGGGATCCAAATCGGCAAACTTTTGTAGCAATGAGACAGCGATACACTTTCTAACGCTTGACTCACGATTAGTTGGCGATAAGTTCTCGACTGCAGGATAGAACCGAGATTTTCGGGAGATATTTACCGCATCGTAATGTGTTGTTCCTAACTTATCCATTATGAGTGAGTTCAGCTTACTAGAAGTTGAACTCTTATAGACAGCAATGATAAAGTAGCCCCAAAGTAGTTCATCGAAACCCCTGTAGATTGCTGCGTTGGGAAATACATCTTTAACCCAGTTTTTCGATTCTGGCACGGAATCTACAAACAGGTTCTGGTGTAGTTCTACACATTTTCTCGGGAGCTGCTCTTTGGTTGAATTATAAGAAGCTTTTTGAGGTTCTACAATCCTTAGTACTTCCTCCATCGGTCTCGGTGGCGCGCAATTGCAGAACAAGATGGGTGTTTACTTTTCGAATTTCGAATCATTTAAGGTGAAGGTAATAAATGTAACCTCCAACATTGTAATTTTATTTCGAACTGGTACATCCAGAAACACGTGATATACATAAATTCCTTATCCTGTCGCTCTTCCGGCCAGAACCTGAGCGTCACTTATACGTTTCTTAATACTGGATTGACTTTTGAAATGGTGTGCCTAGCCATTTCTAATTTCTTGCTCGATTTACCACATTTCTAACCGATCTTGTCTAGTACTAGCTTAACATGCGAAAACCGGAAAAACAGCATCGCAGCTCTAAAAACGGATTTAGCTCACAAAGAGTGCGGATTAGCTTGAGTATTCATTGCTTTTCGTTCGTAACACCCCAATAAATGTAGTGTAGCAGAACTGGCGCCTTACCTGTGCTATAAGATTTTACGGTAAGCGTAGTGTGGGAAGCGTCCGTGTGCGTAGAAAGAAGAGTACGAAGCCAATGGCACACTAGTAAAACCCTGGTATGCGGAGGAAACCTTCTCAGAGAAATGCCTGGTCCATAAACTGACGCGTAAAGGGTGTTCTTTGAAACTAAGAAATAAATTGTCGTCGGGTCAAGGTTCAGATGAAAATTTCGGATATTGCTGCGAGCTACTGCTGTGTGATGGATTTGCTTCAATTAAAGGACAATTGATGGCCTCTGGCCTCTTTTCTACATTCTACTCTCAGCCTTGCATTCATGAACAAAAATTGGACCATCAAAGCATGTGCGCCACAATTTAACTCTTTACTTCTCTACTATGGCTTGCATTTAGCCAAGAAATCATTTCCCTTACTATAATCCTCTTTGGTACCACGCAATTTCTTGCACACGCGAGAACATCTCAGATATATTCTCAATCATATTACTTTTGGCGCATTGATTATTTTAGGCCCTCAGGCCGACTTTACAATCAATTACAGGAGCAGAGCCGCTCGCCATGTAGAGTGCCAGTGCAATCGCAGGTTTCAGACAGCCCCTCATTTGTGTTTAAATACTCTTCTGCCTGATTTTCACGAAAGTTTCGTGAACTATAGTGAGTTGGTTAGATTGACGCGTCAATTTAGATTATTCGAATCAATACTCGCAGCGATGCTTCAAACGAGAAAGGAAGCATTGTCTTAGAGGCAGAAGTTTAATATGCCTACGGCTAATTTATATTCGAAGTTGCAAACGGATGAAGACTACAAACTACTTGTTCTCAATGGTGAGCTGTTAGCCGCACTTGAGGGGAACAGCAAGCTCAAATTTAAAGCCCCAGGTCTCGAGGGCTCTGTCGTTCTTTGCTCTAATGACAAGACGTGGCTTCTGAGGCAGAAGAACCACTCCAATACTGCTCTCATAATGAGGGAATTTGTATCGAATGAGCTAGGTGAGGAAAAGATCAAACTTCCGGCGGGAATTGAAGAGCCCTCTGTAAATCATCTCGCATATACCAAACAAGGTAGCGAGCTCGAAGCACGCTTGACCATAGGTGATATCGACATTAGCATGCTACCGATTTACTCCGGAGATAATGAAAGTTTCAAGAAATCTTTACAGCAGTCAAATGGAATTCGATGGACGGTCGAAGAACTCGAGAACATTTCGCCCTGTTCAGAACAAGAATTTGCAGTAAAGTGGCCTATTTTAGGTGGCTGCAATGTGGAAGGAATAGCCTGCATTTTGTCACAAGAGTTCATCTCGAAGGTCCTTCATATCTTGTTAATGAGCTGTATGGCCGAATCTCTGAACTTTGAGTCGCTTGATGTGTCAAAGGTTTTCTCTGCCCTTAATAAGGATATGGGTGAGGGCGAAGAATTTAATCCTTTCAGTTTAGACGTGGTACGCACAGTTATAGGAAAGTTTTCGAGAGTAAACAAGCAGGGCAAATATGCTCTTCAAGTGAAAGCGGTAAGTCAATGGTACGGGATAGAAGCGCTCAAAAAGTTTGCCTCTTGCGCTTTGATACCTCAAGAAGAGTTTATGATCAAATGGAAAGCTCTCTTTCCGCCATATTTCAGATGTGATCTGGATTTCGCGGCACTGAGAGGATATTTTTACCGTCCTTTAGGTACCAGCATACAATACTTCTCAAAAGACGCACTACCCGACGATCCCAGGGGAAGGTTTGCATATCTTTTCAAACTACAGTCTACTTGGGATTTGAATGAGATGATACCTTATATCGAGCAGCTTAACACTACCGGCGTAAAAATCGACAACTTTGTTATGAAATATGCGAGACGAAAGAAACAAGGCAAGCTCACGCTGGTGAGCGCACGATGATACGATTTCATAGAATGATTCAAACAGTTACAAAGATGCTTTTGCGGGAAAAGTCGAAGCAGAACCTATAACTACGAAAGGAGAGAGTGAGCACTTTCATATACACCCAGGAAAATAGCACCTCCGGCACTTATCCATAAAGTTCTTGGACCTATACCACTCAAAAAAACTTTCCAGCCTTCCTGCTTGTAAATGTCTCGAGCCAAATTAAGAACTGGCACAGATTTTTTGCTGAGCATAAGCCTTGTTTTGAGCAAATCCAGTGGTGTGGTGGTAGCAGCAGCAATCCCACCGGCCACACAACCACAAAGCGCACCTTGCCATGGAGCGATTTGGTCTCGATTTGCAGCATGCGCCCATCTTTTCTTGAAATATTCATACAAAGGAAACTGGATGCAGGTAAAAGGAATTTCCCGCATGATTGTGGTGGACCAGCCGCGGTATAAGTTTCGCCTTACACCTTCGCCGTTTTGATTACGCAGCAGCTTTTTTAGCGTCTGCAAGGAAGAATCAGATTGATGAGTTTGTGTCCTTTGTTTGATCACCTCAGCAGGCACTCGTACCATACAAGCTGCAATTTCACCAGCGGAAGATGAAAACATATGAGTGGCCGTTTCAGCCATTTGACCATTTGATGGAATGAGTCTGTCAAAGGTAGGCCGTGAAAGAGACTTCATTCCATCATAAGTCACAAAAAAGAGGGACGCGCTAGGTGCACTTGCAACTACTGCACTTCCGAGGCCTCTATATATGCCATGGTAGCCTCCGTTAGCGAAAAATCCTCCTACTGCTTGGAGTCGAGTCTTCAAAGTGTCAATTGGGAAGAACACCAAATCTGTTGAGGTACCAGCAGCAGCCCCTGCCAAAAGAGATGCTACGAATGCTGCATTGCTCATTATTTTTTATCTGTTTTCGTTTCTCGAGCTTTTGATAGTGGTGACGCTTTAATTCGAGATCAGGGTTTTTTTCAATTATTGGGCTACGGTGTTAGAAAAGAGGTGAGCCTAAAAAGTAGCCTGACCACAATAGAGAGCAGTGTAAAACGCTAGCACTTTGATTGGAGTTTCCCTAGCAATCGAAAAACGCTTGTTCAGAAAAGCGAATTTTTTTGGGTTTGCCAAGAGAGCTCTCGGGACTTTTTTTTAGCATGGTGGTTTGCATGAAGGAAAATATTCAAAATGCCACGAGATTGAATCTTATTGCAGAACTTAAAAGCAGACAAGCGAGCGAGTCGGATGCGGTGTGAAAAGCTTGCGTAGTGGGTTTAATCCGTTTTTTGAGTGTGATGACAGGAAAAACGAAAGATGTCACGTGTCACACACGACATGACTGATTAGTTAATTTGGATGACTCCGGTGAGAATGATCGCTCGCTAGAATGGTCTTTTTTCAGTGGAATCGATCGCTGAGAAATGGAATTAAATACGTTACTAGTTATTACTCGCAAATTCGAACTCTTCATGCCCGACAATCGAAGATGATCGACACTCGTAATACCTGTGGTATGCCCTCAAAGCTGTTGTCTCGTAGAGTGGGAACATAATAAAGGTCTTATCAGGCACAATAGCACCAATCGAGATGCAATACCATGCACTTTATGCTCATAGATTCATCGACTTTGCCATATATCACAATCACATGTCACCAAACTGAGGCTTTTACAGCGTATGTAGTGATATCTCAAACAATGAGTTTAATTAGTCACGTGTCGTATTCTTCTTTCAGTTTTTCTAGATAATTAGACACCCCAAAATATTTATCTGGCATTATCTTAACGCTTTAACATCTCTGCATCAAAATTATCGACGTCTTGGCCAAGAAGTTTAGAATAGTCATCAGACAACTCGCTAAAAACACAATGTTAAGGACGTTTACAAGGTCGCTGCTCGTGAGGAACCGGAGACCAGGCCTGGTGGCTAACAGGTGGTACGCCACGGCGAAAGTAGCCTTTGATGTGCCACTGGAAACGCACACGGATGTGCAAAAGGCACATGAGGACCTTGCAGAAGCCAGAACGGACTCTGCAGAAGTCGTAGAATCTGGCTCAACTGCACTCAAACATGCGTATCAAGAAAACACCGGGTTTGGGACAAGACCAATATATCTCGACATGCAGGCGACGACCCCTACGGATCCACGAGTCTTGGATACGATGCTCAAGTTTTACACAGGTCTGTATGGTAACCCACACTCAAACACACACAGCTACGGATGGGAAACCAACCAGGAGGTAGAGACGGCTAGAAAACACATAGCGGACATGATTAACGCAGACGTGAAAGAAATCATCTTCACGTCCGGAGCGACGGAGTCGAATAATACCGCTTTGAAAGGTGTTGCAAGATTCTACAGCAAGACCAAAAAACACATTATCACAACCAGAACGGAACATAAGTGTGTCTTGGAGGCCGCTAGAGCTATGAAGAATGAGGGATACGATGTCACGTTTTTGAACGTTAACGAAGACGGGCTCATCGATCTACAGGAACTAGAATCGGCAATCAGGCCGGACACTTGTCTTGTGTCGGTAATGGCTGTGAACAACGAAATCGGTGTCATGCAGCCTATCGCAGAAATCGGTGCTTTGTGTCGGAAAAAGAAAGTGTTTTTCCATACAGATGCAGCTCAAGCGTACGGGAAAATACCGCTAGACGTGAACAAGATGAACATCGATTTGATGTCGATATCCTCACATAAGATCTATGGGCCCAAGGGTATGGGTGCCATCTTTGTGAGAAGGCGTCCCCGTGTTAGACTGGAGCCTATAATCTCGGGCGGTGGGCAAGAAAGAGGGTTGAGATCGGGAACTTTGGCACCCTCCTTGGTGGCCGGATTTGGTGAGGCCGCCAGACTTATGAAACAAGAGTTCGATGCCGACTCTGCTCATGTCAAAAGGCTATCCGAAAAGCTAACGAACGGTTTGCTAGCAATTGAACACACGTCCTTGAACGGATCTCCCGATCATCGTTATCCTGGTTGCGTCAACGTATCTTTTGCATATGTTGAAGGCGAATCTCTGTTGATGGCTCTCAGAGACATCGCTTTAAGTTCAGGCTCTGCTTGTACGTCTGCTTCTTTGGAGCCATCATATGTCCTTCATGCACTAGGAAAAGACGATGCTTTGGCTCATTCTTCGATCAGATTTGGCATCGGTAGATTCACTACCGATGAGGAGGTGGAATACGTGATCAAGGCTATTACAGAAAGGGTAGAATTCCTCAGAGACCTATCACCTCTGTGGGAGATGGTCAAAGAAGGTATCGACCTCAATTCCATCGAGTGGTCGGGCCACTAGTATTTTGCAACTAGAATTAAAGACGGTGGGACTGTTGCTCCTGTTTTGTGTGCACAGTTAACACGGGATTCCTTGTATTATTCATTCTTTTTGCTGTATACAGTTTGGTACATATAACATTCATTCATCTTGTTAAAGCTTACATCAAGAACTATAATTTATGCCAACAGTTCCTTGACAGTCTTAGCAATAGCGTCTCCTACCTCAGTAGTGGAGTTAGATCCTCTGAGGTCGGCAGTTCTCAGACCAGAATCCAGAACTCTTTTCACAGCTTCTTCCACTGCAACACCTTCTTCGAATAAATTCAACGATAGTTTCAACATCATGGCTGCGGACAAAATTGTGGCAACCGGGTTTACTTTTCCCTTAGGCAAGTCTGGTGCGGAACCATGACAAGGCTCGTACAGACCGAAGGCGGTCTTAGTGTCAGGAAGCGATGCTAGCGACGCAGATGGCAGTAAACCCAAGGAACCTGGAATGACAGATGCTTCATCTGAAATGATATCACCGAAAATGTTGTTAGTGATGATTACACCGTTCAACTGAGTTGGGTTCTTGATTAGAATCATGGCTGCCGAGTCGATCAATTGATGCTGAAGGGTCAAGGTTGGAAATTCTTCCTTAATAGTCTTTTCAACAGTCTTTCTCCATAGCCTCGAAGAAGCCAACACGTTGGCCTTGTCCAGAGACCACACTGGCAAAGGTGGTTCGTGTTGAAGGGCAAGGAAAGCGGCCATTCTGGTGATTCTTTGCACCTCAGGAACGGTGTACTTTTCGCTATCCCAGGCGACACCGTCACCTTCGTCTTCCTTTCTTTCGCCAAAGTAGATGCCTCCCACCAATTCCCTCACGACAACAAAGTCAGTTCCGCGAGCGTAATCAGCCTTCAAAGGTGATAGTTCCAACAGCGATTCCGAAGCAAAGTTGCAAGGTCTCAAGTTAGCGTACAATTGCAGTTCCTTACGAATCTTCAAAAGGCCTTGTTCTGGTCTGACTTGACCTGTACCCCATTTAGGTCCACCAACAGCACCTAAAAGCACGGCATCTGCCTTTCTGGCCGCATCCAAAGAAGCATCGGGTAAAGGCTCACCAGTGGCGTCAATGGCCGCACCACCGATCAAATGGTGCTGAAACTCAAACTTGATACTTGGACGGGCTTCAGAAATCGCTTCAAGCACTTTAACGGCTTCCTGAGTAATCTCTTGACCGACATGGTCACCTGGAAGGATAACAATTTTCTTTACTTCAGACATGGCTTATTTTCTGCGCTAAGATCGAATCTTTATACGTGCAAGGATGAGTATTCAAAGCTAGATACAGGCTAAAACTAGCACTACGATAGTTGAATTGAAGATGCGAAAGATTCATCGATTACTATACATATATATGAATCTTGCAGATTTATTCAAAATCTACAGAAAACCAGACCTGTGAAAAAAATATTGAAATTGATGTGATTTTAGGCCGGTACCGGCGAAATAAAATGGTAAGAGATCGAGGAAAAAAACTCACGTGCTCTACCTCAACAGACAGAGATAGTGAAGGGTTTGCCCATCTCCTGCTGCTGTCGACAAGCTAGTTGAGCTTGGAAATCAAATTGTCAATGTCCACTTGAACCACTGGAGCTGTGGAAGCGTTGGACATCTTTAGGGCCCGTTTTTGCCATTCTCTCTGTCTGAGCTTGTGTAGTTTGCTGATGGCACTGAAACCAGAGACCTCCCTGCTGAGACGGAAGGGAAGAAGGAAGAAGTTACACTTAACAAAACCCTCGCCCAATGTGGCGATTTCGTGGATGATGTCCTCAACGCAAATGATGCCCTCAGATCCAAGGGCCTCCTCGACGACGTTGTTGTCGTTGAGAATGACCTCTCTAGATTCCCCGCCCTCAGACGGTTTCAGGAGCACCCGGCTTCTCTTGTGGATCAATGAGCGAACGGAGGCCAATGAAGGCTCTCCGATGACCACGTAGGGCGCTACCAGCTTCAGGAGCGGGTAAACCTGGGTCGAAAGACGCACGAAGACACCAGTGTTGACTTCCGAGAGTCTTAGCAGCGACAGTACCTTGTGAGCCTTCTGTGGGATCTTGGCAGCTACAGGACCACGAATACGTAGCACGAACAGTAGCGTGGGCTTGCCGTCATATATGCATTTCTCGGTGTGCAACGAGGCAGCGTCCTCATCGTCCTCGTTTTCGTCGCTCTCAGCTCCTTGGTCACCATCACTGCGGTCGCGGATTTTGAGGATGAAGTCCCGGCTCGAGGCCAAATGATGCGTTTCGCCCTTGGCACGTTGGGCTTCTAGCTTCGATACTCTTTTGATGCGTTCCTTTTCACGATCAGTCGCCAAGGTGGTCGCCACAATGGTTTCTGCTCGTTCAAACTTGTTTTTACGCGCCCGTTTTTGTTTCCCCTGCTGTTGCTTACGACGCTGGGCCAACTCTTGTTTCTCCAGACGGGTTCTATCCGCATTTCTCCGCTTGCGAAGAAGAATCTCTGGATTGGACTCTAGACCTGCGACCATGTTAGTCTGTATATGTAGTGACTAGCGACTAAAGTGCAACAGAATGTTTAAGATCGCTGTAGTCGCGGTTTATCTGAATGTCTTCTTACATCCTTCTAGAATGCTCAAGCCCATCTCATCTCATCGCTTAAAAATTTTCCAGCGATGAGGTAGAGATGAGCTTTGCATCAAGATCAATACACACCATATGACATTCATGTGACATGCACATGACAGCATTCAAAGCGTGAATAGCACATGTTACAACGTTACCAGGAGCAGTTTTGACACTCTTTATTCTCTTTTGAAGTTCCGAACGAGGCAGCCAAGCGAGCTCCTAATTCGTGGTATCATCGCGAACACACGCTTTCAACTGCTCACTTTCTATATCTGTTCAGTTCGAAATTATGAAAAATCAGAGTTCGAAAACGATGCATTGAATTGACACACACAATAAATAGCGCATAGCGAGTTAATTCCATTAGCCACGGCAAAGAAGTGTGAGGCTGTAACTTCATGATTCCCTAGTTCTTATAAGCAGTCGAGTGTCAAAACAAGATAAATCATTATACACGTCAATGTTTATTTCTCTATAGTGACATTTAAATTAATACAAAACGAAACTAAGCTCCACTAGGAAGGGATCTTCTTGAGATTCCATTCGCAAGTCGAGACATGCCCCATATCGGATGAGCTCTCCAGAGTACTGCTGCCTTTTCATTACAAAGGCTTCACATCAATGTTTATTCTATAAGTTTTTAGAAGGTAGTTCCTTCAATTCTACCTCCCTTCCTTTTGAAGACCAGTCCAAAATTGCCAGCTGGAAAAAGAACCAGTCACTCCGCTAAGAGGCCTGAGAGCTGCCCGAGCATTCTCTGCAGAAACAATAGGTCTGCTAAGGGTCTCTGGTGTAATACACACACGCTCTTATGCACTGTCGTCCGTTTTCGATCATTACAGGGTAGCCGCCCGCCACTCTAGCCAACCACAAAATCAAGGACCAAAAAAAAAACCCTGTCACGAGACATCTATCCATTTTTCTAACCATTCTTCCCCTCGATTGTCTAGTTAATGATCTACTTATTTGACTACTCGATTATCCACTCGTCTGCAAGGTCCTTAATTTCTTTTCGTCCAAAATTTTTCCACGCTCATTCAGCCCGTTCGCATCGCAGGTTGGAATTGGAATTGGAATAAAATCAAACAAAACAGAAAATGCTATCTTTCTGACTAGGGAATCAAAACTGTCAGTCGTAACTATAAGCTGGGCGTTGCTCCAATTCGTGGTAAACAACAAGATTGTAGCGCTGCTACAACCGTTCAAAAGCGACTGACATTTTTTGGCGGATTAATTTGGCAGATCAGAACTTGATCGGAACAATTAGATTTTGAGAAACGCTGAAAGCTGGTAGGGAGTGGGATAAAAGGAGAGTCCCAAGAGTTTCTAATATTTGTGCGAGAAGCGTGGTTTTTGTTGTATCCAGGTTACGGCAGACAAACTCGACATATAAGGGCTTGATCCGGAGCCGGCGGTCGAGAAACACGATCCATCTGAGGGTCATCTCAATTTCGATCTAGAGTTACACCTCGTTCAAAGTAAAGGCTGCAGGCGCGACTCGGATCCCCAACATGAGTGACCAGCATGGGACTGGCGTGGGTGACAAGCGTCTTCATCCGCATCTTCAGCCATTGCAGTCTAAACCTGATGTTTTGGACGGCACTAGCAGCGGTATGAGCAGCACAGGAGCGAGAATCCACGACCCCACAGCGTCGAGTAGCAGCAGCGGCTCACTGACCTCATCACGTCCTGCAGAATCTGTTCCTCTGCTAGGTAACGGACTGCATGGATCGCACCTACACCAGCATCAGCAAGAGCTGCAACCCCATCTGCATCAGCGGCCACAACAGCGTTTGCATGAGCAACAGCATCAAGAACAGCGACTTCAACAACAACAACAACAACAACAACAACAACAACAGCCGCAACAACAACAACAACAACAACAACAGCAACAACAACAACAACAACAACAACAGCAACAACAACAACAACAACAACAACAACAAGAGCGACTGCATTTGCAACAGCAGCCGCAATTTCAGCCGCATATCCCGCATCAGCATCTTCAACAACAGCAGCAGCAACAGTATCAACAACAGTATCAGCAGCAGCAGCAGCAGCAGCAGCACCATGTTGATCAACAACAACCGTTTCAACAGACGCAATCAAATTATATGTCTGCTGGTTTCCCACAATATCAAAGAACGTATGCGTCCACTTACGGCTTGCAAATGACAGCAGCAGCAGCAGCAGCAAAGCAGCAACCAATGGCTCCCTATGGCACAAGCTACAATTCACCTATGGGCCCTGGATACCTACCGAGCCCCATCCCTCAACCTTTGCCGAACGACAAATCGCTCGAAGCCCACCGCGGCTACCAGCAGCAGTTTCCAATTTTTCAGGCGAGTCAACCTCATTTTTCTCCCCCTTATGAACCAATTGACAAGAAACGTACTTTCGTAGAGTATGCAGACGCTCGTCCAGAGGTGTCAAAGGCAAGAATTAGTGTGCCGGGTGGCAAGAAAAATGGCAACGAAACCATGCTGAGAGAGTTGGCAGCGAGAAACAAGACGAAATCGCTTCCAGAGTGTGCTTTAACAGTTCGTGAAGCCGAAATTGCGGTTCTCAATATGGATTCCTCTACCCACAATAAGTCCGACATTCAAGCTGCAGAACAGACTCGTGAACGCGAGAGACAAGTCTATGCCTTAACATGGTTAATGGCTGCTTGTGTAGGAGAGAAAAATAGTTTTGTTCCCCGAGGTCGAATCTTCGCGCAATATGCGGCATCTTGTGCACAGAATAACTTAAAGCCGCTTTCGCAGGCGACATTGGGCAAACTTATCAGAATTCTTTTCCCTGGTCTTACCACTAGGCGTTTGGGTATGCGTGGTCAGTCCAAGTATCACTACTGCGGCCTGAGTCTCATAAGCCCATCTCGGTCTACCTCCCCCAAATTGCTTTTAGCAGACTCTAACTTGTCACAAGTAAACGGAACCAGCCGCGAAGAGAATGTCAGTGAGTCATCGAATAGCGATGCTGAAAGCAATCGCAATTTAGATGACAGTTCTCACTACCAGGTGATCCCTCCAACGGCTTTGTCTCCTTCAAGGTCGCCACCTGTTATTTTTCAGCACAACAATAGGAGTAATGCAGACAGTTGGAATGACGCCGTTTCTTGGGATTCTCTCAAAGTCATAGAAGAGGTCTGTCGCAATGGTTCAGCTGTTGATATCAATCTGCCCTTGGATATTCCCTCCATTAATACCTACGTGCCGCAAAATACTGATATTGATATAGCCACATCACTCGAGTGCATCTACAAGGCTCACTGCAACACCATTCAAGAAAACATCAGGTTTGCGAAGTTTGATGATTTAACAAATACTCTAGAGTCGTTCAGCTCTAGTTCCATTTCTCCTCCAATGTTCGATCTGTACATTTCGGATCACTTGTACGATTGGGTAAATCAAGCGGATATTGCAACACATAAGACTGCTGTCAGATCCTTGACGAAATTCATAAAGGAGTCTGCAACAGTGCCGCCCTCTGTGTCTGAAAAGCTTATAGAATTCTCCCACTCCTACCCGGAAATGATATCATCCGCTAATATCGACCTTCCCGTACCCATGGTGAAGAGTAAGGTTTTGATTGCCAAGAAGTTTTCTAGATTGGTTAAACGCACGACTAGGGTGATCCGGACCGCCAAAAGTGCTTCGAAGATTTACAAAACCCCTTCTCCAAGGGTGGAAATGTATCAGGATTGGAAAAAATTCATTAACGTTCCTGATATTTGTCGATCGGAACTCTATTGCTGCAACAATGATGAGATCATCTTAAAAAAGGTAGCAACCTTCATTTCAGGTGCCATCGATAGCTTTTTTGATTGTGATGAGCACTTGCTTAGTGAGAACTTTGCGATTGACTTAGCAATCCGAATTTTGTCCTTTCTCATCAAGATTCGAGACCAGCCAGTTGCCGTTATAATGGCAAATGCCAATGTCTTTACGACTGGTGTCATCCGTGAATTGAGCATCATGGGTTCCGAGCATGCAGGTTCCTGGTGGGTCATAAAGACCTTCATAGACGAATGGCTATACTGGTGCGATGAAGCGGGCAGTTTTTTGATATCGCCCGTTTAAAGTTGTCGAACACTTAATGTCCCCGGTTGCTTATTGCTGTACGATTGCAGGCCTGGCCCTGTTTTGAATATGCAGGACATTGAATGATGCTGAATTTATTGATGTTTAGCGGCTAGCACTAAGCTCACGCCGTGCGTTCCCCCACAAACGATTGCTGGGAACAATGAAAAACTGTACCATACCTTTGATTTTTTTCAACCCCTTTGATCTTAAAAAGCATAAGAAACCATGTTTAATGGTTGTAATTTTATATACACTCTGATTTATGTACAGTAAAGTATTGTGACTATCTCTACAATGCTCTTTATACGTCATTAAGAGCTACACATATAGCGCCCTTGTGGTGTCCACCGTACTGTCTAACAATCTCCCTTGTAGATAGGTCCCACAATCTTACATAGTGATCGGAGCATGCTGTGACGAGATACGCAGAATCTGCGCTAAATGCGCAATCCCAGACCCATCTTTGGTGTCCGTCAAGGGTGGTCTCTAGCTGGAAGTTATCGTCGATAGACCAAACTCGAGCAGTATGGTCTGCAGAACACGTTGCTAGATGTTTCACGTCTGATGACAGTAAAACTCGAGTTATGTATTTCGCATGCGACCGGAACTTTGTCACCGGCTTAGGTGTTGTAATGTCCGTTTGGTTTGGCATTTGCCAAACGTAGCAATCGCCCCTGTTGTTGCCTGCAACGAGCATGGAGCCATCGCTCGCGACCGAAAGTGACTGCAAAGGCGTGTCGTCTTCTGGAGTGAGCTGATGGACACATTGGTTTTCGCCCAAGTCCCAGATTCGAATATTGCCGTCCTGGTCGCATGAAATAAGTTCTCCTTGGTTTGGGTGAATTTGAACCTCGTTGACAGCGGCGTTATGCTTATAGTTACGTTGAACCGATGGCGCACGTACGTCCCATACTTTGATAGTGCCGTCTTCACTGGACGACACCATCCACTTATTTTCTTGTTGGAATGCAATGGACGTTACGTTGCCCCGATGGCCTTCGAACGAGGCAACCGGATTTGGATTTGTCGTGCGGATGTCATACAGCCGCACGTTTAAATGCCCTGCTGCGGCCAAAAACCGTTTATCTGACGAAATTTCCAGCCTATTCACCTGTGAGTCAGCATGCTGGATAGTTCTCGAGCATACCCCTGTCAGAGCTTCCCAAAATCGGATGGTATGGTCATAGCCAGCTGATGCAAGAATCACGGACATTTAAGTCGACAGCCTAACCTTGTTTATAGGCTTTTTTCTTCTTTTTCAAGACTATGATACCCACAATGTTTGACAAATAAAGCTCGAGCCTCAGAGGTTTCTTCAACACCCTCCTATTTCGCTTGTTGGGATGGGTTGATAGAATGCCATCAAAGTTCCCTAATCTTTAGACCAAAAAGCCTTTAAAATTTCAAACCGTTTCGTCAAAAGTGCTATCAACACTTTTTTCGGATTTCTAGAAAGTTCCAGTAAATATGTCTGAATTTGAACTCAAGGTATATAAAGGAGTCGAAACTCTCGGTCAGGGACGTCCAGACTTTACAGGTACGATCGTGAACCTCGGTTTTAACGAAAAGGACAGCAACTAGGAGACATAACACAACTAAGGGCTCGCAGTTCTTCAAAAACAGTCATCTTCTGTTACTACGACACTTTCCATAAAGCTCGCAAATAATCCGAAAACACCAGATTACGGTTCGAACACGATAGTAAGGCATTGATCCAGGTTTAATAACACATTATAGAATAATATGGTGAGGGAAACCAAACTTTACGATTTACTTGGTGTTCAGCCTTCAGCAAACGAAACTGAATTGAAAAAAGGGTACCGCAAAGCGGCCCTAAAATATCACCCAGATAAACCTTCCGGTGATGCAGAAAAGTTCAAAGAGATCTCAGAAGCGTTTGAGATTTTGAGCGACCCTCAAAAACGTGAAGTTTACGATACATATGGGTTAGAGGCCTCTAGAAACGGAGGACCGGCTTTTGGTGGGGCAGGTGCTGCTGGCGGCGCAGGTGGTCATCCCGGTGCTGGATTTGGAGGAGCGCATGCGTTTTCCAACGAGGATGCTTTCAATATTTTCTCCCAATTCTTTGGCGGCGGCGGTGGCGCTGGCGGTGCTTCACCCTTTGGTGCCTCATTTGGCGGTGCTGAAGACTCGTTTGGCGGTTTCAGTAGTGGCGGAGGGTTCCCTGGTGGTGGCCATGGCGGGTTCCCTGGTGGAACCAGCTTTCGTTCTAGCAGCGGAATGCCCGGTGGATTTCAGTCTGGGGCTTCATCACCTCCTCCTGAAGAAAAAACTGTTTTGGTGAATTTGCCCGTTAATCTTGAGGATCTTTTCCAAGGTAAGAAGAAATCGTTTAAAATCACACGTAAGGGTCCCGGTGGCACTTCCGAGAAACAGCAGGTTGATATCCAGCTCAAACCAGGCTGGAAAGCAGGCACTAAGATTACCTACAAAAACGAAGGAGACTACAACCCACAAACCGGCCGCAGACAAACAATGCAGTTCATCATACAGGAAAAGCCTCATGAAAGGTACTCGAGGGACGGAAATGATCTCATATACTCCTTGCCTTTGACTTTCAAAGAATCGCTTCTCGGATTTAACAAAACTATACAAACCATTGATGGCAGAACGTTGCCCATCTCCAGAGTTCAACCAATTCAACCAGCAGATGAATCAAAATATCCAGGCCAGGGTATGCCAATTGCCAAAACGCCATCACAGCGCGGTGATCTGATAGTCAAATACAAGATTGACTATCCTGTTTCATTGACTGCTGCTCAAAGAAGCGCAATCTTAGAAAACTTTTGATTTTGCGAATCAACAACGTTGTATCATATACATGTCATCATAACGACTAAGCATAACTTCTACATCTCATATATCACTACTGCATATTTTTCGTAAACGGGACTTCTCAACATTGGATGTGTCGTCTAGATCCAAATCGACGAGTCAGACTTTAGCGGCGGAGGTAACCTAACTGCCAATATCAGGGTGACACTAATTAACATTAAGAAATACAGGGGACAATATGTATATGTGTAGAATAAAAAAGCTTCGATAAATGCAACTGGTATTGATTGTGACCTTATTTCTTGGACTTCTTCTTTTTCTTCTCAGAAGTTTCCTCGTCTTCAGCCTTTCTCTTCTTTTCTTTCTTTTCCTTCTTTTCCTTCTTGTCCTTCTTGTCCTTCTTTTCCTTCTTTTCCTTCTTCTCCTTTTTCTCAGAGACCTCGTCGTCACTCTTGGTTTCTTCTACCACAACTTCAGTCTTGACTTCCTTGACTTCCTCAACAGGGACCTCAGGTGTCTTGGATGTGGCTGGGACAGCAGCGGTCTGTTCGGCCTCAAGAGACACGTAGGACTTCTTCCAATCTTCTGGGGTTTGCTCGTTGGCTCTACCGTATTTGTCAAGTTTACCATCGGCCTTCATCTGCTTCTTCTTCTGAGCGACTGGTCCTAGACCCCATCTTCTGGGGTACAAGTCTCTTTCCATAATGCAACGCTTTACCTTAGCAACAACGCCGTGGTCGCAAGTGGCCAAGTCGACAGTGGACATTTGTGCAATGGCAATTGCAATGGCCTCACCTTTCGTGGTCATCAAAACGACTTCATCGTATAGCTCGATACCCTCTTCGTAACGAAGAAGACCTGGGATCATAAGCTTGGCACCGTAGCAGACGGCGTTGACAGCAGAGTCCTTGACCACGATTCTCTTATAACCCACTAGCAAAGTTTCCAAAGGTTTGATAATTCTTCTCAAGTAGCTTTCGTCTCTAGTGTTGTCGTACACCCATTGGGCATCCATAACGTCATGCAATGTGACTAGGTCGTCATTTTCGGACATGGCACCAGATCTGACACGACGAAGTTCTTGCATGTGGCCTCCTACACCGAGCAACATACCCAAATGCACACAAAGTGTACGCATGTACGTACCGGCTTCGCAAGAGGCCCAGAATACACCTAGGTTCCTACTGGAGTCGAACTCGATTAGGTTGGAATCGTAGATGGTACGCACACGGAGCTGACGCTTGACAGCAGAGATCAATGGTGGTCGTTGGAAAAGCGCACCCGTGAGGTTTTCAAGGCCTCTGGCCAACTCTTTGTCGTCCTTCAACGCATCGTGCAGTCTGACGATACACACGTACTCTTTACCTGCACCTTGTTGCGATTTCACCAATCTCGTGGCTCTGTCCACACACACGATCAAACACCCGGTAACCTTTGGATCCAAAGTACCGGAATGGCCAGTCTTTTCACTACGTAGAATACGCTTGACCCACGCAACAACTTCGTGCGACGATGGGTTTGATGGCTTGTCCAGGTTGATTACACCAGAACTGATGTACGACTTCAAGTCTCTCTTGTGAGGCGAAGATCCGTGAGGAATAGGAGTGTAATGTCCACTTCTCACCAAAAGTTTGTCGTAGTTTTTCAGCAGCAGAGGCCACTCGCTGGCGTCCGTAGTGGGCGCAACGTTCTCGGGCTTGATCATGTATTCGTCCGACATTCCTCAAGTAAAAATCAACGGTGCGAGAGCTTGAGTATCGACTCTAGTTCCAAGACTTTGAGAGAAAAGCTTATGGATGCTTCAAATCGACAAATAACCTTCTCAAGTAACCATTCATCTCATCGGAAAATTTTTTGGTTTTTTCACCAGGCCCTGAATGAAAAAAAATAATGAAATATTCAAGAATCATGTGACACAACGTATAACATGATCATATTATTCCCTCGTGACCATTGATGACATAATCATGGTCACAGGGTTCTGGCTTGATCGTCTCATACGAGGTGGAGCTTGGCGGCTAAACGACTGGGTATCCATCGATTTGTTTCTCCCTCTTTGGGCTCAGTTTCGTTCTGGTTCTCATTCTGGTTCTTTGAAGACACTACCACCACTAGCTAGAGACTCTTGAGGTTATATTGTTCATGTGAAGGCGTAGCATAAACTGGTCGCGCGCCAGTGATCGAACTTTGCGCAAGAAGACTTCAGGAGCCAAAACGTTCTGGTAAGCCAGTCTACTAAGCGCATTGATGGTGTCTGTCACAGCATGGTCCTGAGCCACTAGGTTTCGCAGTTGTTTGACCCCAGCAGCTTCGGGAACAAGCATCGAGCTCAAGTCACACTCAGGCCCGTAGTTTTGCACGTAATACTGCGCCTTATCGAGTTGCTCACGGACCAAACGCAACCCACTTGAGACCGAAGCATGTCTTTCGGATACAGCGGCCTCTTTCTGATCCAGCACAGCCTTTTCTTGCTCACATATATTTCCGAACTGGGCTGTAGCGTTTTGAACCGCAAACATACGCGTGCGTAAGGCTTCTGCGACATTTTCCCGGTCTTCTTTCGCCAGAGCCGCGACCAGATGACGCAAGCGGCTCAATGCATCGTCATAGCTCGAAACCTGTTGACTATTAGCGTCAAGATCCATAATATTTGGAAGCTCTGGCTCAGGTTGTGGTTGAATGACAGGAGGAACAGATTGCGCAGTAGAATGTGCTGTAGATTGTGCAGCAGAGGGTGCTGTGGAGGGAGGTTTTGGAGGCAATACCGGTGCTGCGTCATCGAGCTTGACATTGCCCATGGATTGGCTAACTTGATCAACAGACCCTAATACCGAGGATCCTATGGCGACGGGCACTTCTGGCAAATCCATACGTTTTGGTAGTGGTGGACTTTGCTCAAATCCTGGCTCCAACCTGAAAAAAGGTGGATTTTCCATTATTGTGGAGTTGAGTAAAAAGGCCAAATCTCGCAAATTGCAGGAATCTGGGTTCCAAGATTCCAACATGGGCAATCGGAAACGTCCACTAGAGTCCACAATGCCTCCCGGAACCATTTTTTCGTCTTGCAGTGCGTCGAAATCCACGAAGATGTAAGGTGCCAAAATTGGATACTCTCTTGGAATCCAAATTAACACTGGCACGGAAACAGGGACCTGATCGCTACTAAAACGTCCATACAAACATAGCAACAGCTGGGTCTTTCCTTGTGAGTCTGTGAAGACTTTGGTGCGAGGTCTTACGTTGCGAAATTCACTTAACGTGTACATCACGTCCCTGAACGTTGTCCTGGCATCGTAATACTGCACAACTATTTGTTAGTATAGCGCTGACGACAGTAGACCCCGTTGCGAAAAAAATTGTCCATACCGGTTGTGTTACTTTGAACAGCCAGTCAACCACGGGTGGCGGTAAGTTGAGCGCTTCCATACGGGTTCTTGTGATGCCATGAAGAAGTTCAAACTTATCTGGCGTGCGTGTGAATTCTTATATGGTAGGTTATATATATACCCTGTAAACTAAAGGATAGCACCAGATCACTTGCGACGAAACAATAGAGATATGATTTATAGTTCTAGAGGTGTTGGATGGTTGAGCTCATCGACACTGGATTAGTATTGTCCTCCTTTACGGATGTCTTCCATTCTTCATGCGGTTTAGAAATTTCTAATTTTCGATGCTCCGGGATTTTATTTGCAATGCTCGTAAGGACCAGTTTCACGGGACATGATCAAGATAATTCCGTATCACTGAGGATTATCGTTGAGGAACTTAAGTTCTAACACTTTTCTCAGCGTTCTGTTCTGTTGATTTTGACCAAACGTTCGAATGATGTCAGGTTAGTACAAAGTGATATACGTATCAATACCATCGGTATGCTGAATTCAATAGGTATATGGCCATCTAGCCACCTTGTCGACCGACTCACTTAACAATCTATTTCTCACTCATACGTCTTCGGGCACATTGTCAGACTCCAGAAAATATTCTATCTCGGAATCTCTCTGGTAAGCTTCTTTTATAAAACGGAAACCGCGGGAATAAAGGGTGGAAATTGCAACAGACAATGCAACCAGCGATGGCAAATAATTTGACTACATCATAACGAAATAAATGGATTGTTGTGTCAATATAAAGAAAAACGCAACATGCGAATACACCCATACACCGCGTAGAAAAAATCACATGACAGAATCTCTAATCGGTCATATATAATATTTAAATTAAAATTGAACATTTCCTTTAAAGGTTCCAACCTATCATTTTCGGACCTTGGACGTTTTCGACAAGAAAGTCTACAGTATCATACTTATGAGTTTGTATGTAATGGTCTCGAAACTTAGAAACACTGCCTTCGTTTGATTTCGACTCGTACTAACTTTTAGTCCCTCAGTTTTACCGTTGTAGCAGCCTTTCTGGCTGTTTCTTTGTTCAGCGTTGTGTTCTGGTTTTTAGCCCCCAAAGAGAATCGGACGTATGTGTGATTATGATACTTGGTGTCTTTTTTTACTTCGGCCTGTCGTGGGCGCGATTTCTTGATGTTGTCAATCAATTACTAACCGGTTTTGTTTACCAGAGTATGGAGAAGTACTGTCATTTTATCTTTAGCCATGATGTTCTTAATGTGGGCATTCACATATCTCGCACAATTGCATCCGTTGGTTGCACCTCGGCGTTCTGATTTGAGACCAGAGTTTGCCGAGTAGGCAGAACTGCGAAATCGGCGGCGAGATATGCGTTTACAGGCCAGAAATACAGGTTATTTGGACCCGAACTCGTACGTGTGTTTTAGATAAAAAGTAAAAAAAAGAATAAAGGTTATGTTATAAAGAATCTGATTTGACTCATAAATAGACAATGTGTTTTTGATGTTCGTTGGCCAATTTGGCTCTGCACAAACGGCCAAGATAGGCCACCCAGCAGATCCGTAACATTGGCGTGTTGGGAGGAACTGACGGTGGAAAAGAGGTCACAGAGTGTATGCGTTTTTGGTAGAGAAAGTGCATCGAGGGTTAGCGAAAAAAATTAGACTCCGCGACGGGGAATTGAACCCCGGTCCCGGGCGCGACAAGCCCGAATTCTAGCCACTAAACTATCGCGGATTTCGATGTGAGTTCGGTGAACGAGTAGAGATTAGTACGTCACCGAGCACCCCCTCTCAAATGCTCCTCTCATCCTATCGTACCGCTTTCAGCTGACATTCCCTTAGCCTCCGCAGCCCACGTAACATAGTCGAAATCGACGCTAGGCATTCATAATTTATGAGGGCGCAAGAAAGCCACCACTAAGGCGCCGCTCGACTGCGTCAATAAACTCTTCAGTCGTGACGTAGCTCGAGCGGTCAGTTTTTCCAACCATCAATGCCAAATCCTTGGTCATGATGTTGTCTTCCTGCACAGTGTCTATTGTAGCTTTCTCTAACGTTTCTGCAAACTTGATAACGTCAGGAGTTGCATCTAGCTTTCCCCTCTGGATAAGACCTCTGGTCCACGCGAAAATTGAAGCTATCGAGTTCGTTGAGGTTTCTTTACCTTGCTGGTATAACCGATAATGCCTTGTGACCGTGCCGTGTGCAGCTTCGCTTTCGAATGTCTTACCATCAGGTGTCACAAGCACAGAGGTCATCAAACCTAAAGAACCGAATCCCTGTGCGACAATATCTGATTGCACGTCCCCATCGTAGTTTTTCATAGCGATAATAAATCCGCCTGATGATTTGAGCATTTGTGCTACCATATCATCAATAAGCCGGTGTTCATACCATATTCCTAGCTCCGTAAATTTCGATTCGTAATCCCTGGCGTACATACCTTCGAAAATGTCCTTGAACCTACCATCGTAGCTCTTTAGAATCGTGTTTTTGGTAGTAGAATAGAGCGGCATTTTGCGTTGCAAAGCCAGCTCAAAACTGGCCCGCGCAAAGCCTTCAATGGATTCTGTGGTATTGTACATTGCCATTGCTACTCCGCCCGTCGTAGGGAAGTTGAAAACGTTGAAATCCAAATCGTGGTCACCGTTTTTGGACTTGAAAACCAATTTCAGCTCACCCTCACCGGGAATCACGACATCAGTGGCTTTATACTGGTCCCCAAAAGCGTGCCTACCTATCACTATTGGTTTTGACCATTTGGACACAAGCCTTGGTATTTTAGGGATTACTATCGGTTCTCTAAACACGGTTCCTCCTAAGATATTTCGGATTGTGCCGTTGGGCGATTTCCACATTTTTTTGAGCTTAAATTCTTCCACACGAGCTTCATCAGGCGTGATGGTAGCGCACTTGACCGCCACGCCGTATTTCTGGGTGGCAAGTGCCGAATCTGTTGTGACTTTGTCATCTGTAGCGTCCCGGTTTTCAATTGAAAGATCGTAGTACAGTAAATCGACATCCAAGAATGGAATAATCAGTTTTTCGCGAATCAGTTGCCAAATGATCCGGGTTTGTTCATCTCCGTCCATCTCCACAAGCGGAGTTTTCACCTTGATTTTTGTCATAGTGTATTTATGTTGGAGCTAAGGACAGATAGCGGCTTATTGTTGTAGTTGAGTCGTTGCAGCTAGCACCAAAAACACTACCGCCGTGAACTTCAAGCCGTTACATCTGATCTCCTCCCTTACCGAAAATGCTACCCTTTATATACGATTGGCTTTTATGCAGTCTTTGACTTGTGGCTGACCTGTATGGTGCTCGGACTGGAGGACAGATGGATTAAAGGGAAGTTCCCTAATTCAAGCTCTCACAGAAAAAAGACAGGATATGAAAAAGTGACAGGAAAGATCAAGCTAGAGCTAAACTACACATGTCTTCAAGGACACCGGAACCGTTAGATTATGCGATTGTCGTGTTAGCAGGACCAGTACAGTGGTATCCATATCAGCAGGTTGCTGAACTACCTCCTTCCACAAGCATCAAGATTTGGCTGTCGTATCCGAGCCTTTTTTATTTCATTTCCGTAAAGATTACATACAGAGGCTGGAGAACTCAATTTTGCATTAGCTCACCGACAGTCTTCTTGCCAGCTAGAACATCCTTCATGCTTGCCAAAATATCCTCAAAAGTGTCAAACTCACGGAAAGGAACGTTCTGGCGTTTGCAATATGTGACGAGATCTTTGCCTCTCTTGGCGAAAAGCAGGTCACACTCCTTTGCGGCGCTCAAGTCGGAAACACCGTCACCGCAGTAGAAATAAGTAGGTTTCTGGCCGGCAACTTCGAATTTCTTCTTGTATTGAGTGATACTTTTGGATTTGTCGTGACCGAAAGGAGAGTCATCTTTGTAAACGATTCTCCACTGCTCATCGTCATCGATTTCGACCTCGTTCGAGACAATTTCGATTTTTTCGATAGCCTCAGGACCAACAAGCTTTTTCAGAAGCGCTTTGATCAAGGGACGCATACCACTGGAGATGACCACGATGGGAACGTTGTTCTCCTGGGCCCACTCGAAAGTGTCTTTGAAGCCAGGGTCCAGCTGTATATTCTGCTCGATTAGCTTGACACACTCGGGGAATGGAGTCTTGACCGATTCCAACATGTCCCAAAACCCATCTCTGAAAGATTTGGTGCCGTCTAGAACGCCTTCGAAAACTTTGGTTCTTTCCTCCTTACCAAATCCCTTGGTGTCAGTGAGGAAATCGTTGGAGTCTTGCCACGTAACAGTGCCGTCGAAGTCTGTAAAGATAACTGCCTTAACCATTTTCAATGCGATAGGATGTGAGCGAAGTGAGTAAGCTTGGAGTTAGGTGTTTCACTTGAAAAGTACAGTGAAGGCTGAAGAAAGCGAGGTATGATTCCGAGACTTCTGGAGGTTCTTCTTATACTGAATCTTTATCTGACAGTTCGGGTGTTCTTAAGAAGTTAGCAACTTTAGACCTTTTTTTTTCTCATAAGGTGATGGTAGAAATATGTCATTATAATTGAGCTACACGTGATTTAATAACTGAGACCGTTTGAGTCACGTGATACTTGCTCGCGACGACTGAGGTTCTCCAGGTTTTGTCAATCCAAGGTTTTGAGCGGCGTTTAATGGCATGTACTTGCTGAACCCACAATCAAATCGAGACTATATCTCAGTCTTTTGATACTGTCTTATAGAGTTTCACCGCGCTTTTTTCGCCAGTGCGTTCGAGTAACGCTAACTTGAATTGTCTTCAAAACCTGATTGACGGGAGGGTTAGATCCTTAAGCATTACTTCAGAGGTGAGTTAGTTAGATTCACCGGTCACTCTTGAAATTTCATTCAGTTCTCAATTGGACGCATGGTCACAGGTCTTTCGAACCATAGTTGGGTACAGAATTCACTTTATGGTTTAAAGTAGTCAGGGCTGTGTACTTTCAAAGCTGATATGGCGATATCTTTGGTCTGTTGTCCTCGAACACCTCCAACACTCCATAGTAACAGGACCAGGGACTGAACGGGTGGGTTAACGGGTATGGTGTGAAAAGCTGGGGGTGTCTTTGAGTAGCATCCGCGGGTAGCATTCAGGTCTTAATTGTATAGTAGATCTTCAGCTTTCGAATCTGAGCACAACTTTGAATCATACTGCAAATATCCTGATCTTTCGATCTATTCTGATGTAATTGCGATGTCTAGGGTCGGTCACACACAGTAAGAGGTTCAGTTACAGGTCACTAATTCAAGGAATGGGATAGTGTCTACAAACAAATTGATGACGAAACACTGGATGAGAACAGGGAACAGGACTCTCAGATAACTAAGGTTATTTCTCTAGGCGCTATTCAAAGGAATTATATACAAGCGGCAAGGCTTCTGATAACGTTTTGCTGACTGATTGAAGCTCTTACAAACCTTGAGGTTGAAGGGGCCAAAAACAGTGACTCAGAAGATGGTGGACAAGAAAGTTTGGTGAGCGATAACTCAGGAGTTGATGCACATAGAAGGAAATGAATTGATGTTCAGAAAGAAGTTCCAGTTTTGAGCCGAATGAGATGGCTCGTCATTGACTCCAACTCGCGATTTTAGGAGGCTATATTCACGTTATTCCATTTATTTTGATGAATGTTCAATGAATCAACGTAAAATACTGAGCGTAACGTTTTCTGGAGAAATATTCCCCCAAGAAATTAGAGACCTGGCTGGCACATCAGGTTCTCCAATTTCAGTGGCAATAAAGCTCACGGGTACTGCAAGTATAACCACAGCTGTCGAGTGTTCGGCTTTAGCAGAAACCCTACTACCACTGAAACAGTAAAGCACTTCAAAAATGCACCCCAAGCAAAACGAACTCACAAGATTGAGAGCCTCACAATATATGCTCAAGCGTTAGTAACTTTGTCGAAAGGATCTTTACAATGAAAAACGAACCAATTGCATTGACTACAATTCAGCCCAGAGGAGTCCCAGCACCGTTTGCGATTTGATTGGTCTTGGTGCCGGAAAGAACAAGGACCGGCTCAATAACTCTCGCAAGGTATTCGCAAAGGAAATCACAAACTACCACGACCCATTTGACAACCAGTCGAAGTTCTACTTAGAAAGGGATTTAAAGAGTAGTTCTCTGTTGGCTATTTGGACTTCTGCTATAAGCAAGATCTGTCTTGCGCCAACTTGAAACCTCTCGACCAAAATCGTAAAGTCCACATAATTGAATTTCATGAAAGAAGTGCTCCACACCATTTGAACCGGTTTTAGTCAATTTACTGAAGCAGTTCCCACTCGAATACAAAATCGCGGATGTCACATTAGAAAACGCTTAGACGAAAGCCCGAGCTAACTGGAGATGGTGATAATGAAATGGGAGGTATCAAAAGAATTAGTCGCTTGAACCATGTGCTTAGCATAATTATGAACACATTGCCGAGCGATTTGAGAAGCAAGATGCCGAGCTCATTGAGGATTAATGAACTGATTTCTAAGATCAAAGATAATGGTTCTATTCGTTGGAAAGTTTAGAGACATTATGACATTCCTTTGTGTGCCGTAATGGTCCTCCTTAACGAGTCTTACAAACTCTCTCAAGCAGGTTTACCTTGAGAGTTATATCTAGAGAAAGTTTCAGCTCAAAAGTAAAGACAGCAAACTTTTCTTCTAAGAATGAAGCTTCTCTTAGAACTGGTTCCTAAGCCCACCAAATTGCTCTTCGAGTAAGCAATGGGTAAACAAGATGATGGTTAATTAGTGTGAGCAAGTTTTACACTCTAATGTACGAGAAATCTGGAGATTGCAGGTATTCGACCCAAGCATCTTGATGCAGTAAGGAACAGCATAAATCAAATATTGTCTGAACAGAAACTGAGTCGAGATCTTCGCTTGAAAAGGACCATACGTTTGCAAGTGCACAAGGAGGCTCTGGGTTGCTCACATATTGAGGCCAGATATGAAAGCCCAAGATAATCGGTAGAAGTGCGGAAGGTCTTATAGTCAGCCAGGCTTCGGCCTACGTTAATATTTATCCTGGCTGCTACACCTCCGACATATCAACATCATTTGCATACCGTAACGCAGAAAATTGATGTTCCGAAAAAGAGAACATATCTAGAAGAAAGCTCAAAGCCTTCAACAACTTTTCTGGAGCATTTCGAAACATATTCACGATGCGCGAGGCGTTTTAGCCAGTAGAGACAGCTTCCCACAATTGTCCACAGCTGACGTAGAACGATGTACCGGAGGACGATTTCACCATTGAGGGTAGATCTTAAGCTCAAAATGGTTTCGGGAAACGCCTAAGCATATTACCTCGATCAATACCAGCTGGGCAAAAGACGAAATATCAGGTTTTTCTCTTTATGTCGAAAACAGTTGTGATGAGTGAGCGTGCATTTTCTACAAAATAAATCAAATTGGCATAAGTTTTCATGGGGTGCAGTCTAGCAGCTCATTACTGTGCCATAGAGCGACAGAGACCATCCTTCCCCAGCCCTGTCGTGGTGTCATTGGAAACAGGTGCTCTCGTACGATAGTGACACCCTGGAAATTTGTCAATGTAGAGAGCATTGAAAAACACCCGGTATCATGCAAGAACTCCAGAACACTCGAATGAAGCCCATTCAAAGTCTGTCTCTCCTCGAAGTATTTTACTACCACACCAAAAACGCAGCGACTCTCTCTCATAATCAATCAAACAAGATTTCACAACTGCCCTGCATTGAACCACGTGACCAAGCCCTCTGCACTCAGAAATGCAGAATAAACTACCACACAAAGCTACAACCTCTGTTTCCTAAAAGCTTTCTCGTACCTCAAGAATTCAAGCGTGTCTCACCTTTTTCCATGCACTTAATCTTGGCCTTGATTCTTTCCCAATCAGTTCCTCTTCATCATCGTCCCCACGATTTGACATTACTGACCTGTGCTAACCCGTCACAATCTTATCGAGCAATCGTATTTTCCCCAATTTCTTGTAACAGCTCGTCTTCAAAGCTCCTAATGCTCTTTCCTCTGAAACATCTTCGTATCTTGGCTATATCTGCCTATAAAGCCCATTCAATATATCTATCTACTTCAATATAGATGAATCAGAAGAACCTTATCAAACTGAAACAAGTGATATCTCGATTCGTTCTATTCAAGCTTTCCCTCTCTGTGTAATCAAGTACCGGAGAACCCGAACAACCGCGGGATAGCACAATTGACAGCTTGTTTTTCTCGAGTTCCGCTCCATTAGCTGAAACTATCGTTTTGAGTTGGACAGCGCATCCAAAAGTGTCCGGTCCAACCTCGGTGACGAAAAGAACACATCATCAGAAACTTTGTCAAACTTGAAGAACTAGGCAAGTCCTGACCCTTTTTTTTGTAAGTACTTAAGACAACGAATCGTTGAAGACATTTAACATTCGAAAGGGCTGTATTTCAGGATTTGTACCCAATACCAAGCTAGCTGTGAATCCTTCTTGAAAAACTACAATTTTGAATTTCCAACCTTTTCTGTTGTTCAAGCCATGAATATAGTCGTGCTTTCTGGTGGAACAGCAGCCAATGCACTGCTGCCCGCTTTTGAAGCAGTTTCGAACGAACTTTCCTTCATCCTTCCGATTTCCGATAACGGTGGATCCACAAGCGAAATTCTGCGTGTTTTGGGTGGTCCTGCAATTGGAGACATTCGTTCTCGCATTGTTCATTTGATAAAGGACGAGAAGTTATCGTCTTTGTTGGGATTTCGGCTGTCCACTGAAACTACAAGTGCCAAACAAGAATGGAACTCGATAGTGGAAGGAACTCACCAGGTATGGAATGGCTTTGAGAGTGAAGTGAAGGATATTTGCAGGTCGTTTTTGATCCATACTCAAGCGGAAATACTCAAAAAACATAAATCTTCTGCTCCGTTTCAGTTCGAAAAAGCTAGCGTCGGTAATCTGTTTCTCACAGGTGTCCGTTTATTTTTGGGTTCATTAGATGCATCTATCGAGCTTTCTCTCCGCGTTTGTCGTTGCGATGAGCGCACAAGCATCATTCCGTGCATAAACACGAATCATACGCACCACATATCCGCGCTTTTGCAAAACGGTGATGTGATCACTGGCCAATCTCAAATCTCACATCCGTCACGGCAGCAGGTTAAGAAAAGTGGCGGCTGCGACCGATTGCCTGTGCTAAAGACCCAAAATATGAGCACAGAATCGCTTGTGGGTCCTGACTCATCAGTACTTTTGAAGACTCAATACCCTTCGGACGAGCCATTTGAGGATTTCGAAGACAACGAGGAGTATGCATATCCAGGATACATACACCCTGAACTCAAGCTGTCACAATTGCATTTCGATAAACTCGACATCGACGTCGATCACCTACTGCCCGCCGCCATAAAGCGTATTTTCTACATCAATCCTTATGGAGAAGAAGTGCTGCCACAGGGCAATAGCCGGGCCGTTGCCAAATTGAAAAATAGCGATATGATCATTTATTCTGTTGGATCCCTGATGACTAGTCTACTTCCCATCATCATTCTTGGTAACATCGCAGAGACCATGCTGGAAAACGAACATGCCAGGAAAGTGCTTTTAGTCAATAACAAATATGACAGGGAAACGTTTGGTATGGACGGCACGCAATTTGTGCAGCTGATTGCTGAATCAATGAATAGGGCTCTGAACAATCACAAACGCAGGAGAAGAAGTCATAAAGCAGAGAGTGCAGGTGCAATAGTGCCGCTACCCTGGACAAATTTTGTTACAGACGTAGTTTACTTAAAATATGGCGAGATTCCTGTTGACGTCAAATTTTTGGAGCAATTAGGCATTCGGACTTTCGCTATAGAATCTGACACTTTCCAGGTAGACGCGCTGGTCGCAACGTTGCAATCTTTGCAACCCTAAGTCTGCAAAACGAGGCATGCTATTTGTAACAGGATGGTACCTTGCCTTTCGCACATACCATTATAAAATTTCTAAAAGGTTTTCCGGAACTTGGTAGGAATTTTTTCGAACTTGATCATTGCTTCGAGCTCATCATCAGTCTTGACGGTTATTCTTGCCGCACCCCTCTGGGCCTGGTCTTCGTGCTCAATTTCATGTTCATGATGCAGCAGATCGTGCTCGATGTCCTCGCGATGCACATTTCTCACCGAGGGATCCTGATCCCTGTGAAACTTATTCCAATGGTGCAGCTCGTATTCCAGCTCGAAATCTGAATGGTGGCCTACACCGACTCCTAGATCGGGCATTTTATTACCTTTTTTTGCAAATTTCAGATACTCCTTCTTGTCAATTTTGCTGTCATCGTCAACATCAAGGAGCTGCATGATCAAACGGAACACTCTCCCTGACATCTCTTCATCAACTTTTTCAGAGTTGTCGTGCTTTCCCATTCCATCACCGTTACCAATAACTTCCGTACGACTCAGCCCATACATACTCAGGATATCAGCTTTGTCAAAATAGCCTTTTTGACCAATATCGTGAAGCCCAAAGAACGTTTCAGCGTCATAGTTCTCAGTTTGATGTTCATGTTGCATGTGCCATTCTTCCCACGATAATCCAGGAGGAGCCTTTTCTACATCATGATTGACTTCTGATCCATCCTTGCGGGCTGGAAGAGCCCAAGCAGTCGCTAATAAACCAGTTATGAGTACTTTTGCCAGCATTGTGCGCTAGTTTCAGCGTTGCATTTTCCTAGGCTCATCAGAACCTTTAGTTGACAGCGAATTTGATTATTTTGGATATGACCGATGCTCATCGTAAGAAGTGCGGATACATGGTTTTGGCGCCAGCTCAATTGTAGCAGTATTCACTGAAGCAGACTTCGCAAAAGAATGGCAATGTGTTCTCCTCTGCTTGAAGTAGTTTGCGATCGTGTGCTCTTTTGACCAAGAGGCATGCCAAACATCTCTTATATTTGGGACTGGAATCAAAACTGAAAATGTCTCGACCGTTGTTCAGCATTTGTTCAACTTCGGTGTGGGTATACCTGAGCTTGAAGGTGGATACATTTGCACTGAAAGAATGCTCGGCATTTGCATGGTACAGTATAATTGGGGGTAGGACCAAAGACGTCGAATTAAAGTTTGGATCTGTAATCGAGTCAGGATAACTGGAGAGGTAGCATCCAAATGCAACCGGACGGGACAATAGTCCTTTTTCAACGAACTCCTTGCTTGTGGGAATATATGGTAGAGTCTGGAAAGCCGAGGGATTGTGGTCAAAAGTGTCTTCAAATGTATCAATGTAATTGTCACGATAGAAGTTATGCAACATAGACCCGTTTGGAAATCCATGGGTATCAGAGCTTGAATCCAATGCCAAAATCACATCGAGCTTTCTCTCTGGAATCAGCAATGGTCCAATTGGGATGTTTTGTCCGTCTTCTCCGCCGTCAACAAGGTACAGACGGCTATCCTTCGTGAGTACATCATCCTCAATTCCCGGGTATTGGTAAAAAGGATTGGGATGGTAGATTGCATATTCCGGTCGTGGTGTAGTTGATGATATGGAAGAAGTTCCATTTCTCGACTTTTCGAACCCTATGCTGAAAGCACTAAGAATGGCGCCTATGGCCTTTCGAGTTTGTATGGTTGGAGCTATCAACTGCCATATGCACATCAATACATTGTTGAAAATTGAAGAGGACGTGGCAGTGATGAAGCTGATTTCGTCGAAACCATTGTAGCACTTTTTCGCCTCACCCGCCACCATAGTGGATCCTAGAAATTTTAAGCTCATGAATAGTCTCAGATTAGTCCATGAACCAAATTCGAAAGGCGTGAATTCGAATACGGCATGTCGCAGGTTGTTATTCTTGCAATTTGCTACAAAGATGGGAAATGGAGTCTTGAACTCTCGGAACCGTTTGCTGTCGCCAATAACCGCTGACAGTGAAGCTTGACCAGCTTTAGAAGCCATCCCATTGATCAAAGCATGTCCCCAATAGTCCGTGAAGGATAGCGGGAAGCCATTTAGCTTTTTGGTCCTGACAGTACGATGCAGGTCTACATAGAACTGTAAGATCTCCGCGAAGTTGCGAGACGAGTCGACAAATTTTTCAACATTGGAATCAACCTCTTTTGTAACATCAAAAAACTTGTGCACAACGTTTTTGATCTTACTAAAAACCTCGGGTCCTCTTTTTTCCAATATTCCAGTTCTCGCGACAAGTTGCTCTTCTAGCCGCAGATAGAAGTCGTCAAAAGGCGTCACTTGTTTTAGCATAGGCTCTGTACTTCTATCCCAAAGTCTTGAGACATGCGAAAGCTTCTCATAAAACCAGTCGTCTGCGGTGAAAAGTTCGTTCAAGTCCCCCACATCTAGCATAGTCACCACGCTACTTTCGGAAACGTTTGTGTCGGGAACGCCCCTCAAAATGCTTTCACTGATATTCCACTCTCCTAAGGAGCTGATCCTAAAGTCATTAAGGGCCAACTTGGCAAGAATCCAACTCCCTCCTGATGTTCCAGTGACATAATTGACCGAATTCAGCAAACCGTATTCCTCCATCTTCAACATGAAACCTGACCCAATTAACATAGATCGAAGACCTCCGCCGGATATCGCAAGTCCTACATTGATCGGTCCCTGAGCTAACAAAGACAAACTGGCGACATCTGAAGTTCTCACACCAGTAGTCTTTATAAATTCTTCCACACTGCCTCTCATAAGGAGTTGGCGGCTAGCTACATATCTACTTTCCTCTCTACTCAATGAGGACTGTTGATTGGGCAAAGTTAGTGTTCAGATGATCGAAAGCCCAGTGAGAGTATAAGGACACTGGATGTAATTTTTGTTGCATGTCATACTTTTGCTTCCCTGATGAGTTGTGTATCAGGGCATTGTACCGCTTGAAACGCTGAGTTCACATTAGGAGAGCAAGTAACCAAAGTAACACACTGTAGAAGGTAGATACTTATAAAAAGACCACTGAAAGCGATGAGTCTCATTCTACTCACTCAGTTTGAAGTCCTTCTTGCCACAATTGATACAGTTATTTGGGAATCAATTGTTTCAGCGTTAACACATTTTTTGTGTGACGTTGATTACTGGAGGGACTAAAAAAATAGAACAGCTTGAGAGTTTACAATCTCTATTACTTAAGTGTAAACCAAACTAGAATACATGTGGCGGAAGAAAGCTCGATTTTATGAAAGGACCAAGCAATCTAATGTGAAAGGGACATTTCTTCTTGGCTCCCGCGTCTGAGCGATGAAGAAGAGATGGAAAAAAAATATTAAATACAGTTTATCATTCTTTAAAATTCTTCATCGGAGGAGACGTAAGCGTCACCCAATTCCTTCTTCTTCTTCATTCTCTCCTTCTTCTTCTTTCTTAGCTCGGCGGAGGACAACTTCTTCTTCTTGGTACCAGAGCTAATCTTGTTACCCATGGCGTCAAATTTGTCACCTTCGTCTTCCTTCTTCTCTAGTCTTGGACCAGCACCTTGGCCAGCAACCCAGTTGTGACCGGATGGAACCATGACACCGTTGTTGACAGCCCACACTTCTTCTGTCAAGTTCTTGGTGAACTCAGCAGAGTGAGTGATGATGATGACACCACCTTCGAAGGCCTTCAAAGCCTTGGATAGAGCACCCAAAGAGTCTCTGTCCAAGTAGTTAGTAGGCTCATCCAAGACGATCAAGTGAGGTCTTTGCCACGAACAGGCGGCCAACACCAACTTAACCTTTTGACCACCGGACAAACCTCTGATTCTGGAGTGAGAGACCAATTCGGCGTCTAGACCCAACATGGCACAGTGCTCTTCAATTTCCTTTCTGGTCAAAGGACGGAATTGACCAGAAGCCAAGGCTTCCTTCATGTCGACCTCAGCAACCATCTTGGAGTGAGACTCGACCAATTCACCTCTTGGAATCCAAGCGTTGTCAACGGACATCATTGGGACCCATCTCTCGGATTTCATACCGATGTTTTCACCCAAGGTGAAAGAACATTCGTACTCGTAAGTGTTCTTGAACTTTCTTCTGGAGTGAATACCAGCAATTCTTCTTGGAGTACCTTCAATCTTGAAGATTTTGTTCATGGCCTGAGTGTCGTCTTCGTTGATTTGTCTGTTGGCTCTGTCCATGGTTTCTCTGTCCTCACCAGTCTGGAATCTCCACTGAATGTACTCAGATGGGGTCTTGTCCAAATGGGATTCAATGTGAGCGAAAGCGTGTTGCTTGATGTAAGCGATACGACAGTTTTCGTGAGTGTAAACTTCACCGATGGTTGGCAATAGTTCACCGGTCAAAACGTTGATCAAAGTGGACTTACCAGCACCGTTAGGACCGATGACAGCGATTCTCGAAGACAAAGAACATTGGAAAGAAATGTCCTGAATCTGAGGCTTGGCGGTACCTGGGTATTGGAAGGTCATGTTAGAAACCTTGACAATAGCCTTTTGCTTGGTCTTGACACCTTCCAAGAAACCTGGTTCTGGGAATCTGAACTCCAAGTCGGAGGCACCCAATTCGTAGTAAGACTGAGCAGTTGGGCACTTCTTGACGAATTCAGACATGTTACCCTTGTACTTTCTTAGCTTCAAACCTTCGTAATGGATAATGTATTGAGTGACGCTGTCCAGGAAACCGGAGTCGTGAGAAACAATGATGGAAGTGATACCACAAGTGTTCAAGTAGTTGACCAACCAAGCGACGTTGACAGTGTCCAAATGGTTAGTTGGCTCATCCAACAATAGAATGTCGGCGTTCTTCAACACAGCTCTGGCCAAAGCCAACTTCATCTTCCAACCACCAGACAAGGAGGAGATTGGCATGTTGATCATTTCATCGGAGAAACCGAATTCGATTAGCTTGGCAGTGATGACTTCCTTGGAACCAACGTCACCCTGGAAAACGAAGTCGAGAACGGAAGTGTCGGCGTGAGTACCGTCAATGTCGTGCTCGACGTAAACGGTTCTACATTCTTCTTGAGTTGGAAAACCGTCAACTTGACCGTTGGCAATGGCTCTCATCAAGGTAGACTTACCAGCACCGTTAGGACCACATAGACCATATCTTCTGGCTCTCTTCAATCTCAATTGAGTCTTGTTTAGCAAGATCTTGGCACCGTAAGCCAAAGAGAACTCACAGTTACATAGATCTTCACCTTCGTCTTCTTCGTCGTCGAAGTTTGGACCAACTGGGATGTTGTCGACAGCCAATTTTCTGAAGTCGTCAATGATTTCCTTAGCTTGTCTCTCGTGCAAGAACACGGTGGCGTAAGGCAAGACGTGAGTGAACCAAGCCTGTTGGTCAATGATTCTCTCGTCGATCAAGTCAGCGGCGACACCGGCAACGTATTGTAGAACGTGCTCGAATCTGGCAGCTGGCTTCTGGTCCTTTAGCAAGTTGTCTAGGACACCTCTGGTGGTGGAGATGTCACCGGCGTGAGAGACTTCTGGCAAAGCGTCGTTGTCACCAACGTTACCAACTCTTCTCAAAGTCTTCAAAGCTCTCAAAGTAACTTCACGGGCTTCAGGGTCGGCAATGGTGGCGAAGTTGTTCTTCAAACCAGGTAGCAACTTGCTCAAGAAAGGAGCAACGACTTGTGGGTCTTCGACCAACTTACACATGTTGTCGATAATGACGGCAGCCTTACGCTTGATGGAGGTTTCTCTTTCGGCAAGACCTCTGGCCAACAATGGCACCATGATGGACAAAGTGGCTGGGGTGACTTCGGCAACGAAAGTGGTGGCACCCAAAGAGTGGACGGTTTCTGGCACCTCGTTAGGGTCGGCAATACAGGCGATCAACTTTGGAATGAAACGGTCGATATCCTTGTTTTCGACGGTTTCGGTGGCCTTGGTGATGGTGGCGGTGGCGGCTTCCTTGACCTCTCTCTTGGTGTCCCACATGGCCTCAGACAGCACTGGAATCAACTCAGGCATTCTTAGGGCCACTTGGACCTTGGCAGCATCGACCAAAGCGGTCACGGCGGCCAAAACGGCCACCTTTTCCTGCCACTTGTTGGTCTCGGATAGACGGGTAGTCAAGTGAGGTAGCAAGATCTTGACGGCGACAGGGTTGATGGCCTTGACGACGGCGATCAAAGCCTTGCTGGCCTGCTCCTGCACGTCTTTGTCCTTGTCACCAGCCTTGGCGCTGACTTCAGGAACCAAACGCACGACGCTGGCCTCGATGGCTGGCGACAAGTTCGATTCGCTGGCAACACGCAAAACGGCCTCCAAAGCGTTGGCGGCCTGTTTCTTGTCCTTCAAAGCCTTGGAGATCGACTCGAAGAACTGTTCTGGCACATCATGCTCGATGATGTTACCGTTCACGAACGAAGAGATCTCAGAAGCGGTGGACTCTCTGTTGTCAGGAGTCGCAACCTTAAGCTTCTCAAAAAGTTCGTTAAGAACCTTGATAGACTGTTCCGAATCAGACATTCTTGATGCTGTTTCTTCTTGCGGAAAAAGAGGAACTATATCTCGAAAGCTATTGCGTAAAGTGTATCAAAAGTGAACAAAAATGTTGTCAAGCTGGCATCATTTCGATGTTACTTATATAAACCCAGGAATCGTGGATAAAAAAATTTTTTTTCAGTAGCTCATCTCATCGGGTATGAAAAGATTTTGTGAAGGAAGAGAGGACGTGGAAAGAAAGAAAGAAAAAAAAAACAACAAAAAGTGAGATTGTTTCTTTTTTTTTGGGAAATAGGGAAAAACGTGAAAAATCGTGATTTCTTTTACGGGATGGACACGTGAATGGTGTGTGGGTGTGTGGATGACTGGGTGTGGGAGGCAATCTCAAATGTGTGGGTGTTTGGATGGCTGGGTGGATGTTGTCAAATTGGGTGTGTGGGTTGTTCATAGTAGGTGTGTGGGTGTCTCTTCCCGGTGTAAAATGGTACGGACGACACCTTCGGAGTTGTGAGGTCCGAGAAGTTGTTAGACGCGGGCGAATCGGGATAAATAGTGAAGTATAAAACACCGCTTGTGGTTCGCTTTCAAAAAGGTTCTGTATTCTATAAATGTGACCGCGCTTGGTGTTTTGGGAGCTATGAAAGAGCAAATCTGCTCCTCTGTAGATGGTCACCGCATCTCCGAGTGGCTGCCATGCCCTCACAACATTTCACGTGTAGCTATAGCGTATTTCATGCAGCGTACTTCCTTCGCACTTCGTTTCTCCCTTGACTTTTTGATGATTGCAGATTGCAATTGCTGGATGCGTTTCCCTTGCTTCATATCTCCAGTGGTTTATTAGCGGTTCATTCGGACAACCAGCATCAGCTTCGAACTTAAATGTCTCTTATGGCCGCTACAGCACTGATATCAAGCCGAATGGCTGCTGGATCTTGCGGTAAGCTCTTAAAATTGTTGGTGAAATGTGAAATTCACCACCCAGACGGTTTTTTTGGTAAATTTGTTCCTCACGCTGATATCCACCATTTGGGTCAAACATAACGGTAAAGAAGACTAATTGCTTCGAAACCTGTCAATTCCTCTCTCCGGCCGTCATAATTAGAGCTTGCTCGGTCTTAGTCTTTGGTAAATAGGTAGCAAACCGAATTTTCGCAATGAACAATTGCAGCAACAATCTCGAAGCCCTTGTTTAATATAACAATATCTACTGACACTGTAAGCAACCCTTCACACACTGTTCGAAAATATGATGTTATTTGACCAGCGATACTTGGCTGTAGCCTTTAAATTTCTAATATTGATACCGAAAATTTCCAATACAACAAGTGATCATGCTACGTCTTGGAGTCCTCTTTTTGTCTGACTAAGTGTACACCGATGCTGTACTATCTCGACATCTAAGCCATCTGCGACACTCGTGCTCGAGCCACGATCGAGAACGCATCTCGAATACGTTCGTCTGCAATGCTTTGATTTCGAACTACCGCGTAGCGTGAGCATTGTCCAACGAATGGGGTTCATTGGCATTCCAGCACTCGCAAGTTGACATGCTTGTTGTCTGAGACCAAACCTGTGGCTCAAACCTACTTTGCTCTTCTCAATGTATGGTAATCAACTCATTTCCAGGAAAGCGAGTAATTTCGAATGGTGGTCATAGTGCATGAAAATGAGAAAGTTCCCAGTGAGACAAATAAGCCCCTTCTAAGCCTTGTAAAGCAGACACTAAAAGGTGGATTGTATTGCAGAGGACCGTACAGACTCGGAGCCAAGGTACGCAACGAAAAAACAAAGAATATAAGCTATCATTCTCTACGCCACCGTCGCGCTTCCCACAACCTATCACTTTTTACCTTTCGTTACGTATTCAAGACAAATTTGTTGTTTCTTACATAGCAGCATTGCACGCAGAGAATTGGGACGGGAGATCACTCGCAGGTTCGTCGGTCGCCGAAAAAATAAAGTTAATCCTGGAAAGTCTAAGGAAGTGGTGGCCGTGTTCCAAAGAGCGGTTTTTATAGCTTACGAATTTTGTTATATAATGGTTCCAAACATCGATGAGTTTGAAGTCCCCGGTATGTACTATTGTATGTAATTTCACGGGGAATTGCTGAAGCTTCCAACAGTGGACTACTGGTGAGTCACTGGCCTTCTGAACGATGATTGGTAGGAGGCCGATACAGAGCAGTTCACAGGGCCGCTAAACGCAAACAAAAATGATTGCGTTACTGACTGGCCAAGTATGGAAATACATTTATATCACGTGATAGGTGGCTCTCGACATCCCTCTACATCTATCAACTTAACGCTGATCCCCCCAAAGTTCAATCTCTTTTGGTCACAAATTTCAATGAGTTGATGCACTTCTCATACCGAGTTAAAGTTATGATTTTTATTCGTACGGGCTATCACCGTTACACTTTCAAGTTATTACTGCCCCCGTCTAAACATTTTGAACCTATCTTTGGCGCCATAAAATTAATGATAGTTGACTGCTCCGCGAAGCGATCCTTATATAATTATATGATTTTAGTATACACGCGCGTTTCCTCAACGGTGTGTGCCATGGCTACCGCAAAATAAACACCGACAGTCAATACCTGGTGACCAAAAAAAAATCAAACATCAAATGGGGGGTCTAGAATGAGCATAGTGTTTCTCAAAAGAACAATAATAAAGTTGAGTTGCTTACATGGCAACCAGCGAATGGATTACTTGAGTTTTCACTATGCTCAAACAAATTCTGTTTCAAAAGCAAAAAAAGTTTTAAATTTCTCTACTCCTTGACAGCAGTAGGAACTTTGACACCCTCATCCTTGTGCTGCCGTCTCTTAATGATTGTTGAGGAATTCAGACGCAACTGGAACATATCGTCCTCCAATCCCATTTCTTCATCTTCATTCAACAGCCCCAAGTTCACACCGCCGCCGGCAGGTCCACTTCTCTTGGCCTCTTCATCCCGCTTAAAGGCATTAGTGACTTCAAACGCATCTCGTAGGGCATTCGCAGCGGGAGAGTACAAAAGCGATGAATCGCGTTTGAACCCGTGGACGCGATGATGACGTTTCTTCTTGGACGACATTGTGTACACGGTTTCTGTCGATTCGTTCTTGTGTTTTTTCAGGCCCAAGTGTTTGGTGCAATCGTACTGGTTTAACCAAGGGTCTGCCAAAAATTCATCGATATCGTAACGTTTGGCAGGGTTCACTTCCAGCAGTTTTTTAACAGCGTTTTTGGCACCGTCACTTATTTCATCCCACCAAGGCCGCAGAAATGTGAATTCGCCTTTGGAGATCTTTTCTGTTAAAATGTCGACTTTTTCATCGTAAAATGGCGGAAATCCACATAACACGGTGTATAACACACAACCGATTCCCCACATATCAACCTTCATGGAGTAACGTTCGTCTTTCACCACTTCCGGAGCGGTGTATCCCACTGTCCCGCAGGGAGTTTTGGTATTTGTAGAATAGATTTGTTTGGATAAACCAAAATCGGCCAATTTCACAACACCTATTCCACCACCTCCAATACCTGGTTTGAAGACACCTTCATCTTGTTTGGTTTTAGGATCATCGGATTTGCGCAGCACAGGTGTCGGCGAAGGCTCAAATTCGACCGGTTCAAATAGTAGATTTTCGGGCTTGATGTCTCTATGCACTATGCCTAAGGCGTGCATGTGCTTGACGGCCAGAGCCAATTGGCGAATGACATGACGAGACAAGTCTTCGCTGAAATACGTGAGTCGAACAATCTCGCCGAAAATCTCTCCGCCGGCCAAAAGTTCCTGGACGATAAAGTAGTAGTGTTCAGATTCGTGGAAGTCTACAAACGCAACCACATTTTCGCTGGCAGACACGTTTCTGTGAATGGCCACCTCCTTGAGCACTTGTTCTTTGGAAGTTGCTTTGCTCTTGGAGTCCTTGTGTGAAGAGTTGAGATCGTGTTTGCTGATGACTTTGACGGCCACATGGTGGAAAGAACGGTACAAAAAGCTGTTGGCTGCGTGTGGTTCCGGTATGGCGCGGAAAACTTTGGAGAAAGCGCCTTCGCCTATCTTGGCGATGAGTTTGAAGTCCTCCAGCTCAGTTTGCTCTGGAAAGATTTCTTCTGGATCCTCGTCGTAGCTGGAGCCGGCAGAGCTCTCAGCGTCGAGTGAGATGATATCTGCAGCTTCCCCCGCTGCTGCTGCCGCTAGAGCAGCAGCACTAGGGTCAGTGGCTGCAGTGGTGTCGGAGTAGGTGACGCCCGGGACACGGGTGTCACTGCGATCGTTGAGTGCGGACTGATCGTAGCTGAAGGCGTTGGTTGTGGCATCCGAGTTGGACAACTGGGAGGCCTCTATAGCTTCAGAGTCGCCCTTGAGAGCGTCCAGAGAGTCCATCACGGGCGTGACACCACCGTCGAGGGTTTCGGGGCTTAGCAGATTTTGTTGTTGCGGCTGCTGGATTGCAGTCGTCGTCGTCGTCGTCGTCGTCGCCACCGATGCTGGGTCCACAAACGCACCGTTGTCTGCCGGCACTGAGTGTTTTTTCTTGAACAGATTTTTGATCTGCAGTGGGAAGGAATCCTATTGTTAGTAAAGTGCTTTGAAAATGAAAATGAAGATGAACAAAACGAAGAACAAGATAAATGGGGAAGCAGCGGACACACACAGAGCACGTTCTCGAAAAACGATATCTCGACGTGGCTACACACGCTTGTCGGTTCACCATCGCTTTTTTTGGAACTCTTCTATCTGTGTTTCTCTTTCTTTTGCTTGGTTTTTTTGCTGTAGCAAACAAACCAAAAATCTCAAAAAAAATCAGGAGAAACAAAATAAAGTCCAAAGTCGCGTTCCAAAAACGCAGAGTGATCTTGTTCTAGTATGCTTCTCCCTCTAGTTCTCCCTCTCGTTCTCCCTCTCGTTCTCCCTCTCGTTCTCCCCACCGTTCTCCCCTCGTTTTCCACATACCTTGAGCATTGCTGCCGTGAAATTTATCGAAAAAAAAGCTTTCTCAAACTGTTGGCTCCCAAAAGTCTTCTTCTCAAAGTCTGGGTGCTAAGTAATTCTAAAGTCTGTTGAGTTCTTAAAAGCTTCAAAATCGTCTTTGGTTCTTCCGCAAAACCGTGTTGTTTGCGCTTCTTGCCCTGCTTGTTCTTTATCCGTGATATGAGTAGCTCTCTTACCTAGGTGTGTTTTTTAATAATTACCACAGCTTTATAGAGCCCAATACAAATATGAAACTTTAACCTTTTCCCTCACACACACACAAAAAACAAAGCAAAAACACTTAGATTCCAAGTCCAGTCCGAGTTTTATATTTTGTTTCTCTTTGAACTGATGAAGTAACCAGAATTTCGTTTTTTCGAGTATTAGTAGTAGAAGTAGTGCCCAAAAACCAAACACCCACACTACGAGAAAGAAATATGCTTTAAGTATAGAGAGCACGCCAGTAGTAACGTTGCTGCTTAGCTAAGACAACAATGAGAATTTCGAGTTTCGCAGCAATAATGACGGCAAAAAACGGGATACAGATAAATAGATATAGATACACACAGATACACACACAGTTACTTTGCCATCGACTCATTTCAGTTTACCGGATATGGTGCACGGGTTTAAAAATGGAGGGTGGCTCGACTCACGACTCATTTGATACTCATTGTCTTGAGATCGATGTGGACGAGAGACAGAACTACCAGTAGCATAACTAGCCAGTCGGAGATGAGGTAAGCCGTGCCATCACAAAAACGGGTGACGTGATGATGAGCCATGGCGCCAAGAAACTAGCGTAGATAGGATCGCGTCCGCTGCACTATAACGGGCGATGATCCGTGTTAGGAATGTTGGCGGGTACACCATGTTGGTTCTGGGTCGAGAAACGTAAGGTGTGGTGGTAATAAGGTAACGGAAACGGATCAAGATCTATCTGATTGTTAAGGGAGGGTGAGTGTGAGGATGTTTGTCAATATCCACATTCTTCATACAGAGGTGGGGACGAATCTGGAGAGTCCACGTGTGTGTGTGTGTGTGTGAAAGCTGCGGATAATGTTGAAATCTTTAAGGTAGTTGATATATGTAGCGGCTTAAGCTAACCGATGTCGGTGATTCTGGGTATGGAGGTCGTACACTCGGTGACTCCAAAGCTAGTTTTTGACCCCACTGTGGATGTAGGACGTGTGTGGTAGAATTGGAGTGTGATTATGTGAGCAGATGTTGGGGTACGTGATTGGCGGTGACAGAGAAGTCTTTTGCCGAAGAAAGAGCATCTTTGCAGCGTGCTTCGAGCTTTCGAGCATGAATCTGATATTAAGAACTCTCTGCTGGAGATAAACCATCTTTGCAGCGTGCTTCGAGCTTCTAAGCATGAATGGTGTCTGAAAGTCTCTTGCTGATGGAAGAGCGTCTTCCCACCATGCTTCGAGCTTCTTAGCATGAATCTGGTACCTAAAACCATCTTCCCACCGTGCTTCGAGCTTCTTAGCATGAATCTGGTACCTAAAACCATCTTCCCACCGTGCTTCGAGCTTCCAAGCACGAATCTGGTACCTAAAACCATCTTCCCACCGTGCTTCGAGCTTCTTAGCATGAATCTGGTACCTAAAACCCTCTTCCTAAAGAAAAAGCATCTGTCCACATCAGCAGTTCGTAGCTTTGCAATGTAAAGCGCTAGCGAGTAAAGTGTTTTTCTTAGATGGCTCCTTTAAGTATATTTCCCTTTCTCCCAGTACTGCAGTAACTCCAGCAACTCTTGTTTGTTGCTCGTGGTCAGAAATCAATGATGTAGCCTTCAATCTTTTTTGTCCAGAAGTCTTTCCCCTCCCGAAGTTCATCTTCAAGACTGTCCGAAAACTGTTTGCAATAGCTCGTCACATACTGCTCGGTCAAATTCATCGAAAGCCGCCTTAAGCTGATCTGCCTCTAGGCAAAAGCCATGTATTTTTCAAATTTGGGACGTGAACATACCACTACAGCAAGTACCTCATTCACTGTTGTCTTAGATGGCATGTCAATGGATCCACTACCAATTCCCTGAACTGTTCAATGTATATTACGCCGCTCTTCAAACCCTCTACGTCTTCGTAACAACGACTGATGGGCTTTGTTAAATCATTTCGGGGAAGCATCGTGAGTTCTTCAAACATGCGCGTTATGCAAATGAAAAAAACAAAGGGTTCTATCTCTCTAGTGAAAACATTGCTGCTTGTATAATCGGAGAGCTTCACGATCCTCGAAAGATTGGAACAAATAAATAAACACTCGATTCAAAACCATGTTTCATACATTTCATTTTGACAATGCTTCTGGATCTAGTTACATGGAATATCTGTTCAAGAGCATTGGCTAGATTTCCAACATTGCAATATTGTTCAACCCAGGTGACGCCGCTGATTATAGAATATTTGCTGAGGCATGCGTGCAGAGCAGTCTTAAGATTATCGCCTGTGTGTCGCTGATCACTCATGTACGTGCATGTTTTGAATTTTTCAAGTAACGATGTCATTCGTTTCCAAGCGTGCCTCCGTTTTCAAGTTGGGGCAGAATGATATCATGACGGCTAATTGGCTCTTTTGGCCTGAAGACGTCCACATGTCTATCAAGATGTTGAAATCGAAGGAGTTTCGTAGAATGTGTTTCAATTGCTTGCCGAACTCGATTGCCAAGTCCCTTACGCAATGAATTGATTGATCGATGAGCTGTACCCCTTCTGTAGAATTGCTTCTCATCAAATCCCCCCAGACCCTGTATGTATGGAGCTGATTGAGCTATATTTATTGAGAGCCCAAAATTTGACAAACGTGTTGGTCAAAGAAATGGGTTTGAAGGAAGTTGAACGAATTGTGGAGAAGGATTGTAGTGTCCACTCAAGGCTTTTCTGAATAATGTAAAGTAATGATAGTGTTTACGCTCGAGATGCCTAACGACATTAAACGACGTCGGATTGCCCTGTAGAACATATTCTTGCCCACGCACACGGCATGGGGGATCTGGTCCTTGACGTTCTTTACCCAACTTCTGTATGGATAGAAAGAAATTTATGAATCAAACTTTCTTTCCATATCGTCTTCCATTCTTACTTCACTTGAACCCAACTTCAGGTTCGGCTTACTGAAAGCATTAGTGGAGAATTTTGTAAAATCAACACCACACTTTTCTTTGAAAGCCTGTTTCAAACATGTATTCATTTTAAGGAAGGCACCACAAATGCGATAGCATAAGCCCAATCTTCAAAGGGTATAGTGACAATCTGCTGAATGGTAGCACTTGGTGCCCTCCATAAAGGACAACTATTCATCACTAGAAAAAGTATAGGACCATCTGCGCAGATTGGGTAATACTTGAATCTCCTAGCTCACTTAAGCTTATGTCAATTGTTTAGTTAACCCCGATCGAAACCGGTCTATCATCCGTCGTTCTTTCATGAAACTGTGAGCCTCCTTTTGGTGGAGAGGTAGCCCCTCTATCTTTGGTTGCGTTATCCAATGCATGAATAGAAAATCGCTGGTGACTGTGAATGGTTTACACATTATTTCATTCTGAGACCATTGTTCAACTCATAATAATCTCTTTCCTTACCTCTTCTGAGATATCACATTATATGGTGTCTGGCCTTTTGCTGCGCAAACAACTCAAGCTGCGGCGTAAAGACATCGAGAGGAAGAATGAACTATGGGTTACGTGAATCTTTATAGTTTCAGGTAAACAAGTCAACTTTTGGCTGCTGGCTAAATTAATTAAACCGAATTCGCGCCCATATTCGTGATTCGTCCCCAGACCTACTTTACAGTGGGGACAGGTGCAAGTGGCGTCATGTTGAATGACGATTAGACTCGTCAGTGGAATCCTGGAATCATTAACTTCAGCGGTAAAAAGAAAAGAGTTATTTGACGACAAATAGCTGTGGGGAGAAGACGTTCGTTCAAGTCAAGACGCAGATTTCACCACGATAGCACTATCTATGAATACACATGTCTACTCAAAAACGGACTTCTAAGAGATGTTAGTAGAAAAGTGGTTAAATGCGTCTCTGGAAACATGTCACAGAAGACCAATATGTCCATCGTGGTGAAAGATTCAATTTCGAACATTATCACGCATATGAGAACAAGTCACAGTTATAATTACGATAAGTTCCACTATAAGATGCCGTCACAACATTTTACAACACTCAAGAATGGTTTTTTCGTGAAGTAACTCAATAAAAAACTATCAATACCGTGGGAAAAACGTTCAAGATCGGACATTTGCCTTGAACCATATCTGATTTGCAAGTCTTGTGTGCATAAAATATCCCAAAGCACGTATCATTCGCCTTTGTGACATTAGCAGTTTACGTCGCAAATAAGTTTATTTCAGTGGGGTTTTGGTGAGGTCTTCTGTAAAATCACCGTCGATAACCTAGAAATTCAACCTGCAGAGCATGATGTCATCGAATCGGTGAGAAAACGATGCTTGAACCATGATTTGAACGTTCTTTCCACAGATATGGTGGAAAGGTTCGAGCTCGAGCAACAACACAGCAGAATAGACCACCTCGCATTCAAAATTGGCTTGATGTTTACTTCAGTGATATTTTACGGTATCGATCAGAGCACACAATGCCCTTGAATTTGTCTTTGAAGCCAACGCAATTTTTCATGAAGTTAATATTTTGCCGGTTGACGCCAGACGTGATTTTATACCCTCTGGGTCGCGAAGCGTTTAACATTTACTCTGCTTTCTCGCCGTGCCTTGACAGACGCATTTTCACCAGCAAGCGGGTTCCAGAACGAAGGCTTTCATGAGAGAGAGACAACCTTATGCGTCCGATGACGTTAGGAAACACAATCAAATGCCACCGATACCTTAAAACAATGCATTCATTACATCTCTTTGATGAAAATGGCTGACATGACAATACGGCAAATTTCGACTTGGAAGACCATATAACTCCTGGATCAGAAAGCGAACAAGAAGGTCAGTGAGCTAATGTCCATGTTACATAATTTTCTAATGATAAATTACTCAAATTACTTCAAGCTACTGGTTGTAAGTGCACTAAGTTCCCCTTTTCGATGCTATGTGATTGATATCGTTGGTAGGAATCTTACGACGCGCACCGCAGTATCCTAGCCATATCATATGAGGCTACGAGCATTCTCATCTCTTGTCTTGGACCCAAAAGTGTCTCACTATATATCTGCTAAGCCAATTGAAATAAATCACGTGATAGATGACAGCGAAATTTAAACCTTGATTGTCACATCGTGCTCGAACAAGCGCGTTTCCAAGGGTTTATTGCCCGGCAAACATCGGATGATTTATACACTGTAGATTTCTAGATGTCCAAAAGCTGCTTTCATGGGAAGTTCTCTTCCCAGCTCAAAGTAATGCCATTCGCGATGCGCTCATCATACCTCCCAGTGCTGAGACGTGATGTTTTAACAACCGAATTCGCTTAGAGCTGAGGATTAGCCCCAGGGTTATTCTAATGTCCCTAAACATCGTTGGCTCAGTGGTTCGTATCCTACAGTTTTAGATACACTGCAGATGTATGTTACCCCGTCTATGGCGCAAACGTTTTCGGCATAGACAAAAGACTCGGAATTTGTCAATTATAAGATCAGAGTTTCTCCAATTTTGTATGAACTTTGTTTATCAACTAGCGCTTGTTGGCACGTCGCAAGAGACTTAGTACCTAGAGTTCAAATAACCATTAAAAGATACAAATTATTGTGTCGCTGTAACTGGAACTAGCGCGCTTACTACGCTACTGAAAAAATCGCAAAAGGTAGGTGTTGCGAGCCATAAGTCAGTATTGTTAATATTTACTGGATTCACAACAATGTTGTGAAGTTTCCGGGAAAGCCAATAGTTTAATTCAACCCGGGACGGTCTATTCCAACGCATAATGACCGAAATCGAAATCATAGGCTTCACATTGTCTTTTTGTCATGTGATGCGGTGTTCATCATGATTATTTCCACTGCTCATCTCATTAATGACATGAACTTAGGTGAACCCAAGTTGACAGTCATCTACACAACTCCTCTTCACGTATTGAACTGTTTCCTACTTCTTTCAGATGATCAAGTGGCAACATAATGGCTCTGAAAGAGGTATTATCACTTAAAGCAGACTTCTTTCAGTCGCAACTTGAGATATCGAGCTCCGCAGACAACTCATCAACGCCATCTAGATCGGAGACCACCGTGAAAAGGATCAAAAAGGCTCCTGAATGCTCTATTCGAGTTTTGCAATGCAAAATAGGGCTGGGTCGAATAGAAACAGAAACAAATGCATCAGGTAATAATGCGGTGGCTATTAAAGTGGAATATCACACCGTCGATGACAAACATTTCTTCATCGCCACAAGTGCGTCAAAACCAATTATGAAATGCGATGTGACAGAATTTTGCGAGGTTTTGGAGCTACCGCTGCAAATTTTGGCTCAAAAGGGTCTTGAACAGGAGTTAAAGGCAAGGTCACAGGCTCTCAAATGTCAACACAACGCCGAGAATACCGCTTCGCGGAAGAAGCGCAAAGTGATGACTTCTACCGCTAATTCTTCAATTGGTAAGATCCAAACAAAATACCGAGAGCTGGACTGCTCGCCAGCTCTGCTGAGTGTAACTGATGATCTTGAAGTATGGGATCTCGAATTCACGATCTCTCTTCGATACAAGAAAGATGGCCCAAACAATTTTTCTACAGAGACCAATCGTTTTCTGGACACACTATTCAGTAACTCAGATCGTCAACACTTTGTGAAACATGAACTGACTCATTATTACGTTCAGAAGCAGTTCAACCATCAAACTGCGAAATACTCCAAAGAGCTCAAACTTGATTCAACAGCTGAATTACCAGATACTCCGCAGCTAAATGTTCGCCTTTTACCTTTCCAGAAGGATTCAGTTCGCTGGATGCTAAGAAAAGAAGGATATTTTCCTCCCAAAGCTCTACCAACTATTAGTACGCTACATCCTAACGAACTGTGCGAGCTTCTCAATGCACATGTGTCCTTTGGCTACGAAATCATGGCAACACTTGATGACCTAATGTATTGGAACAAATTCACCGGATACATACTATCTTCAAGAGATGCAATAGCTGTGCTTGAAGCTACAAACTTTCGTAACGCTCCTTGTGCCCATGGTGTTTTATCAGAGGAAATGGGATTGGGTAAAACATTAGAAATTTTAGCCCTCATTCTGTTAAACAAACGGAAACTCCCTGAAAAGTCAACTTTCACTACCCCAGCCGGTAAGATGATACGCAGGGCCTGCACTAACCTAATCGTATGCCCTGAAAGCATATTGGGACAATGGATCGACGAAATAGATATTCATGTCACTAATGAAGCTGCGAAAACTGGTGAGCGCGACTTAAGAGACCGTGCAGAGCTAAATGTGTTCCATTACAAAGGATTTCAAGATGTCAAAGCGCACTTCCGAACTGACGACGTCGACCAGATTGTACAGCAACTTGCGAGGTATGACATTATTATCTGTTCTTACACGACGGTATCTGCAGAGGTCCATTACGCGGAATTCAGTGCTGCTATAAGATATAGGCGTGGCAGTGCTCCCAAGTACGATTATTCGTCGCCACTCTCACTTTTGCAGTTCTATCGTATCATTCTTGATGAGGTTCAAATGTTGCGAGGTGAAAGTACCAATGCTGCAAGATGCACAGCACTTTTGCATCGTATACACACTTGGGGCGTTTCAGGCACACCCGTGAATAGTATCTCTGACTTCAAAACGGTTTTGTCATATTTACAGTTTCATCCTTTCCAGGATAGTCCCAAAATTGTCGATGCTGTAAGGAAAAATCTTGCACGAAGGACAAAAGGCCAGGTGCAGGAGGGAAACATGGACGCTTCACAAAATCTGCTTGTGAAAGGTATTAGATTTGATGCAAACGACTTGATGGATATTTTTCCCAGGTTTGATCTGAGCATGAGACACTCCAAGGCTGACGTTGCAGATCAAATTCGAATTCCGGAACAGCACAACTACATAATTCCACTGGAATTCCTCCCGATAGAGCAAGACAACTACTTGAATCTTTGGAATAGCTTCCTAGACGCTTCAGGTTTGCGTAGTGATGGCCGTGGCAAGACCTTTCTTTCCTCTAAGGATCTGAATTACTGGCTGGGCGTACTACGGAAGACTTGTTGTCATGCTCTCATGCCAAAGTCGATGTTGAGGCAAGAGGGAGAACAGGATTTGGGAACAATTCAAACAATGGACGTCATACTAAACAATATGATGAAGGATGTTAAAGAAAAAATCGAGAGCTTGCATAGGGAAAACTTCACTTTGAAGATTCAGCGTGCTCAGGTTTATATCGAATTGGATGATGAACCACTAAAGGCTGTGGATTTGCTTCATCAAATTCGTGAGGAACTAATAGGAGAAATAAAGCAGTGGTTTGGCATCAATATTTCGGCTCAAGAGATAGATAAAGTAGGAGAACTTTTGATAAGTGATGCCAATAGCGATTCTCAAGTTGCAAAGGCGAAGCCTTATATGGATTTGCTCCATCAGTGCTTCTTTTTCGTCGCCACTGCTTACTATTTCCTAGGCTCGAAAAAATTGGAAGCAATTGATGCCGAGAACGAAAGGCGTGTGACGTCTGAGACAGCAGAAATCACTACTGTTTCTCACGATATCACATCACAAAAATACGCCGACTCATTCTCAAAAGAAGAATTGGACAAAATTACTTACTATCAAGAAAACGAACAAAAGAACTACGAATACGCCGAGGTCTTGCGTAAAGCAATACTAGCTGATAGGATAAAAAAGGTGGATGAAGAAATTGAGAGTTTGAGGCGTTTTTTCAAAACAAAAAAAGCAAATTCCAAATGCTTCTTGGATGACATTTCCTTTGAGGAGAAGAGGGATTACTCCTCTAACATGGGCATGGCCTTATGTTACAAACGACTTGGCAATTTGTTTCTAAATCTCAACAGCCAGGCTGCTCAGTTTAACTCATTGGTGAAGGACTTAAAGGCTCTCTCTTACAAACCACTAATCATAGAATATGACGAGCAAAATCAAGATGAAAAAGCGAAAGACTATGAAAATACAATTGAGAATCAAGATAAAGTGTTTGCTCTATTGGATTGCCTCGAGCGATTATTGGTAAATCGTGAAGAAGCCACGACCTCTGATGAGGATATAAAACTTTCGACGAACCTGTTCAGAAACACTGACACATTCTCGAACTATCATGTTGATCTAATATCTCAATTGAATTTTTATGAAGGTCCAACGCTCAAAATGGTATTCACTGAATTGAAAAACATTACGATTGTAAATGGTCTATCGGCTTCCACCACTGGTCATAAAGATGACTTCGATGCATACTTGTTAACATTTGAATCAGAGATTCCGAGGATCAAAAAAGAAATCAAGATTTTACGCGAGAACATGAAAAAGTTCAACGAGATCTACAATACCAAGACGGGCTATTTCAGCAATCTCCAAAGAATTTCTGACTCTCTTATTTCTCTCATTCAATTAGAACCCTCGGCTGTAGGGTCTATTGTGAAGAATACCAAGAACAACGTGCAACTCAATGAAAACATTCGTAAGATCAATAACTTAAGGTCGAGACTGAAGTATTTAGAGACACTGACAACCTTACGTGAGGACCTCAACTCGAAGAAAAGGTTCAACTGCACAATATGTTTGAGTGAAATCTTTGTGGGCTCTATGATCAAATGTGGACATTTCTTTTGCAAAAGCTGCATTTACAGCTGGCTGAAGAACAAGAGTGCTTGTCCTTTGTGTAAGACAGAAACGTCTTTGTCAGAGGTTTACACGTTTAAATTTCAAGAGGCACAGTTTAAAGAGGACGAAGGTCGGTCTGATATTGCCGATGAGTCCGATATTAAAACTGCAGTCAGTGCTCATGGATCATCTGAAGAACATCTACAGCGAGAAACGCACTACCCACACAAATTTCGCAGCTTTGAAAACATTGAAAAAGTGCATCAGCTTTCACTCAAGGAAACGTACGGCTGTAAAGTTGACTTTGCGGTGAAGCTTGTTCTTTACCTGCAGATTTGCCACAGGGAAGAAGCAGATCGTGATCCAAACGCAAAACCACCTCAAATCATAATTTATTCGCAGTACTCGGATTTTCTCGATATTTTATCTAGCGTGCTAACGCGGCATGCGATCAAGCACCTGAATACCTCTGGGTCTTCTAAATTTTCCAAGAGCATCGAGAAGTTCAAGAAAGATTCAGGTAATACTTGCTTACTTTTGGACGTTAAGAAACAAGCCACCGGGCTTACTCTAGTGAACGCTACTCACGTCTTCATAATGGAACCAATTATCAACGATAGTGCCGAAATTCAAGCAATCAATCGTACCCATAGAATAGGGCAGACACAGGAAACATATGTGTGGAATTTTGTGATGAGAAACACAGTAGAACAAAATATCGTCAACTACAAATCTGTCTTGGAAGAAAAGAGGGCTTCAGTGAAAAAGGTGCGGTCGCTGCACGCAGAGGAGAGACAATTAAAGCCGGAAAGCACTCCCGATGGCGAGGGCACGTCGAATGATGATGACGACGATGATGATGATGGTGATGATGATGATGATGATGATGAAGAGGAGTACTCTTTCAACGTGAATGGAGATGAGAGCGTCTCAGGTAAACACATCTGGAACTGCTTTTTCCATACATGACAGATACGCGAGGTATGAATGGGACATTAGAGTTTTAAGTAGAGGTTTCTATAAGAGAGCGTTTAAGTTACGAGAAGGATAGGATAAATTTGTAGGCAAAGGTTTAAACTCTTGGCCACTTTGTTTCGGAAAAAATTGGTCTCTGTGTGACGAATATTTTAATCTCATTTGACCATCTTAGGGCAACGATTAGAAATTATAGGTCTCGATGAAAGCGCTGTTATAAGGTATACTACCGTGGATATTTAAAAATATATGCCACTTCCTAGAATCGAACCAGGGTTTCATCGGCCACAACGATGTGTACTAACCACTATACTAAAGTGGCTTATTGATGAATTAAGTCAAGTCTGGGTACTTAATAAAGGCTTAACTAGATCGTCTGCTACATCTTCCATTATAATAATGATCATCGATCTAAGAGCACAGGACCTCCCTCTACACTCCTACTTCGCTGTTTCCTCGCGACCAGAAGTAGTATTGATAATGCTAACCCGCAAAACCATAATATTATCAAGGCTCTCACCTACAAGACTAGAATCCTCTCTTTTCAAATATTCGACTATAAGAAGTTTTCACCGCTCAACATCTTTCCTAGGGTACAAGAAATGGACAGACCTTGGTACCAAGGACAAACAGACTTTTATCAACAAGTACGTTGAACTTTACAAAGATAAGCACCCTTGTAGCCCCAGTAATACCATGAATAGGACGCTGGTAAGCGAAATGGAAGAGTACGATGATGCCCCATACGTTTTCGGTATAGTTTATAATGAAATTAGATCGTTAGCATTGGGTGAATCGGTGCACAACGTGGAAGGAAGCGGAGTGCTGGGAGATCCTGAATTTCAGAAATTGTTGCATAAATGAGCTTGACGGATCCTAATCCAGAACAAGCCGGTGAATTTCATATTCGTTAAGTACTAATACGTACACACACACAGTGTTATTGAAATGTTAGTGGCATCAATGAACTGGCGAGTCCAACAGTCGTTTTCTTCAACTTAAGACTTGATCCAGATTATCGCTGGTTTCTAGAGCGTCCATAGATGCAACGGTTTTGAGTATGCTAGTTTTACTAGTTTCAGTCATGGATCCATCGCATATCAAAACTTCGTTCAGTATATCATAAGCCTTTGTGAAATTGAAAATAATATCCAGTTCGCAAACATTGTCAAAATAGCTGTCCATCGCCTCCACGTAGCGATGAATGATCTCCAACGTCAGGAGCTCGTTGCTAGCTTCAGGACTGATGCCACACACGAAATAAAGGCTTGCATACCTTCTGTAAACGACTTTGTGATCCTGGTACTCCACAATATTGCACATCTTTAGCTTACGAGCTAGAACCGTCGTACTGAGTTCTCGGCATATCTTGTTTTTTTCGGTAGCGGTGAAAGCATCGAACCATCGCATCAATCGTATTTTTCCCTGTCTCGAGATCAGAAGCATATATTTTATTTGGACCATTTTCTAATTTTTTAAACGGGGACGGTGTATAGTCCTGATGAGTTTTCAATTGGCGCAATAGCACGCAGAGCAAGTTATGGGGTGGTGCCTTGCACTCTGGTTACTGCAATGTGTCGCCATGCTAATGATGATCTTGTATTATTCAAATCTATCAAAAGTATGGTAATTTTATACGAAACGTTCAAAGTTCAGGACAGCATGCCATCAGAAATTCCCTGTTAGGAGGAACTGATCTAAGCACGATCATTTTGAAAGCCTTGTCGTTATTCTACATCTATTGAACATCCATCTTTAGTCCTGTTTGGTCTTGCCTACCTGAGATATTTCAGTCCCAAAACCCCATTTCAAATGTTGGACTAGCGAAAGGATTGCGTTGGAACGGACACAAACGATATCGGTTTTGGGGATCCAGGCAGCGAGAAACGTTAGAGAAATGACTGCGTTGAAATGTTCTTTGGTCCCGTGATAAGAGGTCCGTTTTTAAAGGTGGAAGATTTAACCTAAACCTCTCTATTCTGCGTCTTCTGTTGGCGGAACCCATGGTGCCGGCTTGAAGTATTCTTGATCTTGGGTAACAGACGACTGGAACTTGGTTTTATCATCTGCAAATTCGAGTAAGTACACAATCTCTAGTTCGTGGCATTGTCTACCCAAAATAACAAGCGAGTGCAAAGGTTCACCCGAATCGTATTGAGAGAGCTCCTCGATTGTACCGGATTTAAATGTTTGATCGGCTGACCCAAGCCTGCTTATCGCGACGGCCGGAGTATCGGGCGTATAAGCTTTGGTACCCCGGCTTTCCTCGATTTCGAGCAATTGCTCACAACACTGTGCGATCGACATGTAACGAGGGGGTTCGTAAATCAATCTACCGCGCGCCATGTTCTCGATACTTTGCTCTTTTACCTTAATATCTAGTAAAACCAGCGTATGAAGACCAATTTTACGATTTTCCCAGATTTTATCATACCAAGAGTCCGGTCTCCAGCTATCTGTGAAGAAAACCATCGACACTGTTTGCCCAAAATTGTAGAGTTGCAACCCACAAGAACCAACGGCGTTCATAACTGACGCATTGTGGATGACTTCAACTGGCATTTTTTGTTTTTTCGCTCTCAAAACGAGATCTGTGTGGGTGGTGGCTCCAAAAGGATCTCCCACTACCAAAAATGCAACGTTTTGCTTGTCTGCTCCCCGCAAGATCTCTTCGCAGCCACTTTCGACCATCTCACGATCTGCTAAAGAAACTGGTTTGCCATAAAACGCTTCTAGTTCTTCCAAAGATGCTGCCATCAAAATACTAGTGTAGTGCTCCAGATACACGCGGTCACATTTTTTGATTGCTTCCAAACCACGTACTGTGATGTCTGAGGTATAGGAAAGACCCAGCCCGATCAAATAAAGCATTTCAAAATGATGCTACAGTGGAATTGGATGACTTTGAGCGGCTAAATCCGTGTTTCTTGACGGTTTTTATCCGGATGAGTTGCCCATCCACGATGGCCGATGAGATGAGTATCGGTATTTTTCATTATGTCAATGGAAGCTTGTCGTCCGAAGTTACATCCAGCCAACACTCCGTTTTCGCAGCGATTTCATGAATGACAGAATGGTCGGAATAACCTCGATTTCAGCGCTGAATACAAGTTGAAATATTTGTCCGGGTTTGAGGTTTTTCCACTGCTTTTTTCCGGTAATAGTTACTAGATTTTTCTTTTTGAAAAAAGTCGAAAATGTACCATTCAAATCGAAACCTTTTGAAATTTGGCGTGTCTGGTACCGGAGTCTTGACGAATAATTCCTTTCTAATTAATGATGTAGTAGTCGCGAAACGTCAGGCGATTTGACCATTCTGAATTATTATTTCAGAGCAGCATAAATAAAATTCAAACGCGGCTCACTCTTTCCCCGCACAAATACGGGAGAGGAGAATATTTTTGAAATCTGACCCGAGTCTTTTCACTTCGATTCCGCAATAAATTTACGTTCCATGTTAAGCAGCAACGTATCACCGAATGAGAGCTACTGTCTTCTTGTCATTTCCTACTTATCTGTCGCTGTCATGTGTCATGTGACAGATAGCTCTAAGGTTAGGAACCTCGATTGAGAAAAAAAGAAAGCTAGCGGAGATAAAAATGACACTAGGATCAGTCTCTGAATAGCTCCGACCTTTCAATGAATATGCGTATGTTAGTGTTGCTGTACTACGTGAAATCTCCATAGTCGATTCGAAGAAAAAGAGAATATCCACGATCGTAAATTATAGAAACAGCTAAGAAAGCACAGCGCTTATATATGTGGATAAGCAGAACAGTGCAAATGTACTGAGACTCAGAGCGGCCCAAGTGTTTTAAATTCAACCGCTACCAAAATTACCGAGACTTTGGTCACATGACTTTTTATATTACTTTAATTTGGTTATAGGTCACTTTATACGAGCAGTGCTAATTAAGGTCTCATCATCTGATGATACAAGCGATGAGCTCAACGGGCAAGCATCACAAACTACCAACCTCACTTGAAGCAAATTTAACCTCTAAACAGTCTTTTAAGGCGGTCCTGCTCTCTTTTTTTAACATAATTGAGTGTTTTCGAGGATGTCAGCGCATGCGGAGCCTGGCGATTTGGAGCAACAACCACTGCAATCGCGAGTGGCAGAAAATTACGGGGCGACGTTGGCTCAGCCGAAAACAGCAGCACCAAAACGTCCATCTCGGGCGATATGGAATTTTTTACTGGCTATTTCAATAGCTTTTTTGTGTCTTGGAGCCATTGGAATATATGCATCAAGATTCGTACCATCAACTGAGGCTATTCAGACATACTATGAAGATGTGACGAAAGTGAAATTACATAGCATCTCCTATGAGGGGTGGGATTCTAAGCCTAACAGTGCAGGATTTAAATTAGACTCTTTTGCATCGCCTGATGGTGAGAAAGATAGTTACAAATACCTCAAAGTGCGAGCTAAAATTGGAGTGCAATTTGATCACGATCAAGCTCTTTCTTCTACAACCAACTCGACCTCGACTTTGCGGGAAAGATCCATTATAAGGTTCTTTAGTCAGTCCGTCGTCAGAACAGTTTGTTTCAACCTTAATGACATGAAAGCCTATAACGATAACGAAACTGGCACTCAGCTCTTGGGATCCGTCCACATTCCACAATCAGTTTGTGTTGACTTGAGAGCCAATACAACAACTGAACTAGATCTTCCAATTGTGGTTCATCCCAATGCACAAAATATCGCCTCCGTGATCATAAAGATTTGGAGACGTAAGTTTCACGAGCTCAATCTTTGGTCAAATTTAAACATCACTCTATCCAAGTGGGGTCTTTCCTTCGGAAAAGTACAGATACCGAGACTAGATTGGGACGATTTTTTGAATTGGGATCAGGTTCAATCTTACGTTGATCAAATGCATGAATTCTTGAAGGATCCTATAAAGGTAAATGATTTTCAAATTAGTGATGTCAATGAAGCTGTAAAGTTTCAAATTGGTATTTCCTACGATTGTCCGGATCTGCTCAGGGACATTCTGCAGTCTCAGAGAGGTTGTTCAATCCCTCCCACATCTTGGACTGTTCGCATGCCTGGCTGCCAAGAAAATGAGCCTATAGCTCTGCAAAACGCTGTATTTCAAACACCTTTAGTGCCAGTTGATCTTCTCTTGACACAGTCCAGCGCTGACATTAATATAACAGGCCAGATTCATGGTCCACTCCCCGATGAGCTACTTTATCAAGTCTGCGACTCAGACGAAGAGAATGTTGTAACACCAATCAACCTATTTTTGAAAAAGGTCTTCGACCCTACTCAGAATGTTGGTTTCGAAATTTGTGGCCTTCATTCAGGGCGTACCAAAAAGAGCATCATTCCAGAACGCCTCTTAGACGAGATCCTGCCGTCAATTGCACAAGAAATAAACGCCAATTTGACAATAGATTCCGACCAATTGGTCGAGCAGGTAACTGTTGATGAGATGAAAATGAAGTGGGTACAAAGAGGCTGGGACGATAAAAGACTCGAGATCATGGGGAAAGTCAACACATTAGTGAATCTACCATTTTACAATGCGACGCTTTCTAAAGAAGAAGAAACAGTTTCCATCAAAAAAATAAAGGGCTTGACTAAACTGTTTCACAATGATGTCCACTTCGTGTCAGTTCCCATGGATGTTTGGCTCAACGCTGAATCAGAGATTTTAAGGTCTGTGGATCTAGCTAATATTCAATTGCGGGTTTCATTTGATATTGCTGGCCAAGATGTTGTGGTAGTGGACAGACTTGAACTTACGAGATGTTTGAATGAGATACTAGTACTAGGCCAAGCAAAAGTGTTTGTCGAAGGGCAATTAGATTTGATGATGGATACAAAGTTAGGTTCCATTGTTCTACTCGGATTGGAAGGTAATGGCACTACTATTATCAGGAAGTGAATGACGTCAAGGCATACTCAAAGTCGAAACAACATGGTGAGCAAACTATCGGGGCGGGCCTCGTTGGGATCCTAGAATACATTTCAATGTGCATTGTCAGTGGAGGGGATGGGGGGCTGAATACGGCATTTGAACTGCAATTAACTGGTGCTTTATGGCTCAAGTTTTCAAATTAAAACAATTGGACCACATCACCGAAAAACTAGAAATAACTACAAGCTAGAAACGCACAGCGGATCTTTTATAATCCTTTGCTCGTCATACTCTATCCTAACTATACCTAGGGCAACTTTTGCCCTAGGTATAGTTATTTGTCATGATTGCATGTATTTTAGTTATGTAGTCGTAATGTTTATGTGGAGAGGTGAGAGAACCACATGTTGGGATGAGCATTTTTATGCTGAAAAGTTTCGTAGAACAAGGATCAGCGCGCGTCTAATCTTGTTTGTCCATGAGATGGCAAAACACTGGCTGCCAAGAAAAAAAAAAGTTTCTTATGTTGATCGCTTATGTCTTTTTAAACATTATAACTGCCAGTTTCTTCGTTTAAAAGTCTGCATGATTTCTGCCCAGTCTAATGTATTTTCAAGCTTGAAATGAGCATAAGTAAGGAGCAAAATTCTGCTCTGTTGATCACATCGTTTGTTGAATGTTTTTATAGCCCCGCTACGGAAGCGTAATCCGGATTTGAAGAAGTCCAGTCAATGTTTCTTCATTTTGCCGTCTGCAAAGAGGTGAGTGATTGACTCACCGCTGTTCAGAGCGTCGATATTGTGCCCTTGCTTATTGGATATTTCAGCAGGACGCGATTGTAGTGATCTACACTTTCGTCGGGCAAAAAGCATGATTCCTCGAAAAACATGCCTTTAGAAGTTTAATCTTGTTTCTTATAGAAGGAAATGGAAGTCATCAAGGAACCTGTTTCTGAGTTACCAAACAAACCCTCTATCATGGGAAGCGCGATCAATAACCACAGGTTTCTCCTTCGTGTCGACCATGTAAATCTTTGCCATGTCGGAGAAGTATTTGAAGTCTTCTTTTAACTTGTGTGCTTTGAACTTAACAAAATCCCGAAATCTCACGTTTGAAAGTGCCGGGTACAATTCATCGTACGTGAGCTTACGCTTCTCTTTCTTGATAGGCCTCGCGGGGGTTGGACTGCAACCAGAGCGCGGCGAGACCACGCTTTTTATTTTGTTGGCGAAACGTAAACTTCTGTTTCTACCCGGAGTCTTCATGTCTGGCTCATATTCTCCAGTCACGCAAGGCAATTGCGAAGAATTCTTCTGGGACTTTGGCCCATAAACGTGAAGTTCCTTGCCAGGCTTTTCAGGATTTTCTCCATTATCGTCAGCTAACGAGGTTGTAAAATTACAACGGGCTATTGCTTCTCGGTCATAAAGCCCTTTTGCGCAATTGCTCAAATGTTCATTGACTGCGGCGTCAAGCTGAGATGACAGCGGGGAACCTATTGTGGGCCCTGAGCAAAATGAAAACATACTTTCAGGTCGGTCAAGAGACTTGACGTTTGCCGCTTGTTCGATATTTTGATGAAAACCATGTTTTCCAAAAATTTGGTCAACTGTCGAGAGTTCACACGACTTGATTGCGTCGCGACTGTCGTAGCAAAAATCGTACCGTTCTTCGCCACCAAAATCATCTCCTGGCCCTTTTGAACCTGACGTCATAGATTGATGAAGCCTGTGTGTCATTTCGCTAGGATTGATGTTCTTCTTCAGTCCCTTTGAAGTCATACTTTCACGACGTGGAGCTTGACTTGTAGCGAGCGGCGGAAAAAGATGGCTCGAGATTATCACCGAACCTTGATCATCGTTCTTAGCATCATTTTCAAGCGAACTTGCCTGTCCTGTTCCGTAGATAAAATTACGGATTGAGCGCTCGTTTGCTAACACATCAAAAGTGTTAGGTGCCGTTGTGTTACTCGCAAGAGAAAAATCTTTATCTGATATTCTCGATGCGCTCTTTTCCTCGTGGCCAATCATGGTACGATGGTAGACAGAACTTCCAGGATGGAGGTGCGGCCTGCGCTGCTTGTGCTCACCATTGGGTGGCAGATTTGGCTCTTGGCGCATTTCTGTGGCATTAACTTGTTCCCTGCCAATATTGAAGCTGGTTCTCGCTTCACGGCTTTGACGGTCATCACTGCGAGTTGCCGATTGACCATCAACAGCATTCACTCGAGTATCGTACTCTTGAGGAGGATTGAGTGAGTCTCCCAATAAGAACTCGGGTAGCCGGTCATGGAAAGGATTGTGACATTTTTCTTTCAGATGACAGTGACATGGCCGCCTACTGAAGGCGTCGGAGCTCTTAGAGCCCCCGATAGGCTGCGAATTGTAGATCGGCGAATTTTCTGAGTTTCTGGCAGCATCTCTACAGGTCTCGTTTTGGGGCTCTTGAGTCTTGCAATAGAGCTGTGAATCGTCCTTTCTGTGAATGATCGAAGTCTCACCGAAAACTGATTCTTGAGCCAAGACGCGATCGTTCTGGGCTGCGCAGACGCTAAGAGGTAATGTACCCGAAATATCCGATTCAACGTATTCTTTGGCCTTCCGCGCTTCCGAACCTTTCCTTCGCTCTTTCCTTCTGGTTGAGTGTCTACCCCGTTCGGATGAGGAGGTCTGGTTTGCTGCTGTTTTTGATCCCCTTTCCAAATCTGTTACATTAACACATTTGGTATCAACTTTAGCCATAGCAATACCATCCGGATACTCTTTCTTCACGTTCGAATTTTTATCTGAACTCGAGGAGGCATTCGAGTCAGAACTAGCTAATGACTGACCTGGAGAACCTCGCTTCCTATACTCATCAGCTTCCTGTTGTGCTGGAGAGAAGCTAGACGGCAAAGGGCGATTTTCAGAGGGGTAGTAGTATTGCATGACATGGCTTTGGGGAAGGTGCTGCGGATCCTGGTTCGAGAACTCTTCCTGAGTTTCAAATCCATCTGGTAACGCTGCAGCGGTTGATCCAAGTTCACCACAATCACCTTCACCTTCTTCTGGCGAAAGGTCTGGCACCATCAAAGCTTCAATTTTGGGCAAAGGCTTTCGCTTTGGTACCCCATCTTTGATGCTTATTGACGCCTCGTCTGTGCCAATTGCCACAGATTCATTGGTCCCCTTGAAGAGTTGCTGTTCATCTCGTATAGCTGTGAATGTTCCCGCTTTTGTAGCCCGTTCTTCAGGAGCACACTTGACGGAAGGCGATAGCTTTTTGGTAGCCTCTTTCTCGGTGCCTCGCGTTTCCAGAAGTAAGAAAATATCTCTCTCAATCTCATTGAGTTCATGTTCTACTCCGTCAATCATCATGACTTGCTTATTAGCCTGGCGGGAGCGGTAAGATCCGCCACTTGATTTCCTTGTGTTGACGGAAGAAATGCGGATGTGGTCTTGAGCAGCGCTTCCGCTAGTGATCTGAACTTTATAATCAGCTCTCAAATTAAGGTCCACTTGCTTATTACCTCGCAATTCATCTAACTCGTGAGATCGCGAACATGATCTTGGGACTGTGGAGACAAGTCTGGGCTCAATAACTGCGGGGAGATCGTAGGTCGCAGTCCCAAGACCGTTCATAGGACCAACGCACGAATTCGAAACCTCGAGAGACCCTTCATCAGGTTCAACGTCTGTGTCATGGCCTACGCAGAACGTGCCAGCGAGGTCTTTTTGTTCTTTCATCAACTGTGGAGGAGTGGGACATTGAAGCTTACCTGGGTTTGATGTCTCGTTGACTTTGTGGCCAGGGTCGACGTTCGGCTTGACATCTAAACACAAATTTGCATCTAGTGTCTCGGGGTTGTTCAATGGTGGTGGCATGGTCAAATCGACAGTATTAAAAGGGCAATCCGACGCGTTCTGGGTACCAGATTCAACATCCGGCGCGACATTCACACAGAATTTGGCACCGGAGGTCTCACGCTCGCTCGACACAGTCGAATGATCGGCTCCCGAAGTTCCAGCTGGAGTTGGCATATTCCCGGGGCAGTCTACGGATTTAGCGTTGGACTCGCAAGGATCTTCTGTGCAGTGAACAACGACTCCAACATCAGGAGCAGGGTTCAAACTTCTCGAGCAGTTTGAACCTTCCTCTTTGACATTAGAGCGCGTGTTCCCTTCAGCAAACGAGACCTTCCTTTCTCCAACGACTGATGGAGGGTCACTACTATCTCGGCATTCGGATCGCTGCTCTTCTTTTTCTGAACCAACCGCAGTTGAGGAGCGTGGCGGTAACGTCGTTCCGATCTGGCTCACTTTTTCATTTCGCTTCTCTGATCTGTATCCAAGCTCCTTCATGATGATCGTCGTCTCATCGCCGCCATGTCCGGTGAAGCTGAGTTGTCCCAATTCGAACAGCTTCGAATAATGCTTGAACATCTGTTCCGGTTTTCCTTTGTTCCAAACAGAAATTATTCTATTCGGGACCAAGGACGGACGGACGTCTTTGCCTTTGAGTCTGAAAAGGCTTCCACCAGTCTTGAGTCCAGTCCATTTGTGAAACTGAACCTTGATGTCAGTCTGTGCATAGCTCTTGTCGCTGATAGCATAATTGAAAGATGCAGGGAACTTAATAGGCATCATGACAAGTCCGGCGTGTGTCTTGTGTCTACCCCTAGACGTTGGATAGAGCTCTTGGTAAAGAAGCTTTTGCACAAAGTCGAACTGACTGAATGAGCATATTTTGGTAGGCCGCGAAAGAACAAAATGATTCTGCAGTGCCTCGATAACTCTTTCGCAAGGTTCCAAGAAATCCATGTAGGTGTGTCTGATTGCTTCCCTCAACCGACCCTCCTTCATGCCTCCTTCCTCTGCTTCGTCACAAAACGCATCTTCGGGCGAGCATCCTTTGAGATTGAACTCTACCATGTAAAGAGTAGAACACTTGAGTAAAGAAGGCATCCGCTCCTCCATTTGCTCCCTTGATAGAATGATTCCGTGGAGGTAGCTGAGCCAGCCCAAGTTACCTTCCAGATCTTTCACTTGCAAATCTTGAAGTTGCGAGACATGTTTAGCGCGGGACTTGAGGTAGTCCAAGCGAAACCCAGGCTCTTCTAAACGCTCGATGTACAAAATTTCAATGTACTTTTCAGCAAAACTGGTGTTGATGTCGGCAAATTCGTCGCGACTTGAGTAGTCCAAAAACATTTCGAAAGCCGATTGAACTTGGATAGAGCAATGGTTCGATAAGAGAAAAAGACCGCTAGTCTCAAATAAAAACGTTCACCAAGTTACTCGTGAGCTAACTAGTTTTCGGAAGATATCACAAAGCGGGAAACACAAGAAATGTGAAGGGTGACAAACAGCCGTAGAATTTTGAGCCCTCTATTCTTTGTCGTGTATTCTCTTGTTGAGCGGTGAAAGTTTTTGTGTGTGTGTCGCTTTTGGTTCTTGTGACTTTGTGATCGCGTCTGTCGTTTTGTGTCAAAACCTTCAATAACAAGATTTTGTGACTATCGTTTGTCCTCGAAAGTCAAACTCTGGTTGGTCTCTTTTTTTTTGGGTTTTGTGTTTTTCGTGTGTTTTTTGGCTTTTGTGGTTTTGAGGAGTCTGCGTGAACTAAAGTCCCTGGAAAGAGCTCTGAGAGCTACTTGAATCGACGAAAGTGTCTCGAAGTATTAACTCGTAGAAGAAAGCTGTATGAGAGCTTTCTGTAGGAGTCAGACGACGACACTTGAAGTAAGAAAGAAAAAGTTAATGACAGTTTCTTGGCAACGACTCGAAAAGGTAAAGGATCCTGCCACTATGTAATTTGATCCTTTCCCTGAAGCGACTTTCTTGAAACCTTTGCGGTTTTTGTACTCTGAACGCAGAGTATAATGCAAAAATTGTCCTTGCGATGCCCTGAGAACTTTACGGAAGAAAGTTACTCAATATTGTCAAACTCCGAGGGTTGGAGTATTTGTTCGATCGTCTAATTGTCCCTAAGAGTGTCAACAAATAGTGAGCTCTTGGATAACCTTTGATTTTTGTTTCCTTGCGACACAAGAAAGCACAGTAATCAAATACTAGCAGTTGAGCTGCGGAGTTAATCTCAAAAACAAATTTGAACCAAGTGAAGCCTGGAGGGGGGCACTGGTTCAATGTTTGTATTTGTGACGTAAAGAAAGAAACAGTACTGTTCTTTTGGGGACTTCGGAGCCTCGTGGGTTGGAAGTTGATCTGATAGCTTAAAGCTGATAGTTTTGATGGAACGCCGGTTTTTGTAGAATTCGGCTGATAAAGCGGGTAGTTGGAAATGCACAACTGATACGCTTCAAAGTACTGAATTCTTGTGGTGATGGAGAGAAATGGATAAAGAAAAGTGAGAGTGTAGAAGCAATGAACTCGGAGCACAAATCGCCCAAAAGCACATATTTTTATACCATTCCCAAGTAATGACACAAACATCGCTTGATCGCGACACAAAGCGTCGCCTAGCCAAAGAACTTTTGATCGAGATGCCGTGTTTGCACGATCCAGCCCTGTAAGGACCAGGGCAATTGGCCAAATTTGTACGCACAGTATTGGACTTCCTATTCATAGTGTTTCACTTCAATCGTAACCTATCTGGTTTCCAGTCGTCTTTTGAAGTCCAACCTGTAAAACACACGCCGAGCGCTCCATCACTTTCATTCTGTTCTGTCGTTCCGTGAGCGAACACATGCTTCTTGAGCATGATTCACACGAGTCATGTTAGTCACTTATGACGGGTGACCCGTTGAATTGCGCCTGCTGTGAGGTGGTGCGCTCGACGATAAAGGAAGACCGATGTTGAGCTAGTGTAAACGGAACGGCCGTATCGAGTTGAAAGTTATCTGCTGGTGTATAAAAAGAGACCAGATAACTCGCAGCAGTAACCTTTCTTCCTTGCAAAGCTTGTTGTTGTTCGTGCTTCTAAAAAGTCTAACTTTTCATTTCAAGATTCATCGTCCTCAGAAGGCTTAGTGCAACATACGCTGAAAATGTCTTCGTTCCTCAACTTTTACGCCGCTTCGCTCAAGAAGAACCCCAAAACCACCAATGCAATCATGACGGGCTCTCTTTTTGGTCTGGGGGACGCCCTAGCACAAATATGCTTCCCCAGTTCCCAGGCTAAAGCTGTTGATGCAAACGGAGAAAAATCATCTGCTGGTTACGATATCGCGAGAACGGTGCGTGCAGTGACATACGGATCGCTGATTTTTTCCTTTATCGGCGACAAATGGTTCAAAACCCTCAGCACTAAGGTTAAATTTGCCAACAAACCGGCCAAACACTGGTCGAACCTGGCTCTACGTGTGGGAGTAGACCAGCTAGTTTTCGCTCCATCGTGCATTCCCTTCTATTTCGGCGTCTTGACGCTGATGGAGGGCCAATCGCTGAAAGATGCCGACGAGAAAATCCGCGCAGTGTGGTGGGACATTTTAAAGACCAACTGGACGGTTTGGCCCGCATTTCAGCTTATCAACTTTTCGCTAGTCCCAGTGCAGCACCGTCTGCTAGCAGTGAACGTGCTTGCCATTTTCTGGAACACTTTCCTCTCTTACAGGAACTCAGAAGCCAGCAACAAGAACCATCAGTTGCCCGTGGAATATCCTCCTGTTCCCGAGTGATCCTCTTATTTTGCATTTAGGAAACATAAAGTTGAGGCCAGCTCAGAGTACATCATTGTCAAGCAGCAGATTTTGGCTTCTGGATAGAAAGTCAAGATCAGCACTTCTCGGTAGTTAGATGAGTATGGTAACTCTCAACACGCTCTATTTTAACTCAATTCCAATGGATAAAATAGCCCTAGTGGTCACGTGCCGGGTAAATCACTTACCACGTGCACGACTCGAGTTACTCGAGTAAGCGCTAGCCAGCAGTTGAGAACTATAGGTAAGTAATCAAGGTTACCATTTGCTTACTTGGTGGGAAACGAGCTACTCACAGTGGCACACTGAAAGGCTCAATTATGGCTTAATTATCATTATTACGTATGTTGGAATTTACTCGACGATTACCGTCGTAGTACTACTAAACAGCATCTCAGTTTATTGACAGCAGCAGGTGCTTGGATTTAATCTTCAAGTGCAATGGGTAGAATAGTTCGGTATCACCCCTCAGAAATTGCTGGAGCTAGTCAAGAATTAATTTCACCACGTTAGCGCTAATTCAGGTATGTCATCGGGTCCCTCTTCTGCATGTATAACAGCTCATATTTCCATGAAAAAGTTGCGTCTTAACTTATTCGACCCACAAAGAAAAAGCCAGCTTTGTCTATGCTTTTAATTGAGTGTAGTTGTCAAGCGGCGCTTCATTCGCGATAAGCTCCCATATCTGATCAATTTCCTTAACGACCTCTGGTTCCAAAGGACCTTGCTCGATTGCCTCAATGTTTTGAGCCATGGAAGCAGAGTTTCTGGCTCCAATGATGACAGCGTCACCGGATGCTCTCTTCAAATATGAGTTGTGGGCAATCCAACGGTACGCCAAGGACCCAGAGGTGATACCGACCTTTTCTGCAAGCTCATTCCACTGCTCTAAACCTTTAATCAGAGTGGGTTTGTTGTAAAGGCTATTGTACATCTTTCCGGCAAAACTTTCGTAGGAAAAACGACCATCGCCATTTGCCACTTGTTGCGGGGTCTTGGCTAGAAATCCACCTGCAATTGGAGAGTAGGCGTAAAACGAAATTTTGAGCTCTGCCAAAACCGGGAACAAAGTCTTTTCGATTTTTCTGGAAAATGCGTTGTAGTTGCCTTGGTAAACCGAAGGCAAGACGTAGCCCTTTTCCTTGTTGTAATTGTAGATTTTGCGCACGTCCTCCGGAGGAAAATTGGAAACGCCAAACTTCTTGAATTTCCCCTCCTTGTACAACGCACCAATGGTGTTCAGAGTTTCTTCCAGTGGTGTGTCCGGATCTGGACAGTGCAGGTAGAAAATCTCGACGCTTTCCACCTTCAGAAGATCGAACGATTCCTCAATGGATTTGGTAATGCTCTCTTTCGAAAGCGAGCCTGGAGAGAATCCACGCGCTTTAGTGTCAATTATGAAGCTCTTAGAAATGCCATGAGCACCTAAAAATTCCTCGCTATTAGGGTATATCCGGGCGGTGTCCAATTCCTGAATACCATGCTTCTTCAAAACGTCAAGATAGGTAGGGAGATCGCCTTCGGGTAGTAACGACAGCTGGAAAGCGCCAGATACCAATTTGACAGCCATTGTTGGTTTTTTTTCTAGAAAGTTGGGTGAATAATGAATGAATCTCGCTTGATCTTCTATAATGGCAGAGGGAACACCAAGTGTATCACAGGCCCCTCTTATATACGGACCTCGAAAAACTCAATGGTTTGTTAACATTTGTCATCAAAGATAGTGCGTGATATATACAATCTGCTGGGTATTCGTGAAGTGTTGGACTATTCTTGGCTGAAATGTGTTCGGAAAGTCTTTAGAAGTCTGCATGGCTTTTATGATTCGTTGACAAGAACTTCTGCGGCGTGGTCACTGTTAAGCTCGGATGTTGCAGTCTTTAGTTAACAAAGAGCCATTCCACGGAATTTTCGCGGATTTGAACGTGAACAGAATGACCTCAACAACAAATTAAAGGTTCCGCCCTGTAGTCAGAAAACAACAAAAGAGAGGCGCATGTTAGTTGCACTTAAGGGAAGCAAGCGACGAGCGGCCAACCCTCCGAATGCCGGCACAGCTGAAGATGAAGATGAAAAATAGTTCAATGAGTTTTGCCAAGAATTAAGTAAAAAAATTAGGTCGTGAGCTCTTCGTTTGTTCTTGTTGATTCAAAGTCATATACCGTCTGAGCTAAGTAGCGTATATTTGTTACTGAAACTGTAAACGCCATTCAAGAAGCGTTGTTCCTCGTTCTTCGTTCTTACGATATTGCAGTATCTTCGCAATGACAACGATTCTTGATTCTAAATTTGGGTCTCGGACTTAGATGCAATGTTCGAAAACTCCATGGTCTTTTGTTAGCAACTGATATGTACAATTAAAGGTTCAATAGCATCGATAACTACGACTCACGGTACTACGTTCGACAACCAAGTTCTCGACATATTTAAGGCTACTAGTGGAGGGGTTTCATTTTTAAACTCATCGTAAAGGTCCAGTTGGACATTTATATGTATCTGTCCGAACTGTTAGGGCTACTATTGAGCAATCTTAATCGTAGTGTCAGTTTCATGGTAAAGTGATATCAACCATGTGATACGATGACGAACAAGTTTTCAAAATCACGTCTCTCAATACTAGAAAATCAAGCATTCGACTCAACTCTTAAGACCAATTTTTGACGGTGAGCTTTGTTCGAATGTTAGAGATGGGAACTATTAGTGAGTCACGTGATATATTTACACGAATTTGCATACAGGCCCGAATAGAAAGCACTCAAATTTAGTTTCTCCTGTGGCTACGCGATAATATGGTAGTTGTGCTAGTAATATAATAGTATTCTTTGACTATGGAAATCATTTAGCTCAGACTATTGTATGTGTTTCGTATATTGTGATTAATATCTCACTAACTCGATTATGTCATCTTTCATAATTTAACGCTTTGGTTTAGATATTCAATCTACCCAAGATATCCTACGAACCTCTCAAGAATACACTTCCTTACAGACGTTAACCGCGTATTTGCAGTGCTAGCTTGGCCCGGTCACCGCTTCTTAACACACAGCCATGTATTCAGGCTTTTCCAGCTTGACCTTTCGAAGCACAGTACGACGGCTCTACGCTACTTCCGGATCCTCAGTTCAGTCAGCCAAACCAAGACTTATCACCAGAAAAAGGGTTTTGCTGGCGGCAGGACTTCTCACGACAGCTTTTGTCAGTACCAACGAGACGTCCCAGGATGTGATCAAGCATGTGGGTATGACATCCAGACGTGTAGGAGTAGTCACTCAAGCGACAATTCGGTGTCTTTACAACTATCAGCGAGTCTTAAAGCACGATTTCAACTCTGATGACGATCGTCGTGTGGCCCTCAATCAGTGTCATCTGCTGTGTGCCAACATTACCCTTCGCGCACTGGAGGCAAATGGTGGTGTTTTTATCAAGCTGGGCCAACACATCGGTGCAATGACCTATTTATTGCCCCCGGAATGGACAGAAACCATGATACCACTGCAGGACAAATGCCCGCAGTCAACGCAAGAAGAAATAGCTGGCTTATTCAAGCAGGATTTGAAGCAGAGCTTGGATGAGCTTTTTATTGAATTTGATCCACAGCCTATCGGCGTTGCATCTCTAGCACAAGTCCACATTGCGAGGCTCAGAGAAAATGGTCAAAAGGTCGCAGTGAAAGTCCAGCACCCGTCATTAAAAGAGTTTGTGCCCATAGATGTACTTCTGACCCAAACCGTTTTCAATATCGTTGACGTCGTTTTCCCAGAGTACCCACTGGGTTGGCTGGCAGATGAACTTCAAAACTCGATCTACGTGGAGCTTGACTTTACCAAAGAGGCGGGCAATGCACGTCGGACTGCAGAGTACTTTGCGGACTATATACCTGAAACTGCCTTGCGCATTCCCAAGGTAATGGGTGCTAATAAACGTGTCCTGATAATGGAGTACGTTGGCGGTCACAGGCTTGACGATTTGGCCTACCTCGATCAGAATCACATTTCTCGTGCAGAAGTTTCATCGTGTTTGTCACACATTTTCAACAACATGATATTCACCCCAAACGTAGGTATCCATTGTGACCCCCATGGTGGCAACTTAGCTATCCGGCACATCGATCGGCCTCGCGGCCATCATAACTTCGAAATCATATTATATGATCATGGCTTGTACAGACACCCAACAACAGAGATGAGACGAGATTATGCCAAGTTCTGGCTCGCACTTTTGGATAAGGACGAGCGTAACATGAAAAAATATGCCACCAGATTTGCTCACATTGAGGAGGCACAATTTCCACTTTTTGCCGCTGCAATTACGGGTAGAAGCATCGATGCTGCGCAGAGCTCCGATCTTTTTAAGCCCAGATCCGAAGAAGAGATCAAGGTAATGGCCAAGGCCATGACTGAAGGTTCTTTATTGGGTGACTTGATGACGATCCTTTGTCGTCTTCCAGGGGTTGTGTTACTCATTTTGAAAACCAATGACTTGACACGACACTTGGATGAATGCTTGGAAAATCCTTTGAGCATGGAACGTACGTTTTTAATCATGACTCAGTATTGTGCACGGACAGTATATGGCGAGGTACGCCAGAACATAAATCTTACCTGCCATCGCTGGTCGTTTACGTGGATAATAAGAGAAGTAAAGGCATGGTGGGACTACGAAAAGAGGAGGAATCAGTTGGTTTTCTACGACTTCGCCTTTTGGTTCAGAAATCAATTTCTGCGCTCTCATTAGGCATTAGGTAGACCATTCAAAATAGTACACGAAAGCATTATATATTCATTTATGGCGTGTAGACGCCACTACCTTCGCGGTACTTACATGCGTGGCCCTTAAGTCTGTCGCAGCATTATAAGAGGACGATAATCGTAGTGAAGATTGATCCGTTCTGACTCTGAGAAAGTCAACTGGGTTACTTTGTCGCTTCTTTTTCGGTGAGATTCTCAGAGATTCGTTTTCGTGGTCAAAAGACGTCTTAGAGCAGTTGTCGCTATCTCGACGCCGAATTGATTGTGATGTGCTTCGAAGATCGGCTACTTCGTGTTCTAGAAGTACGTTTAGTTCCATCAATCTGTCATTTTCGCCCTTGAAGGTTCTGAACTGGCTTCGTAAAACTCGATTTTCTTCCTCCAATTCGTCAGTTTGTATTTCCAACGCTGTGATACGCTCCCGGGCCTCTTTGTGCTCGTCGCCTCGTTTGAGACTCTTAATGGTCTCGTCTTTATCATTCAGATCAGTTTGCAGTTTTTGAATAAATCCTTCGAGTTCTTGTTCGTAATCATGACTGGTGGCCTCAAGTTCCTCGAGCTGTTTCTCGAGACTGGCAATTAGGTTGTGAGCTTCGTCTAGACTTAGCTCTCGGCTACGCACCATTACCTACTCTTCCTTAGTTGTTCTTGCCGATCTCTTGGATGTCGGTATCGAAGAGTTACCTTTTCCTTCCATGTAGAGAGTCTAAATAGAGTGACATTTTATTATATCTACTGCCAAATCCTCGAACGTTTTGAAAAAACAAGAAGAGATAAAAGACATCGCTAACTGCTATGAGGAGTTTAAAAGTGCCCCCAATCATCAAGAAGATGTACGGCTAAGGACGCTGCAGTTTTTTAGTTTGAAAAACGGGGATCCTAGCATTATATGCGGCCAAATGAAGTAACCGACCATTATATCACTCGAAAGTGGCGTCAACTTAATGACGACAGTTTCTCCAAGCCCACGTCGTACTTCAAATTTATCAAGTGACGGCCTCTTCTCTGATGGATTTGGATATCCGCCACCACGGGTATGAACGGTTCTATGTAAAAGGGTAGTTGCTCTGGAAAGAGGAATTGGATGAAAACTGATGGAATTACTTTGGAGTGGAACTTCATGACGCATTTCTAACATTCAAAAGCCATCTCAGCTACTGAATAGCCAATAAAAAAGACGTGAAGCAGGCGTAAGAAGGCATGAAAAAGGTTGCAAATTTGAGAGATGTCCACTGTATCACGCCTGGGCAATACAGATTTTCCCAATGCGAAATCTCACTCCCGGAGACCTACTGGTTTCTGAAGGAAGTTCATTGTAAGCTCATATCACTTCTTCATAAACTGTCATTTTGTGACAGTATTAAATTACTATTTCATAAATATCAGATCGGGGACTGACAACCTTCGGAGATCCATCGTATCTGGAAAGCTCACATGCTGTATCAACCTTCCATAGATATTCAATTCGCTCTTCAATCGCTCAATTCATGTTCTGGGACGGGTACCTGCATTCCGCGAATTCGAAGTGACGAAACTCACAGAAACTTCCATCCCGTTTCGCAGATTTTGAAAATAATGACAGATCACAGTCTTCACAGACACTCGCAGATGACGCGCTCAAATTCCTTTCTGGGTGGCTCCAAGGTCCATTGGTCAACAAAGTTTGCCAACAATCTGTCTCTTTCCCCTCGTTTAGACTCCTTAGTGAGCCTTCTCACTACCTGAGGTTCATAAAACAACTTGGGAATTGATACAGAACGAACTTCATCGAGCATTCCATAACGGTCATGATCAAAGGGAACATGGTCATCAAGCTACACACAGGCAGTCGGCTCACCAAGTTCTTGAACTGAGATCCTGGTACCCGCCCTCATCACATACGACTGTCCTTTCGAATTAGCGATGGCTTGATCGGGTGACAATAAATTCACCCAACAAACGACGGAGAAGAACATTAAACGACATGGCCTGGCGTTTACGCTCACCCCAAATTTGAGTACTCGAGGAACTGTGGTGCTATAAGTATACGCCAGCTTTTCCTTTGGGATCAAAACAACAGAGGGATCAGTTTCCTTCTGGGATTTTTCAAGCTAGAAGGTTGCACTTCAACGTATACCTGGGTGTAAGGATAAGAATAAAAGGTTCAAAAAGCACTATTTGGTCTATTTCCAGTATTGAAGCCTTGAAGCAGCGTAGCAGCCAACAGATTTATCAGGTTTATTCATTTGAATACTCAACTGGACGGAGAGACGCTACCACCATATATACTGTGTGGTCAATAGAGAAGAAAAGAGACAGTCGTTAAGTACACGACACGTTTCTGTACTTACTTTAGCCAGCCATGGCAGAAGTTAACAAGAGAAATCGCAATAGAGTACCGCTGAGCTGTACCATATGCAGAAAACGGAAGGTAAAATGCGACAAAAGTAGGCCACATTGCACACAATGCGTCAAGACAGGTGTGGCACATCTGTGTCATTACATGGAGCAGACATGGGCTGAGGAAGCCGAAAAAGAGCTGTCTAAAGAGGCAGAGCTCAAGCAACTGCGAGAAAGGATCAAGGCTCTTGAGAAAATGCTTTCCAAAATGCACGCTGCTCCCGGCCAAACACCCGAAAGTACAACAGCAGCCGTTGAAGAGATAACAGCACCACAAGAACCGCTACAAATTTTCAGTCAGGAGCCGAAGCTTGTTGACGGCACCAAGTACGACGGCGATGAGCTAGACCTAACAAGACAGTTCGATATGCTACATCTGAAAAATAGCGGTACGGTTCATCTGGGAGCTACGCATTGGCTGGCAATTATGAAAGGAGACCCCTATCTCAAGCTTTTGTGGGGACATATTTTCATGATGCGCGAGAAAATGTCCGAATGGGTCTCGAATAGAAAAAATGGCAAAAATGTGGGCCCTAAAGCGAATGGCGGTGCCTCTAACGTTAAGGGCAGATGCCCTGTTGTACACCAACGTCCATCTTCGAGCTGTCCCGTGACTGGCATGTCTGTTTCTGCACTTCGTCAAGAAAGTAAGTGTCCGGTGAATCATCAAACCTTTTTGGCGTCAGCCCAGAAAGATAAGATGAAAGACTCCAGTGAAAGTACTGCGTTGACCGCAAGTACTCGTGGTCCCGAATCAGCTATAAACAGTGTTCCTACCGCTCACGTCCCGATGACAGGTTGTCCAGTAGCCCACAAGTCTATGCAAGCAAAACGACTGACAAAGCCTGATTCTCCGGCTTCAATTCACCAGCCAATTACGTTGCCCTCATTTGACAAGCTAGCATCGAAATGTCCAGTGATTCACGACAATTCTCCGCCTCCACCTGCTGGACTAGGTTTAAACCCTGACAATAAGACCCAGGAGCAAGCAATCACAGAGATATGTAAGCTGCTGCCGCCGAAGAGGGTCGTTGCATCGATGCTTGACAAATTTTTCAAGCATATATACCCTGTCATCCCTATCTTAGACGAGCGGAGCTTTAAGCATCAAACAAATCAGATCATACAGGTAAAAGACGAAAACATCACCTTGCAGTTGACCAAGCCTTCTGACTGTTGCAGTCTTGGCATTTTGATAATTATACTCAGACTGACATGGCTATCGTTACCGCAAAATGCGTGTGACGTCAATCTCGGTTCACACTCTGGCGCTCTGTTTGTACCGAAGGTATCAACATCGACCGTAGCGCAATCAAGGGAAGAGGAGTTCCTAATGAGGTTTGAAACTCCTGCAGAAGCGATTCGATTAGTACGAAAGTACCTAATCCGGCTCGATGAACTTACGAGTTTTTCTAATAGCAACGTCAATTTGACCACTGTGCAGTTTGCCATTTTCTACAAGCTTTATTTGATGTGCTGCACCGAGAAAACTGTCGACACTCAACTGAATACCTTCACTTCCACTAGTCAAGATAACGAAGCTCACCAGATGCTCTTGTCGAGCATAGTTCAGATGGCCTTTAGCTGTGGGCTCCATAGAGATCCGGACAACTTTCCCCAGCTCGCTGCGCCCACGAGTGGAAAGCTCAACAAAGAGGCTGTCTTCAATGCAGAGAGACTCAAACATACGTGGCGTAAGACCTGGTATGTGATAGTGTCTCTAGACGTTCACCAATCGATGTCTCTGGGTTCTCCACGTTTGTTGCGTAATTTAAGAGACTTCAGCGATACGAAGCTCCCATGTTCTTCCAAGATAGATTACGTCCGCGACATCAAAGAGCTTGTCGTTGTTAAGAATTACACTCTATTCTTTCAAATTGACTTGTGCATATCAGCCGTGCTGAACCACATTTTGAATGTTTCTATGGCAAAGACGGTAAGAAAGTTCGAATTGGACTCCCTGATCGAAATATTGAAAGGTGTGTGCTTTGGGGATGGGAATGTCACCGAAGCCTTGACTAAGCTTGTCAATAAGGGTCTTTTGTTTACCACAGAGGGCAGTGTTGATCAATCGTCGGACGAGTTTTATCCTCTCCCTCCATTGGAGGAGTTGCTGTCACCAGTTCCTTCGTCCGAATCTGATAAGGATAAAAAGGGAACTTTCCCACATGAGAGGACAACACGCGCCTTATTTTTTTCAAAGCATATCGTTTTACGGATGCTTCTTTATCTGCTCAATTACATCCTGTTCACCTACTATGAGCCCAAGGTAGCCGCAGATCCTGGGACACGACCTTTAGCGAAGCTGTACGCTCAGGAAGCTCTCAACTATGCGATGGATGGGTTCAGGAATTGTCTTCTCTTTTTCACAAATGTAAATGCTGGAGAGAATGGGAGTGGATCGATTTTCAACCATATGGAGGTCGTGTTGGCTCCGCACTGCTTAGATGTCGGTCATAGAGCTCTTCAGTTCATGGTTTGCTTAATTCTACGTGCTCGCTGTGGCCCTCTGACCGGTATGAATGAGAACTCCATTTTGAATAGTGGAGCTACTACAAGCAGCGAAGACGAAACTGATAAAAAGCCTACTCCACCACAGAAGAAAGACGATATAGTCGATGGTGGTGACCTCACGAGGCAAATTGATTTGGAGGCGGGTGATGACCTGGCCGAAATTTTAATGATGCGGATGACACTATTTCACAAATTGACTAAGCAGCTGTCCGTTAAATTCTACTACGCTAAACGCATGATGAAGTCCACTGGATTTTTCATCAGTCTCTTGAAAACACCTTCTGGAAAATCCCACCCTACCGAGGTTGACTCTAAGAGTCCACACTTGTCGTCAAGCGTATCCAAGATGTCAAGATTTTTCAGAAACGTGCCATCACTTGTCATGTCTGCAGGTGGTGACCAGATAAAGAGATGTCCAGTTTACCAAGATGCAATAGGGTTTTTGCCCACAACTAGTGCGGCAACATCTGCTGTACGGAACTCATATGAAAGCCCTGGACAACAACTGCCACCTCTTTTTCCAGCATATCAACCGATCACATATACGAGCAATGACTTAAGGCGGACGTCAGATGTTCGAGATTCAGATACGAAAAGAAGAAAGTTTTCTGTGGAAAACAGTCGTGTGAGTTCACCTGCAGCGCCAATCATGAATACTGAGAGCTCCGGACTCTTATCTCCGTCGCTGGGGAGTCTTGATACGAAAAGAAGAAAGTTCTCCGTCGGTAACAGTCATCTGGGATCACCAGCAACAGCACCTATAAAGAATGAGAGCTCCAGACTTTTGTCACCATCGCTAGGGAGTCTTAATGCCTCACGCGTTGGATCACCGGCACCATTCCCATTCACTAGCGAGCAGTCGCATCTGGTACAGAATCCAGTCAATGCTATGAGTACCAGTAATCAACCAGTAACCAATAGAGAGCAAGGATATTCGGTACCAGCTGCGTCCTCAATATATTTCTCACCCACGGCTTTGTCGGAAAATTCATCATCTGCTGATTACGCTCCAGAGTTTGAGGACTTTTTGATGCAGAATTCTAACTTTAATGGCTTGTTGATAAATCCTTCCTCTATAGTTGAAGCAGTGGGCTTCGACACACAGAGCAACACAGGAAGTACCGGGAGCCTTGGGGTACCCCTTGACTTCTTGCCCATTGACACCTCTGAAATCGATGGACTTGTTGATCTGCAGCCAAGCAACGCTGGCTTTTCGAATTGGGAATAGCAGAAGGGCAGACAACGAAATTGACTTGCGCGCTTGGAACGCGTAAAGTGCTTTTACTCACTTGGAAACAGATAAACACACAGCGTCGGACTTTTTCATTGTCTTCAACAAAATCAGTGATCGTGGTATTACGCAATTCGGCATACGAGTTATCCTCATTCAAACAGTTATAGAGGTTGAACTCTCTAGTCAGTCATGCAATCATCTTGTATAAAATAAAAACGCATTTTTCGACACCGTGGTGAAAAACCTGGGATAGAGTACAACGACGCTTTATAAATACTACTTTTGGGCTCAGTTCGAGCTCACGTCTTTTTGATAACGTTCCGGCGAAATGTTGTATAGGGGCTTGTACGTCGCGGCAGACCTCGGAGACTCTTTCATCTACCAACGCTCAAAGGTCAAATTAACGCGGCTATACCAAAATGGCAGTGTAAGAATATTAGTTGCCCATTCATTTTTTATTTGTTCTCAGTTCATTGCTGAGCATTAAACAGTTCAATCAAAACGAGAAAGACGAGCGTGCCATAAAAGCTCCGCGTAAACAGTAATCTTCATACGGACAGTTTACAATGCGTAGGTCTCGCAAGCCAAATTTATCATATTTTGGTTGGCATATTCTTTTCCAGCGTCGTTAAGCCCTTTGGGACCGCAAGTTATGAGCCAAGTAGTATCTAAAGCATCGCCTTCCACAAGCTGAGCTAGATCAGTTGCCCAATCTAATCTTTTGCCCATATGAATATTGGAAGCAAACCCAGTCAACACTGAGTTTACGTCGCTCGACTGTCTTAGACCCCCATTTTGGTTGACCTCATCGGCCAGACTTTCTAACTCAAATTCAAGATCATCAGTACCGCCAACAGAAAGTGTTTCGCTTGCTGGTGCACCTGCTGTCGGATGATTATCAGTATCGTCCTTGGGCAGCGACGAAGTAATAAATACGTGAAACTCAGCGAAGTGACCATCAAGGTCAAGATTTTTGAGCGCTGAGAGGTCGTCTTTGTCCCTTACTAGCCAAATGAGCTTCAAATACTGTATCTGGTCCCTCTTTTCTACCGAAGCAAAAGAGCGGAAAATTGGAAGACCATATGAAATGCCACTACCACCGCAAACCAGTACTACTCGCGTCGCTTTATTCAGACAGTTAGACGAGAGAGAATCGTAGTGATTTTGAATGGTGTATCCAATTCCCGTCTGTAAGCGGAACCCATTAGGATGTTCTCTTATTATGAGATCCACGTTAGAGTCGCCCGGTAGAGACGAGACCGTATATGGATGCGACGGTAGGAGGTAATATAAAGGATTGAGCCGGCCATAAGACGAGATTCGAAGATGAGATCCTGGTGTAAATGACTCGGGCATAGCATGTCGTGGGAGTGAGATTTGAACGAGTTTAGAGAGATCTTCTTTGTTCTCATCGCCTGGGTTAAAAATCTCGACAGTCCTAGCAAACACCGTTTTCGATATGATGTGTAGGGCAAATAGTCCTGTATTGATCAATGTGTAAGGAAGAAAAACCCCGGGTCTTGCGTGCAGGCCAATCAGGAAAACAAATGACCAAGAGGCAATTGAGTGCACAAGATAAAAAGTGCGGTAGCTAAATTTGCGCATGAACTTTAGGGAAACCAGGACCAACAAAGAAACAAGTCCCAACACAATCACACCTAGCAAATTCCAGACATTTTTGAAGCTCTTGTCAACGATTGAGACGTCCGGAGCTTTTGCCCACCATATCAAGAATCCAACGCCGTGTAAAAGTGCCAAGAGGAATATCGATCTCGAGACCCATTTGTGAAGAGGAACAAGATCTAGATACACAAACTTAGGGAGAAGTAGGTTGGGTCGAAGCGTGATGAATAGATTCAAGGTCGCTAGCACGTAGCTTAGTCTACCTAAGCGCTTCAAATATAGAGTCACGTGGTCTGAAATGTTGTAATGCCTAACAAACGGGACGAGCAATGGGACATACAGAGCCAGAAGACCCAGTGCAGGCGATACGTCATACCATTTTCTTCCCAGTAGACTTCTGAAAGGACTGCTAGACCTGTTTCTGCTTTTCAAAACATATCGGCTTGTAATAGTGAATACAACAAATGCAGCACTTATCCACAACGCATAATAACCGTATGGAATATTAGCGAAATGCGTATCTCCGTGGCGGGGTATTAATTCAATCATTTCGAAGAGCCCTGAATGCTTACAAATTATAGGTATTCTGGCTGGATGAAGGTTGCGAAGTTATCGGTCAAAGCTTCGAGCGGACCTTTACCATCATCTTATATGGTTATTATTATAATTTAAAATATTCATCCAGGCGACTAGATGTTCGGATAGATAAATGACTAGATGGCGGAGCTGTCGAGGTTAGAATCGGCTTTGACAACTGCATGCAACTTGAGTAAACGTTTGAGGCCAAAGGTGATTGATTTCTTGAAGGTTGACTGGCAACAGGACATCCTCCCAACGTTTTTTACTATTAACCACGAGACCCTCTACTTTGGAGCGCATTGCGGGGAAATTCTAATCGGCGTTTTTTTCGATCCACTTCTTCAAATCTAGCCAATTCACCGGTTTCCCGTTATCTTCAACGTACGAGTCGACTAGAAAGGTCTTACGCACTGCGACCAACGTCGGTACGTGCTTCACGCCATATCTGAGCATAGAGTTTCGAACCTCCATGTAGTCGGTCTCGACGTCTGCGATATTCACTTTTTTGTCGGTTTCCAGCAGCACAATCCTGTTCAAAGCGCCTGTAAGCTCATTGCACTGGGCGTTACCTCTCACGGTGAAGTTCAAAATTAGCGGAGTTCGATTGTTCGCCCTTAAAGTATCTTCCAGCTCATTGTCGCTGCGGATCGGAAGGAACGCCTGGTTGCCATTGGCACTGGAGGGTTTATAAGAATCGGTTATGGACTGGTTGGGCTTTGAAAAGGGGTAGATAATCTTGGAAAACCAGCTGGAATTCCTGGTACTAGGAGTGGACGCCATTCTCAACATCGATGGGATCATGGTCGTTCTGCTGAGCATACACTTGGAGTTCAAAAATGGGGTCAACAGACTAGCAGACATCGCGTGCACCAAATTAAAGCAAATAGCTTGAGAAGTTCCTTGTAGTGACGTCTTTTGTTATAACTTGTAAGATGAATTTAGCTTGCAGGTTAATTGTCATGAAATGCGATGGAAATATTAACATGATGAATTCATCATATAAAGCCAGGACCAAATGTGAGACCTTTGGTGGAACAAATGAAAGACCCGAGACGGCCCAGATGAGTATCGAGCCAATAGCGTTTCCCTGGATCTTTCATTGTCTCAGTTGCTGAGGCCTTTGAGGTGTATTTCAAGTGTCACATGCATAATAGCTTGCACCAGTATCTACTCAACTAGGTTCACTTTTAAGAACAGCGCAAGTGGTTTAGTGGTAAAATCCAACGTTGCCATCGTTGGGCCCCCGGTTCGATTCCGGGCTTGCGCATTTTTACCAGCAGTACATAAAATTAACCAAGACCAGGGGAATCTTCTTTTTGGCGCTTGGAAATCCTTCTCTGTAGCCACTAAGTGCTTGTTAGCAGAATGACGACAGCCAAGCCGCCTTTAATTCTTGTCACATCACTCCTCCTGATCTCTATCACCTGTCTCTGTTAAACGATTGATAACGAGTATATTGGACCTTCAAATAAACTTATATCAAGTAAGTGCTATCATCGAAAAAAAAACCACGCACTGGCCCTGAGACTTTCCAACGCACAAGTGACAGGACTAGACTGCTCTATATAGCGTGCACTACTTTGCTGGTGCAGTATATTCTATCTAAATTTATTCGTGTGCAAACCAGTCTCAATTGAGTCCTTTGTCACTGATTTTAGCTTCAAAAAGGGTCCATCGTCGTGTATAACAAACCCTGCTTTTGAAAACCAGTGAAAAGACAAATATGGGCTTGAGTAGAGAGTCCAGTACCCCGTCGCTTGTGGGAGTGTCTGTGAGAAGTATCAATGACTCCAACAATCCGGATTTCTGCGATGACAAGTCCCGTAGCGTGTCAGAAGTTCGGTCTTCGTCGCAATTGTTGGAGAAAATCCATTCCTCTACACAGCTGAACAAGCTGCAAGGTCCCTACACCACCGTGGATGAGCTAAACCGCGAAGGCGCCTTGCTGACAGACGACAACAGTGTTGATCTGGACAACGTGGTGCACGGCAAGCTGGGCGACGAGGAAAATCTCCAAAAAAGCGTGCTCAAGAAAAAGAAGAAGAGACAGCAAGGAGGCCATTCAGGCAATACAGCTACTGCGTCGTCGTCATCTGGATCGCTAACATCGCCGTCCCAGACACGCAGCTCGTCCCTCGTGACCTCCACCGATCCACTCCACAATTCCAGCGCCATGCTTCACAACGCCAATGTCAGCTCAACCAGCAACAGCAACACCGATGACAAAATCCGTAACTCTTACGGGGAGTTCATCACGAATAGGTCGCACCGTCCACATTTAGCCGGCGGAGTGTCGTACCAAAGTGCGAACGGCTACGAAAGCGAAGAAACGCCACGCGAACGTTCCGGACGATCCGCTCGCAAAGAAGAAGCCTCTAGAGGCTTTCTGAGATCATTATCCCGTTCTTTGAGTCGCGATCCAATGAGGTCTTCAGTGGTAGCTGACCACGAACTGACATCACGTGGCGCTCCAGATTTCGAAGGTGCTGGGTCTCACGTGATCGAGGAAGAAATCGAAGATGAACAAGATCAAGGAGCCCTATTGAATGATGAAGGTGATGAACAATACATTCCAGAGCTTCAGCAGGCTGCCAGTAAAGAGGAGAGTAAAGCACCTGTGAACTTGTAGGTGGTGGATTAGAGAGTACAAGAGCACGCAATGTCTTCGAAATCGAAAAGACCGGCGCTCAACGAGCTCGACAACCTAATGGACGGTATCGAAGCGTTCATCGGGAACAGCGGTGCTCCTGACGATGCTAGGATTGAAGCAAGCGGTGAAGGTGATTTTGGTAAAACTCTTTTGTATAGCGAATCAAACATTGAGAATCTAGAGCCAGATACGGCAAAAGAGGAGAGCTTTAACGAGCGGAGAGCGAATGGAAATCTCGAGGCCGAGAATTTGTCAATTGCTGGTTCCGAAACTGAGATTGGGCATCAAGATACCGATAAGAATCTGGTTACGGAACTCATTGACATATCGGCTGTGGAATCCAATAAGACTCCGTTTTCTGAAGCCAATAAAATTGAAGTTACCGTCCCGAAAGGTGAACACAAGAATACGGCTGCGACAGGGCATCAAGTGGAGCTTGGTCAAGACCCGCTCACAAAGAAAGAAGACAAAAATGAGGCAAGTGCATTGAATATTATAGCTGATTTACGGGCAGAAGAAACTGATGATTATGATAGTGCACAAGTCGAACCATTGTCCACGAAGAAAGCGGTTGATGTACAAAAAGATGCGACCAAGAACTCCAATCTAGCTTCTCCACAGCAGGAAAATGGTTCACCGATTGATGAAGTAACTACGCCCCACGTCTCCAAAACAGCGACTCTACAGCAGGAAATTAGCTCACCCTTTGCTGAAGAAAGTGTGGTCAATGTTTCGGACTCGGCATCCACCCAGCACAACGAAACTAGCCCACCCATAGATCAAAAAACTGCCGTCAATGTCTTAGATTCAGCGCCTACACAGCATAGAACTAATTCACCTATTACCGAAAAAATTGCCTCGAACGTCTCCAACCCGCCATCTCCACAGCGCAAGACCAACTCATCAACTGTTGAAAAGGACGCGTTACAAACGCTCTCGACTCAGTCCGAAGCAGAAAAGGATGTTTCGGAGAACACGAAAGCCATTCCGGTAGAAGTAAGCTCATCTCAAAAAATTGAATTACCGGCAGGAGTTCCATCGCAGTCATTGGCATCACCTAAACCTGAAAATGAAGAGGTTGCCTCGCAGGTGTCCCCACAAGGGTCTGGTCTCGTCACATTGAAAAACCTTGCCGAAAACGCCACCCTACCGGAAAAGGAGACTAGCTCGAGAGCCCAGAAACAGGGTCTCTTTACGTTGGAAGAACTATCTAAACCCAAGCATCCCGCAGAGGTTCCTGTTGATGAAGACGATGATTCCATAAAGCAGAATGATTTGAGCATCGAGGCACAAGCTTTGCCCCTGTCTCAGAGTCAAGAGAACTCACAAGAGCCATTGCAGGAAACAATGCAGGAAACACCACCTTTCATCAAAGGCGACGAAAAGGAACCGGAAGATGTCCGTAAAGCTCCGGGTTCTCTTTTTTCTCTCAGTGATCTGCATCCGGGGACTAGGGAGATTTCCCTGATTGATCCTGGTTACAAGAATTCTCTTTCGTCACCTGGGGACGGATCTATTGTGACGTTAAAAGATCTGGCGGGAACAAGATCGGATCAACCTGCTGAGGAGCCGGCAGAAGATGCTTTGCAAGGTTCACCGCCAAATGAGGACGACAACCTTGATGAGGCATCTGCGGCGGCAAAGGCAACTGTGGCTCGTGTAACGGCAGAAATTGAAGATCTGCTACGGGAAATGCAAGAGGACGAACCGTCTAAAGCTCCACAAGTTTCATCTTTCATACCAGCCGCTCAAGAATCCGCAGCGACAAAAGAAATTCGCGAGCTGCTCAAAGATGAGCCTGTCTACGTGTATACGTCTTTGGCCGGTGGTGGTTATCTCATGCCTTCTCGCACGAATCGCTTAGCCCAGATCTTGACCGCTAACCAGGTCACGTTCACATACCGTGATCTTGGTACTGATGACGAGGCCCGGCAAGTGTGGAAACGACATGGGCGGGGACGCAGTCTTCCTGCCGTGGTACGCGGTAGAGATGACATTGTCGGGAACTGGGAAGAGATGGATGACGCCAACGAAGAATACCGTGTGCGTGAGCTAATCTACGAAACGCTCTGAGGATTGCCAGCGGTGCTTCACCCGTTTGCGTTGCCAACAAGTAGGACCGATGATAGAGAATGCGACTGTCATCTGAAATGTAGAGGGTGGGTGCCTTTGTACCGCAAACAATGGTGCTTGTCACATTCATCGTTTGCATAGTCATCGATGCGGAATGTCCAGCTAAATGCACGTCGATGCACATCATCCTGATAGCCACAGGTAACAACTTACCGTTGAAGAGATCGCACAATGGCAAATGGTTTCTTTAACCTTGGAAAATGCTTAACCGTCGAGTGCAACAGTGGCCGAACAGAGGCGTACCAACTAGGTACTTTCGGGCACCACAGCACCTTGACGGTTGGACAACGACCAACGACGCTTGCTTACATGTGCTTACACTTGCTTACGCATTTGCTTGGGAATTTACGCTAACAGTATTATGTAATCAATGACGCGCTGGAAATGCATGACGCACGATTACATGATCATGCATGATGACGTGCCTCGAGGCACAGAAAAAGAAACGCGGAGGCCGCCCATTGTTCGGATCTGAAAAATTCAATCGAACAAGTACTATAGGCACACGCAGTATTCTGTGTAAAATCAAAAATTAAGCCCTGTAGGGGGCTCGAACCCCTAACCTTATGATTAAGAGTCATACGCGCTACCGATTGCGCCAACAAGGCCCTTATGATGAAAACTGGTGTTGGGAGTGCAACACAATGGGTTAGCAAGAGCACATGCTCTCTCGGACTTTTCGTAAGTACGAGATTTTCGTCAAACCCCTTTCCCCTATGCATGTGTGGTTCGTTACGACAAATCAAAGAAAGCTCTAAAATTTGCGTCAAGCAGCAACGCACGAAGATCGGAATATCCATCATCGAGAGTATCCGGGTATCCGGGTATCCGACGTCCAACAGGGCCAGGGCCATTTTAAATTCTAATCGGAGCGCTCCTGATCGTAAGCAACGGGTGCGCATGTAACTCGAAAAAGATCGCTAACGCCTATCACGTGAACATATTCAAACTGAAAGATAGCTGGGATAGCTGACACTAGCTTCTACAAATATTAACTGACTACTACTGCCCACTTTTGCAATGCTTTACGACTGCCGTGTTAATCAAACGCTCCCACTTCTACTACGTTCTACACCTTTGGCGCGCACGATGCACACAGTTGTACCCGAACCCGAACTTTATCTTATACTTTCTACCGTATCCCATAGTTCTTCTACTATCATCTATCAGTTTCGACGACAATCGCCGGGTATCTGTTTACAGGTAATAAATGAGTTCTGTGCATATCACGTGACCTTGACTTTTTCATTATCCATGAGAAAAAAACGGACCCCAGCTCAACCAGGACGGTACTACTATCTCTTTACCACACCCTTCAACATATACAGTGTTTACTGCTTCTTTCTAGCTTCCCTAGTCTCTTCTCCTCTCTCTTCTCTCCCGCCTTGCACTTACGGCGGCTTCCGGTGTCTCTCTCCGCTTTCGTATGTTATGCGCGCGTGTTCTTTCCCCATCAATTAAGTTTTTCATCCGTGCGCGTTACCCGGCGTGCTCTGGCGCTCATATAAATACAAGACACATTTTTGTTGGGCGAAGACGTAATGGACACCGATGGAGAGATTAACCTACCATTAGCAGGGTTTTGTTCGGCAAAGAAGAAAGTGAGGATCACAAATAAGCCATTTTCCCGTGGTGAAGAAGTACGAGAGATCTCAGAATCTAAAGACGCTTGTGAGACCAGACTGCACGACGTTCGATTTTTTTAAAAAAAAGTGGGACTGCCGCCGTTCATAGAGATAAACTCCTGCTTACCGCAAAGATATTGGAGGTTCGTTCTGTTCTTTTCATTCACAGCTTTGGGGTTGTGCCGCTAGTGACCATTTTCGAGGGAAGGTTACTCACCCACACGCTTGTCAACGGAAGAAGAGAGACAGAGACAGAAAAAGGATACCCATATCACTCTGCACGTCTACACATTGCTCATTCTTGACGAATAGTTAAAAAGGGGAAGCGTATATCCAGCCACAAAAGCGGAAGTCGCGGAAACAAGGACGAAAGGACTAAAGCCGACACCCACCCAGACACCCTCATATTTCGCACCCAGACACCATGCCCATCAAGGAAGTGGCATTGGATCTCACGAATTTCGTGCTGTCAAACGTGAACGATGCGATCTCTTTCAAACCGCAGCTGTGCTACGAAGTACCCGCTCAGGACTATGGCGAGCTGCGAGAACGCTACATCGCGTTCACCGGAACATCGATGCGGAAAAACAAATCGCGATTGTATTTTCTGCCGACCAACATTTCGGACGAACTGCAACAGCTAAACCCGTCAGTGCCGGACTCAGCAAAGCATGTGCCGCGTGACGGCCACGTTTACTACAAGAACCGGCTCATCACGGAGCTGGACTACGAAAACGTGAAACGCGTGGAACTGGCGTGCGCGTACATTGCGTATGCGATCATTAACAAGTCCGCAGGGATTGAGGTGGAATCCAACAGCAACAGCAACAGCAACAGCACAGAACATCGGGAATCGGCAACGTCTTTATCGGAGCTCAGCGGCCGCGAGGATTCGCGCGACAGCTCCAATCAGTCACCCGCAGACCCCAAAATATCACCTGCAGAGGCCACTGCTCTAGCTCTCAAGCGGGGTGGGCTCATAGGGTTCCGAGAACTTGGCTATCTCGTAAATATCACACCCTGGCATTTCCACCGGGTTTTCAAAGTCATCACAGGGCTCACAATCCGCGAGTACGGTCAATTGTGCACCGAGTTTGCCAAGAAAAACCGCGATATCATGAACGCTTGCAACAAACGCGTGCAAGAACTCAAGGAACAGGGCCACAGTTACCAGTGTTTTTCAGACCCAGGCTTTCTTAAAGATGGTACGCTCAAATACGAGCCCACCAGAAACGTTGTTCTGCTGCCTCAATATTTCATCGATCCCAACAAATCGAAAGAACACAAGAAAATGCAAAAGGAGAACAAGGCTTTGGATGGGAAATGTACGCAGCGCGTCGAGGCCCGTAAACGTAGGGGTTCCATCATGTCTGGTCGTATTAGGGCCGCTTCGCAGTCGAGCGTGACTTCAAACTCTTCTATTCAGGAAGTGCTCCAGGTGGAACCGGGTTTCCCTAGCACTCCACTAATGAGTCCCTCCGATGCCCGGGCTTCTTCAACGGCGTCACCCGTCCTTCAAAGCGTTGCCGGTCTGAACACACTCGATTCAACGGTTCTCCAGACAACGCTTGCGCAATCAAGAAAGAATAGTTTGGTGACTGGATCATCAGCATCTTACCTGCAGTCTGCTCCGGGTAGAATTGGCAAACCGAAGCTTGCGGCCAATACGAGTGGATCCACGGCCCATCTGCGTCACCTGAGCGACCCTTCCATGGCTTTGGACGCGATAGAGCTATCCAAAGTCACTGGTGACGCTACGGGCACAAAGAACATGCCTCACATTAGTGTTGCTCAAGATGCAGTAACTTCTCCCAAAGTGGACTTCAAATTTGACATTTTTGGTAATGAGAATGTCTCCTCACAGCGTCCAGATGATGCTAATCCATCTCAAGTGCTCGGTAACAATGGCGATTTCAATTACGACTTGGACGAATTGAACCCTCGAGCCGTTTCAAACTTTACAAACGACTCTAGCAATGGTAGTTTCCAGCTAGATTTCAATGATGACATTACCCATGGCAATCTGATTTCTTCCGAAAATGGAGTTTTTTTTCCTGGAAATCATCAGCGAACTAGTAATAACAACACTGCTGCGACGTCCCTACAGGGTACTTCGAGATCGGTCGAAACATTACCGCGTGACTCTACCAGCACTTTCTTGGGAGATTTTCACCCGGCAGACCTAGATGAGAGCTCTCAATTACTCTTGGATTTGAACGCTCTCCCAGATGACCCGATTCTCAATCAGCCATATGGTATGCTCGATCTAAAAATGGCGACCAGTCACGATATTCGCAGCGGGGGCAGTTTTACGAAACTCACGGACTTCGGTGAACCATATATGGAGCATGGACAGCTTTCGTCTGCAGGGCAGAATCAGCGGCATGCATCAACGGTGAACCCGTCAATACCAATCCATTCAACTCACAACAGGCCTCAAGATAAACCGTCAACATTGGCCTTGAATCAACCCAATCGATCGAGCTACTCAAGAAATAGGCTCAATTCAGCCGTGGCTCCAATGGATGATATCAACCGAATGTTTTTGTCGGGTTATTCTGGCGGAACACCTATAATGACAGAGCCGCTCGATTTACAGGGCGGTAACTTTACGGAACAAACGATCCCTGCTCCACTTGTCTCGCAACCATCAACAAGAGACAATACCATGGGTTCCACTGTGACACCAGACACAATGGTTACGACAGAAACCAATTCTTCAACAAGAGACTTTGACGCCAAGGGATCTTTGGCAGCTTTCACGAACCTAGGTTTTGACGCCTTGAGCCCCGGCTCTTCTCCCACTGCACTAGAGGCTGGTTTACCGGATTTCCACGGCGACCTAAATTCTGATTTTGCTGGTACATCCATAGAGGCATTGATGTCAGCTGGCAATGATGCGCCACCACAAAATTTTTAGTTGTGAGTCACAGGGACGTGGACTATAGGAGCGTTTTGGTAAATTGCCTCGCTCTGTTTATTCTATTCAAATGTTTTTACCTTTTTGGCGAGATTTTGCGAAGCCCTGAAACACAATCATACACAAATCACATACACACGCAACATTTTCTGCACACTACGGTTGCTCTAATGAAACAAAAACCTTCCCCGGTGGGAATATACTATTCTCCGCTACTAGTGCGGCCTTGAATCCGAGCTTTAATTGAACTTCAAACAAATCTTAATACTAAATCTTACCACCTTTGGAAAAGACCTGCAGTGCAGGTCAAAGGCCTTGGCGACTCATGTAAGTGGACTATTAATGAACAAAAACTAATGAATGATCTTAAATTGACGATGTTTCTAATTTTTTGGTCTTTTGTCTATAGTCTTGTCTTTTGTTTTTCACCAACTTTAAAAGATTCTTGGTGCAAGTGGAAAGGCTTCACAAGTGCAGACACTGGGCTGTTTGATAGAGTGAGCCTGCCTTTCCATTCCTACGTCAAAGGGAGTGTTTATGCTTCGATTTTAAAGAATCAAGGTGGGGGGGGGGGGGGGGG